ACCTTAAACTTGTGGTAAAATGGGTCTCTGTCGGAAATCAGATGATTCACTGAGTGGGAGTGTTGAGATTCAGGCTTAAACCATGCTGTATGATCTATAAATCATGTGAGATCATGCTGGGATGTCATTAGACAGTTCACATCTGACTTTGCTCAGTCAGAATGTGGGGAAACTGACTTTGAGAAATCAGAATGATCACAGACATGTGTGGGTATGACAGACATTTGTGGGAATAATTTAAAGGGTCAAATCATCATGTAAGCAGTCTTAGAAGGTCTGGAAGGTTTGGGACAGTCTAGATCTTCAAGTAATGTTTGTCAAGGCATGGCTGAACCTGCTGAGCATTGCATAGCATTGCTGAGCATGCATGTAAACAAGTGGGCTGAAGCATGTAAACAGTAGATTATATAACTGAAACTTTTAAATGCCCCAGGATCAATACAAGCATGTTATCCCCCCAGTGACAATATCCAGAAGACCACAGTGCACATGCATTCCTACACCTCTTAGAAATGATTTTACAGAGGAAATCAGTGTTCCAAGTGTTAACTTCAATATTAATATGGTAGGGATAAGGTTTGAGAGGTAATCCTTAACTACAATTCTGGATTGCCTGTGTGGCTGCACATGGGAGAGTATTTTACTAGTATCAATGTTGTCAATAAGACTGTGCTGTTCCTACAAAAAACAAAAGGGATCTGTGGCTGGTACACAATCTGCTCATTCTTGGGTACTAAACTAAAGAAGAGGCTTCAGGCTTCCTTATATAGGATTGAGATTGTTAGTCAGTTAAGGAATCTCAGTAAAATCTTTTGGAAATAATTGAGTCAGGGTACCAGTTAATATAATAGTTAGTAATAATCAGGGTAAAATCACTTCCCTACACTGTTCTGTTGGGTCTTTTAGTTAATATCTTATTTATACAAGAATATCTCTAACTCCTCAGTATAATATTTGCTTTGCTGGCAGTATAATATAGTTTTTCTTTTCTTGATAATCTAGTATGGTTACTGCTACTTACATAATTAATGCAACTACTTTTGGATAGGCCCTGTTAACTTGGGGGATAATTATATTATATAGTATTTAAATTATTTACTCCAGGTATTATAGGTACTGCATAATTTCTGTAAAGATTAGGTAACTTTATTATCCTTATAAAATAAGAATATAAATATGGCCTAAACAGAACTCTGTAACTTCTGAAGCCATAAGCAAAACATTTGCTTTTAGCACTATACTGTAATCCTCCTCTTCCCTGGTATGGGTCTATACAACTGTATAACCAGTAAATTAATATATAAAGTTAAAGACCTTCAACTTTGCCAACCCTTTGATTTCCCTTCTAGGTATGTTTTCTACATCCATTCAGTGATGTTCAGACTGGACAAGCCAATGTGTGAAGCATGAAAGCATGCATTATAACCCTCATGCTAAACCAATAAATACATCAAAGTGCACAAATTGCCAATTGTAATGTGACCATCCTCTGGTGCCCCACTGGTGTGTCCTTTCCCACCATCATTTACTACCATGCTTTGTATTGGCATATTTCTGTGAGTGGAAGGTATTAAGAGTAGCACGGTGGCAAAAATGCAGCATGATGGATTTTCCGAAACATACCTTCTTTCCGAAGTTCCAAGGCACATACCGGTACTTAACCATATGCATGATCTGCCTCCGCATTGTTATCGTGAAAAGGACAAGAAAATACATCCTACATCAAGAGTTAGCGAAACATCGCTTTCTCCAGAAACATACAATGTACATACAACAGGATCGGCCAGAAAACGGGTATATCAAAGAATTTGAAAAATGTGCATACGAAAGCGATCAGTATCGCTCGTGTTGCGGAGTACCTGTAAATACCCATATGGACATTCAGCCGATCACCTTGTCCCAAATGCATGTGAGACGCTCGTTACCAAAATTTAAATTCCGGTAATCTTCTAATAAAAGGTCTAAACTCATCGTTGGTCTTCATTGGTAATGCTGGTCCTTCATCTGCTTTATCCAGTTCCTCCAAAGCGGGATCAAATTTGGGCGTCAGAAACGCTAGGAAAAGATTGAGGAGATAGATCCCGAGTGCATACTACTTGGCCACGTCCATGGGGTGAGGTCGACGGCGTTAAAAGTCAAGTCAGGGGGCTTCTACTACATACCGTGACAATGTACCAGCCTTGAACTGTGAATACACGGAGGCAGTAAAGTAGTACCACCACTGCAGTAAAAACCCAACGATATATGTAGTAGGGTGTAGTATCGTCCAGAAGCTTTTGGAATCTCTGTCAGTGAAAGATACCAAGATGACAGATGCCAACAGTGTTCAGTAAAGTTTTAGTTGGTGAAGTACATGGCCGTCTGCTACGAACCCTCTGCAGCATCATGGCTTGATGCGGTAATCCACTGGGGGGTGGAAGCCCGGCGTTGTTGGAGTCCATCTGGAACTCCACGTTACGGCGTTCAACGCGATTCGGAGGAGGACAGCGCTGCGTCGGAAGTTTGTTTAAACATTTGGCCAACACAATAGTGAATTCCACCCGCTTGGATCGAACCACTTGGGTCTGGCGCCAACCAACCCGCATTGTCGGTTGTAATCTGGATACTAGCAGACGAGGACCAGATTGGACAAGAAGCATGGGGATATTCTTCAATGAAATACCTGCGATCGTAGGAGCTTCCAGTACGAGCGTTGCGCGGATCACCCACGTTCATTGTTGTGATTGTGGGCAAAAGTCCTCTGCGACAGATCGGCATTCTTCTCATGATTGTTTTGATGAAATTCGATGATGAATAACAAGATTGGGGAGAGAGATGTGCGTAGAAAACAAAGTTGATACATCCGTATCGCAGCTGCAATGTTTCCGTCTGTCTTTCATGTTGATCTTCATTACGATGTCACACTACAAATGGCTGGAATGCCATAGGACCATCATTGGAATTTCCCCACACAATATGCGCGCTGGTTGCAACCAATTGTTAAAAAAAGTCTAATGAAGGTCACATGATTCGATTCCAGCACGAACACGCTGACACACAAAACTGCCCTCGACGGATCTCCATACCATCCGTGCTAGTTGGTGACCCGAATGACCTCTTCCCACGCAGAAGCTAGAGTGTCCACAAGATTTTCGTCAAGGAAGGCAAAGGTGTGTGAGATTGGTACCTTCTTAGCCACCTTTGCTGTGTGGCATGTGTTAACGTCTGCGCTATTATGCATTCAACTAGGGGGATAATCCTCACGAAGGTGCTAAAAGGTAAGTCAGCATGCTTCGATTTCCTGTGGGCAGCACTACCTGTGATGCACGTTGACCCCAGCGCGTTCTATACAGCCCGTTTTGTCAAAGCTGCGGCGGAACCGCGCAACAGAATAGGGAATCCTGCCATGAAGAGCTCTTGAGTTGTACTACTTGTAATATCAGTGGTATGCATCATCTTTAGATGCCAGAAAATCGTTTTCTACCATGTATTCCATTTTTAGAACATCCAAGCTGCTTAAACCTGACGGAAAAGGCGCGAGAGGCGGTACGCAGATACGACTGGGAATGCCAGGACTGCAAACACTGCATGGTCTGCGGTGATTTCCAACAGGAGGTATTGCGACAACTATGGATTTGTGATGTTTGCATCTGTATCTCATATAAAATACGAAGGATCAACTGATACTTTGCGATGACTGCGATCGCGGCTGTCACACATTTTGTGCGTCACCAAAATTGACAGAGATACCCGAAGGCACCTGGCGTTGTCCTATTTGTAAGGGAAGGCGGACACCTGGTCGAAAACCTCGAGGGGACACAGCGGTTGCTCCTGATCCAGAATGTCCAGGCAGTGGTAGTACGTCACGAGACCAATATATGTTGAACGCTACTGGCATGAATTCTGCAAACAAGCGAAGAAGGAGTTCCACAGTTCATACTGCTGAAGCGGATAAGGCTATCTGGCAGAAGACGAAAAGGCCGGAGCAATATGTAGGAATGGTTGGTGAACTATCGAGGAAAAGACTGAGAACCGCAAATTCCCATAAGGAAGTTAGCGCCGCTCCCTTGCAATCACTATCGACTTCGCGACCCCGAGTAAAGCTTCTCCTTGGAGGCAAAAATAGAAGGAAAAAAGTAAATGTCGATCGTGTGGAGGCAGACCGAATCAAGCATCTCCCCTTCGGTGGGCGTTTGTCAGACGCGGATGCGGATACATCACAATGTCGGCCAGATGCTGCAGACCGACTCAATTTTCGAAGAGCGCGCGCAGAAGCTGAGGTTAGAGCCGAGCGGGGTCTAGTAGCTTCTGTGCAATGCTCATACACGGCGATCTTTCAGGAAACTGCAACTCTTCCGACCGTCAACGCTATGAAAGAAGGGGGCATAGAGAATGGTGATGATGAATTCTTTTATGCGCCAGTTATACCAAAGATCAACACAATCCAACTCGGGGTGTGGGAAATTGATACTTGGTACGCGGCGCCATACCCGGAGGAGTACAACGGACAGCCGCTCATATATATATGCGAGTATTGTTTCAAGTATATGAAAAGTCAGTATGTGGCGGGGCGTCATAAGGTAAGTCGAAGACAAGTGAAGCTTTGCCTGTACTCCATGCACGGTGGGATGATAACACCAGAGCTACACAGGCGAAGTGCCCACTTCGGCATCCTCCGGGCGATGAGATATATCGACATGGCAATATATCTGTGTTCGAGGTGGATGGACGTAAGAACAAGGTTGGTAGGGTGTTGAAGACATACCAAGACAGTGCTAAAACACCCTCCAGATATATTGCCAAAATCTTTGCCTACTTGCAAAGATGTTCCTAGACCACAAAACATTGTATTACGATGTGGAGCCATTCCTCTTCTATATTATGACGGAGAACGACGAGAAAGGTTGTCATTTTGTAGGGTATTTCTCTAAGGTGCATAATTGAGTACCTGTCAGACGGATCGATGTGGTAATAGGTCTGACCAGGATTTCGTCCAGGAAAAACGTTCTTCTGCGAACTACAACCTTTCTTGCATTGTGACGCTGCCCATTTTCCAACGGAAGGGATATGGGAGTCTGTTGATCGAATTTAGTAAGTTGTGGGACTACCATGAACATTCGACGTTGGAGCGCGAGGGAAATGGACCCACTAAAGCAACACTATTCCAGGTTATCTCCTTTCCAGGAAAGAGGGCCGAACTGGGTCTCCAGAGAAACCATTGTCAGATCTTGGCTTGTTGAGCTACCGTCGTTATTGGAGAAGGACTGTACTGAGAGCTTTAGCTGAATGTTCAGGAAATGTTCTTTCCATTGAGAGTAAGATAATTCTACAATCATTTACCCTCGTTGACAAACATTCTGCTGATGGTTGTCATTCTCAGGATTGAGCCAAGTCACATGCATGACCCCTGACGACATCATTCATACGCTTCACCTCCTGAACATGCTTGTTAAAAATGCTTCGGGGAACTATGTAGTACGATATCCTACTCAAGTTGTTGCAGAATACATTGCACACTTGGACAGCAAGGGCTTCCCTACCATTCAACAAGATAAACTGCGATGGACGCCGCTGCTTTTTAAGAATCCTGCGATTCTAGACGTCACATTGACCGCACCGGAATCGGACGGCGACACTACTACTTTGTAAAATTTGTTACAATTGCTGGTAGCTGAATTGAGGTGTGATATGTAGGGAAACAATGCTTGATCAAATACATTCCATAGACATGAATGACCGATTTTATATTTTTGGAATGATGTACCGACATGATTGGGACAACATATAACTGTATCAAGCTGCAGTTTCTACTCCTGGAGCTTTAGAGTCCTTTCTCAGTGACATCAGCAACTGCTTCATGCGAGTGGTATCACGCGTCTTCGTCACAGGCTTCGCCGCTTTAGCATCTTTGCTCTTCTCGTCGGCAAGTCTGCCAGGCTTTAGATCGACCTTGCCTTTACTGGACGTCGCAGATGACGCCTGAGTGGTCATCTCAATTTGTTTGACAACCCGATCCTGTTGAGTGATGTGATGAGCTTCAGTCCTGCACAGGACTAGCCGCCAAACATACCCAAACGGTTCCACTAGTGGTATCATCTCGTTCAGCTATGGTATTCTTTTCTTGTTCTTTGTTTCTGTTGATGCTCTTAGTTTTCTTATCGTTGTATTCCGCGTAAAATCGCTCCAGCGACTCCTTCGCAGCATTCAACGTCTCTGCGTGTTTAGCTTTCGATCGAGAGTCACGTTCGGCCACACGTGCATTGAAGTCTTCCCTCCACTGCCTGACATGGGCACAGGTAAGTAAGTGCACCATCCAAACCATGAGAGACGCGCGGTAAAGCTGTACCTAACGATTTCCGGCTCCGGTTCAGGTTCACGCGACTGTACCGGTACACTCCCGAAGCTGGCGACCGACGATGCACCAGTATGCTCAAAAGGCAACGGAGCAGCATCTCCTGCGAAAGGGGCGTCGCCAAATCCAGACTGTACCGATTGTTAACAACGTCCGCTTACGCATGTACAGCTGCGAATCTCGTCCGTACCAACCTCACTGGCAAACTCAACGTCCGACCCATTTGGAATGACAAAGCTGCTGTCAGGCGCACCTCCAAATGCTCCAAACCCAGCGTCAGACGCAGCGGGTGCTGGGGTGGCCGCAACCAGGTCGTTGCCGAATAAAGCAGCGTCGGCTCCGAGGATAGCCTGTTCTCGAGCCAGAAAATCGGCGGCAGGATCATCTGATGTCAGAAATGCAGAGGTATTGGCTGGGTTAGAGCCATCCGTCGCTACGAAATCTCCAAACTCGGACATTGTGTTGTCCTTTCAAGAAGAGATTTTAGAGTCGTCACTGAGCTAACACTTGAAGGGCGCCCTTGTTATTTGATACCGTCAACACGTCAGCTCGGTGGCTGGTGCTCTGGCTGGTGGTCGGTCTCCCGTCTCTCTAGCACCCGCACCATTGACTTTCTCAGATTTTAATGACGAGCTCAAGGCCAGGCTAAAGTTTCTACGACTTACACTAAACTACGCAAACGCAAGGAAGAATTATGAGTGATTTTGCCATCAATTGACGTCCGTGTCTTTAAAGGAAAGCTAGGCCTGCTTCAAAGGAGAATTGCCCTGATATGTCATATCTCTTGATAATGTATATTCTAAGAGGACAACCAAGGTCCTGTAGGAACTACCAGTAGGCCACAAGTTGGATATAAGGGCCTAGGGTGTACTTGAACGGTAGACCCGAGAATGGAGGAGAGACTGGTTACAGTCTTTCATGGTGGCAATGTCGTTCGCTTCTGCTATGCATACAAGGTGGTCATACTAGAACAATCACGCCATAAGCCTTATCCCACAACTTGCGGCGACTCTTCTTGAGACTTTCGCCCACAATGCTCACTATCGTTGAACCAATATGCCCACCTCCACAGTGATGGCAAACTCAACCTACTTCCAGATTGGACTATCAACCTGTATAATGCACGCAGTAAGGCCTTTGACCACTCGTCTCTGAGCCCGTTAGAGCAGAGGTTGGAGGCAACGGCTGTGTGTGTTCTGTTATGCTCCAAGATGATTTTCTTGCTATTATGCTCCTACAGTAGTGCAGAGGTGACAGAAACTGGCACTAGCTACTACACCAGGGAATAAACCAGCGATAACTGGTTCGGAAAAGCCAAGTGATTCCCTCCTTACAACCAACCAACTACCACTAGGCCCAATTACACATGCAATACATTACGGTTGTTCTAACTGGGTAACTAAGCCCACCACACGAGAGAAATCCTACTAAGCCCTTGATTCCGAAATTCTTAGTCAGAGGATGTTCAGATACTAAGAATAATTAGACTGGATAATCCGTGTGGGAAAATACAAAGATAATGCATACCTGCGATCATAGCAATATAGTAGTAGCAAGGGGTTATGTTGTTTTTGTCGGGAGGGCGAGGTCCTCGGCACCAGAGCGGCATTCTCATGATGATGGACTTGAGAGTGCTGCGTGAGCGTTGCGCAGATGCTTCGAGAGTCGAGGATGGGTCAAGAGGAAAGAGACAGAAGGCCCCCCTTTTATAGACCTTTGGCATGCGCCTCACCGCAGTTTAAAAAAAAAACATTACAATACATGCCACACCAATCTGAGCGATAGAGGGGGGTTCTGATTATGCGATATGATTAACCGGATTAATCCGGATAATAATGATTTCTAGTGCCATTTTCAATCACCGCCACAGTATGAAATAAAATAGAAATCGGAACATGAAAAGGCCTAACGCGTCGCCTGCACCATCAACTCTTTTGTCACCCATTTCACAAAACCTTGTCCAGCTACCATGCAGCGCATCCTTTCTCGTGTCAAACTAGGCGCAGCAAAGTGCTCACGATTACTGTCTTCCGTGTCCGTCCGCTCAACTCTATCGTATAATATTCACGTTCGCTTGTCAACAACCAGTGGACGCTCTCCACCACCAGCCCCAACAAAGCCGTCTCCTTTCCTCACAGCCCGAAACGCAGCAAAATTGGGGGTGCTAACTGCATGCGCCGGTGTTATGTATTATGTTACTAGGCCAAACTCTAGCCAAACGGCAGAGAAGACATCCAGTCAAGTACATGGAGAACAGTTAACAGAGCAGCAAATAAATAGCATCTTGAAGGCAAACGAACAGAGCTTTGCGGTAGATATGAAAACACTATTTGCGGCAGACATAAGTGACAGCGAAGCAGGCCATAAAGGCTTACGAAAGTGGATTCCTGCTGGTAAAGGACGAGAATCAGTGGAGCTCCCGGTCACAATGACGCCCGTTATTGCCTACCACTTGAACCAGGTCGCAAGCAACCAGCCTATCGAAGACTACCACAGTGAGCACCGTCACAGAAATGGAGTGATATTGGGGTAGGGATGCACCTGTTTTGCGCTCGCTCATACCCTTCACTTATCATCACGTCGCAGGGTTTTTGACGGGCACAGCGGCACAGAATGTGCTGATGTTCTTTCTAAATACCTGGGGGTCTACGTCGCCAAAGCCATATCCGAGCTCCCAGCCTGCAACGAGACGCCCGAGCGAAAGAAGCATGTCACCCACGCCCTCAAAACTGCCTTCAATCGCATGGATGCCGATATCACCAACGGAGGCATCGATCCTGACCCGTCGGTTCCGCAAAACGAAAGGATCCAAGCGGCGCTTCGGCCTGCCATTGCGGGTTCCTGTGCCATTGTTGCCTACATGGAGGGACGTGATTTGTACATCGCTTGTACCGGCGACAGTAGAGCTGTGGTCGGGCGGCGACGAGGTGATGGTAGCTTCGAGGCAGTTCCGCTAAGCGAAGATCAAACGACCGCAAATCCAGCGGAACATGCAAGGCTATTGGAGGAACATCCTCATGAACGCGACACTGTTATTGTTCGCGGACGCGTGTTGGGAGGACTGATGCCAACGAGGGCGTTTGGTAAGGTCGTCCCGTACGAGCATTTTTGATTTACAAACCTTATGCATTTGGTGTAATTTCAGGCGACTCCCGATACAAGTGGCCAGCAGAAGACCAGCAAGCACTTCGCGTTCGCCAACATCGGGCGAACTACCATACTCCACCTTATGTTACAGCTGAACCCGAAGTAACTCACTACGAGATTGATCCTACTGCGGACAAATTTCTGATTCTCGCAACGGACGGAATTTGGGACCGATTGAGCAACGAGCAGAGTGTTGAACTTGTCGCGGGTTATATGCAACGTCACGCCTTGGTTCCCGATGCTCCAACTGTGGGTGCAAGCCTTTTGGAAGAGGCTACCCGAGCCGGGGACCAATGGTCTTGGATCGATGATAATGCTGCTACGCACCTAATTCGGAACGCCTTAGGAAGAGGGAATCCGTTCATGATATCTACATTGTTAAAAATCCAGCCACCGCATAGCAGGCGCTTCCGCGATGATATGACAGCCAACGTTGTCTTCTTTGGGGCATCCGAGCCGGCAGAGCAGGTAGGTGAACGTTTTGCCGCTCTTGGATCTGTAGAGCGGAAAGCCTTTCAGGACGTGGACCTGAGTAGAGCCGAGCCGAAGCGCCATAGATTACGGTTGTGGGTCCAGGCCCTTCAGTCCCAACAGTCGACTGCGGGTAAAACTAGCATGGCTGCCAGCAAATTGTAAATAGGTATACGGAATTAGATGGGATAATACATAGTCAAACACGCGCTCATTAATCCTCAGCGATGAAATCTGTTTGTCACTTCTGTAAAAGAGTTGGTAGGTCACAACGGAAAGCGCAGAGAGTCTGAATTCACTAAAGTTTTCTTAGTCCTAAGAATCCATGGCCCAACATCCCCTTTTTCCCTCCGTGATAATGTACAGATAATGTAGATTTGGGCGGCAAAGCCAAGAAATCCTATGTGCGCCCATCAGCGTCCAATAGAGGTCAGAAACAAATGAGATGGGTCGCAAATATCGGTAATGGACATGTACATACCAGTAAGCTTATTCCGGTAACCGTCCCTGGCTCAATTCTCCCATCACCGTCTACCACAAAGCCAGACGAATGATGTACGACATAGGATGGGGAATTGATTGCAGAAAGAACCGATTCACCATTCACTACCAACTGAACTGATGGCTTGGCTTTTGTGAAGAAGGCAAATGTGATTTCATAGAGCCCTGGTTCACCAATTCGAATACTAGTCTGGTCTTTTTCCCACAGGAAGTTATCACGGTCTGGATAAGAAAAAGAAGGGGGCCAGGTCAGAAATCTAACGTGAACGTCTGCACACTAGCTCCCACCAAAGCCAAGAAGGCACACCATACACTATGAAAGGACGCACCAAAACTCAGCTAATTACCCGTATTTAAAGTCTCATAATTCCAAGGTATGGCACTCCCAAACTTTAAACAACCTGACTTCCACAACCATTGCGCACAGCGATGGAAGGGCTGTGAAATCTGCTTCGCGTACAGAGATTTACATGTGCTCAAATCCGAACAAAGCAGGAACAACTTCTCGTCAAATTCGCGTGTCAGACGCCGTGAGAGGCGATCGAGCGCACTGTGAGGTGTTATGCCTTCATCTTCATTGGAAACATTCTCATACGGTGGTTCGTAGTAAGCGGAATCGGGCGAATCTCTCGCTGATGTGACATTGTTTATATCTTCGCGAACGTCGGCTGTTACTTTTTTAATTCGTTCAACGGTTTCTTCCCGGATATGAGTAATCCTTTTTTCAAGCCACGCCTTAAGATCCTTGCGCACTTTATTCTCTACTTCTTTTCGTAAGTGCTGTACCTCGCCTTTGCGGTTTTTCCTATCTATTGGTATGAATTCTAAGAGTTCTCTTTGGAGTTTGATAATCTTCATCTCTAGGTTGTGTGTGATGGTAACCTCTTTGTCAGCAATCATCTCGCTGACGCAGACGCGAATATCCGGTAGCAGCTCATCAAGCAGATGTTTCCATTCACGGGATGCATCAGAGTCCTCCCTTTGTGCCGAGGACTTGGAGGCTTGATTTTGTCCGCTGCCGTCTTTGCCGGACGCGGTAGACTCACGCTGCAGCCTGAGAAGGATTGGGAAAATATCCTGCTCGCCGATAGTCGCTGGTCGAGCATCTACAAGCTCCTGAACAAGGCGCTTCACCTCATCGCGCGTCGGAATATGTCGCATTAGCTCTTCCAACACGACGGTATCTACCTTCTTGTCCAACTTTCGTCGTACGTCGCCAACATCGCCGACCAACCCTGTCCCGCACGTAGGGATTACCGCGGGTCTCTTAGCACCTTCATCCGTAGCGCCAGCCGAGATTTTACCTCCAAAGATTGACGAATCCTGTGGAATAGGACCGCCGAGCGAAGGCATGGAATGTATCAATTCACGACGCAGATCAGCTTTCGCTTCATCAATCATTGGTTTGATAGTCTGTTCAACAGTCCGGACATTCCATTCCCGACGCAAATCGGCTTTCGCATGATCAATCATTGGTTTAATGCTCTCTTGAATGGTCCGGGCATTCCATTGACGACGTAGATCAGCTTTCGCGTCATCAATCATTGTCTTGATATCCTCTTCAACAGCCCGTACATTCCATTCACGACGAAGATCAGCCTTCGCGTCATCGATCATCGGTTTGATACTCTCTTGAAGAGTCCATACATTCCATTCATGACGTAGATCATCTTTTGCTTCATCAATCATTGGTCTGATACTCTGTTCAACAGTCCGTACATTCCATTCACGCCGTAGATCAGCCTTCGCGTCATCAATCATCGGTTTGAGACTCTCTTGAAGAGTCCATACGTTCCATTCATGACGTAGATCATCTTTTGCTTCATCAATCATTGGTCTGACACTCTCTTTAACAGTCCGTACATTCCATTCACGACGTAGATCAGCTATCGCGTCATCAATCATTGGTCTGACATTCTCTTCAACAGTTCGTGCAATAAGCGTTCTCAAGTCATCAGCATTGGGTATTCCGCCTATATATGTGGTCGGGATTTCAGCTGTGACTACCTTGTCGCCCATATGCACTTGAGTCGCTGGAATTATTTCAATAGATGTGGAACGTCCACGTCTTCTCTCAGGACATAATTCTGATTCATTAGAGGAAGAAAGTGACGCCTCTATAGGCGTTCCGCTGCTACTAGCCAACCGCTCTATTGTACCCTCGAGTCTTTGTACGCGCCTTGCAATCCCTCCTAAGCCGCCGAAGGTTTCCCAGTTGACCTCAGAGGATGGACCTTTAATCCCTTCCAAGGTCTTTCGTAGCGATTGGATGGCGCTAGCCTGCTCTTCCAAAGCGCTCAACACCTGTTCCATGCGACACGAAGAGGCTGTCCCCCGCGACGTGGATGTATGGGAAGGATTCCCGTCATAATCAAAGTTTATCGATCCAAAGAGGGGCGATCGCGTACGTATTGAAGTATCGCAAGGATTTATCCCGATTTTCTCAATCAGTCGGATGTCATCATCTTCTAAAAAAAAATCCAAGGAGTCAGAGGAATTGTCGTCGTGGTTCATGTCAAAAATGTGGGTAGGAGGGAGGATTCTGTACACAAGCAACGGGAATGGATTTGCTGCGCACACCAAGAGCGCGTCGCTGGACGCGTCTGTCTTGTAAGCACTCAATATTTGTCATGCATGGCACGTATGCACTCAATTAGATGATGTTTACACAGACATTTCAAATAGAAAAATTATCTGCATCAGATATTTCACGAGAATATTAAATAATTCATGTATTCAGCGGTCTTCTCTTTATCCCGGGTCGAGCGAGGAGCCGCATCCTGGACACTTCAGCTTGTCCCTTCCTCCCCTGATGAATCGCCGTGAACATTTACTGCATTGAATAGGATATTCCTCTTTCTCCTCTTCTATACTATCATCCTTAAAATGGCCTCTGGGAGACGTATATGAGGGTCCTTTAGATCCCGTCTCTCCATGTTTCCTTCCTGGCGACGTATAGTTCTCAGCGGAGATAGATGACATCACATTGACATGGCTTCTATCGGAATAGGAAGCGCTTCGAGCTCTCCCACCATGGCTATTTCTTCCAGATAAATTAGCTTTTGTTTCGTCAGTACTAGGCGACCCTAAATCGGCATGCCTTAATGTCTCTATTGGCGCTGAAGCGGGTCCAGAAATGGTGTCGTCGACAGTAGCAGGATGCCGCTCTGTCACGCTGTTGCGAGGCGCAGATGTTCGCGGCAAGAAGTGTGTTTCAGGCCATCCCTCAGTTTGCGGGCGGAATGCAGCTGGAGGAGTCATTGAGCGCGGACTTGCTTCGGCCTGAAGCGACTGTACGTGGCCGGCAAGTTCAGATGCTGATCTTCTCATTCCCGTGGGAGGGGTTGACTTCATGGGGGATGAGGGGCCGAGGGGTGTGGAAAGCCGACTACTAGATGTTTTGACGGTCGAATGTCGCGAGACGGTGGACGCTCTTTCAACCTTATCATCAATTTCATGAGACATGCCGACCTGATGTGGTGACAAAGTGGCTGTTCCTTCACCACCGCCGGGCTCAACGTTGTTCTGAAATACACGGATTCTGCCCAACATATCACCAATCACAATCAACGCCCCATCAGTATTGTCCGTCATCATATCGTGCACCGAGACAGTGTCAATCTCCGAATTTCCTCGGGCAATATCCCCATACACGATTTCTCTTGTACCTTTTGGGGCAAAGATCGCGCATGTCACTGCTTCGGTAGAACCTATGAATCGCTCCCAAGATGCGGATCTACTAGCGTCGCTCTGCCAATGCATAAAACCGCTCAAAAGGCCAGGTTGATTACCGGCCTGGCCAGTACCACCAGCGTGAGAAGCATGCCCCCCTTGGGGATAAAAATTCCAGATGTACACTTGGCGATCTTCGGATCCTGCTATAATGAATCTTCCGTCGTCTGAGAAAGTCGCCTTGATTTGAGATGCCCGGCACTCCAAACCCTTATACTTTCGATGCAGACTCTTATCCCTAACATTGTACAATCGAATGCGCGAATCATTCGAAGTTACCAGCAATCGATCTTCACCAAGCCACGGATATGGTAGCGGTTCTATGCCCGTAATTTTTGCTCGTTTAGAGTGGCGATCTCGAGTAGACCTCACTTCGATTTGGGTGTTGTACTTTAACCCATCAAATTCATAGAATATACAATCCCCGTCAAAAGTCCCAGCAGCGCATAGAGTTCCATCTCTCGTAAACGACACTGCCGTGACATAGCTACCATTAGGAGTCTCATTCCAAGCGCACACTCGCTTTTCTTCGAGGGACCATACCCTGATCCGCGAGTCGAGGGAACCAGTAAGCAGATATCGATCATCCAACGGATGAAAACACACGCTTGTAACACAACCGTTATGAAGGAAACTGCATAGGCATTCCTCACGGTCGATGTGCCACAACCGGACCGTCTTGTCCATAGAAGCCGAGGCAATAAAGCCGTTCCTGGACCATGCTGCATCCAGAATCGGTGCAGAGTGCCCTCTATATATTCGAAAAGGGCGTTGTTCGAATACGTGTTCCCTGGAATGTACAAAATCTTCTGTGTCGCTGCGATCAGAGCTGTGGGACCCTTCCTTTGCATGTTTCCCACTGGGAATCCCATCAGACTGCCATTTGTGGCTATCCCACGTGCGGATCCTGGGTGTCTTCCGGTCAAAAGAAGTTGCGCAATGAGATTTGTCCGCATTCTCTGTAGCCAGAGCTGCCAGTCGCCAGGCTCGTAAAATTGAATCTTGTCCACCTTCTACGAGATATTTTCCGTCGTCACTGAATCTCATTGCCCATATGGGTCCTTTAACTTCCGCATCCTCGTCCAAAATTTGCCGTATAGAAAATCCGCCGTCGCCAACATTTTGATCATGTTCAGGCGCCTCAGGAAGGCAATGTGTCTCCCCACCCAGCACTTGGACACGTGTTAGATGGTTGAAATCCTTCTTGACCTTTCGATTTGTCTTTACTTTAACAGTCTCGGGCATATCGAGATGGTGCTTCATCCTTTCACCGTCGGCATCATCGAGTCCATTCTCATCTAAATCACGCAGAGACAGCTGGCTGCCAAAATGCTCCTCAAAATCCGATTTCTTGCCTTTCCGAAATCTTTGGAAGAAACCTTTATGCTTCTTTCCTTTAGGTCCAGGAAGGTTGAAGTGGGGCAATGATTGCTGTTTCCTCTCCGTCTCCATTCTCTCCCCGTCATCTTCTTCAGAGGACGGCTCAGGCGTGTAATCCTGCGAGTGAGCACGCACCGTTGTAGTCGCTGAGGTATCTACTATGCCCTCCAAATGAGCGGTAACAGGATCCATATGAGTTGTCCGCAGAGTACGGGCAGACCGTGACTCAGTCGATGTGGTAGAGGGAGACTTTTGTCGTGATGGAGCACGAGGCACGGACATTTGTGAACTAGAGTCTGCATCCTCTGAATCGAGCTGTAGAGGTGCAGATTTGCGGGCGTTCGGGGCTTGTAACTGAATCATCGGGGGTTTTGGTGAAGCATCGCTAACTGACACCATATCGTTGAGAGGTACGCTATAATAAGTAGAGAGAGTAGTTGAGACTCCCTGTCACTTGCAGCTCCATCTACTCCTCGCGAGTCCGTACTGACCCCAAACAGGGTTGATAATCAGTCTTACTCTTGTGACTCTCGCCACCTACCCAGCATTACCATTCTCTAACGTGCTATTGGTGTCGTCGTCTGAGAGCGATGCCCCCAGCTGACGTCCGGGAACCGGTTGCGGAAGGCGTTCGGAGCCTGGGAGGAGGCGAGGGAGGCTTGTGACTAACGGGGGTGATGGTGGGGTTGGTGAATTGGAGACGAGGGACGGAAGAGTAGTAGCAGGGGCGCGTGTAAGAGTATTAGAACCGCCATCTTCCACCGTATGCGCGTCGAAAAACTCTTCGTCATCGGAATCCATGTCCTTTTCCCACCTTTGCTTCTGGAGATGGAGTTTGAATGTTGTGACGACTGAGCTGTACAGATCATGTGATACATAGTCACGGGGTCTATCGCACTTCAGCCTCCAGTCTGTCGACGTCTCCTACATTGACTTTCTTCGTAACAACCGTCGGTCAAGCAGCGCCGATAGTTTCACTTGGGAGGAGACATGTCACAGGAAAGGGCAACATTATGAGCCAAAGGAAAACGCCTTGGCTTCTTAAGTGACTTTTTAAGATGTATCTCTGCAGATCCAACACCCGTAGGAAATATTACTTTTCCTATCGTCATATAATGCATCAGATCCCCTATGGGATCCTGCGATGTATTCTAGAGCTTCACCAGCTGGCCACTTTCACCTTCTCAAGCATGTTCTCGTATACTCCTGGGATAAAATCATGAAGCGACTGGGTTCCTAAATCCATCACGTTTGTGCTATAAATTGGATTGCGTTCCGGGCAAAGGACACCAGGGTAAACGACGCCATCGTGAACCAGGCCATTACAGATCAGAGCTGGTTACCTACCCCCGCAGAAAGCCCGCCACGGACACTAACTTGCAGCAGAGCAATACATTGCTAGTGTTCATCGCATGAAAACTCATCTGCTGCTTGACGACCGCACATGGCAACGCGGTTGAAATTTGATTCAATGCTGCTTAGCCATGGCCATGACAAGAAACAGCAAAGGAAATCCGGCAACGCCCGCAGAACGCGAGTTGGTTTTTCAATTCAAACTCACATCCCACACAACATTCGTAATGTTTGCCAAGACGCTTCTTCGTACTGCACGTCCTGCTCGTCTCGTCCGCGGTGGGGACAGCCAAGTGTCTGCTTGGGGTAGGTGTTTGATTTTCGCACGTTAATTCGGAATTGCAAGTAACCTCATCGCGGTTCACAGGTCCCTTGAACTTTGCGTAGGTGCCCGTGAGAGTAATGTGAGAGAGGGCCTCTATATCTAACAGATCTCTCGTTTTTATGTGGAAATGTGCAGTGGGGACAACTGGAAAGGTGACGGTGTAAGTAAATGTCCGTAGGTGAACTATTATAGTCAAGGTGTCCTCACCCGTACCGGTTCATGTAGGCTGTTCCCTTCACCACCCGCAGCCGGACTCGATTTTTAGTTACCTTCTGGGTCTTGTCTATTGTTGGCTTTGGCCTCCCCTTCGCCAGTATGTGTTTTACTTCCGCTACTGGAACCTTCGCCATCATCGTCCTAAATTCCCTTTCCCTTAGACACCGAAATGAGGGTTGGTCCCCTTCGAGAAGGCGTTAAGAAGGAATATGCTGAGCAGGCCGCCGGTGCTGTGGCATAATCGACCAACATCCAACAAATGTACCGAAGAGTTCACCCACGGGCTCACAAAAATATAATATATCCTTATATATTGGACTAGACGATGGGTTGGACGACATGTTTTGAGCTGGTGCAATGAGCATTTTACTACTTCTATGCGCGTAGAGCGATGGGTTTGCTAAGATTGATTATCTTCCATGGGATGCCGGTAGCGGAGCGACGCCAGCGAGGTTCTTTCATTGCGTTTTATGGCCATCATCAGCGCCCTGGATTATTGACGTCCAGTGACGCAATCCTCCACTGCTCGCTTGCTTCACCCGGCAGTATTTGACGGCGGTCGCTCCTGGAGAATGTCTGTTTTCTGGGTTGCAGGTTGCTTTGGCGGAGGGTTGGGGTGGGGTGGTTTCGTCAACACATTGCGAAGGGCCAAACCGTACAACAAGGGCCTGCCGTGCCATTGAAAACCTTATTAGGGTTCGCCAACAATAACCAAAGATGGCTGAGTATCATACACTGAAGGAGGATATCCATCGATGTCCAAGTCAAGGTCAGTGGCTATAGTCTGGCGATCAGCCGGCTTGGCTGGAAGGTCCGCTTCTGTTTTACACATTAGGACAATCAGTTAAAACATTGACCAGGCATCGTGTAAAAAAGTCCATGTCACCTGCAGAAAACACCGAAATTGTGTGATTATATCCAGAGTAACGCAAGTATTCTCTGATTAGCTCATTCAAGAGTTCGCTCTCTTTGGAAACTTGGGGCTTTATCTCACTCTGCCAACAGTTCCATTAGAATAAAATGGTCCAGTTATCTTGCAGTTGTAGTAGCCACAGACTAACCTCATCTTCAAGGGCTCTGTACACTTCTGCTCGCACTCGCGCTCTAATGTCGCTCATAAACCCTCGTGCTTCCAAGTTTTCCCTTAAAGCTACGGCGGAGAAATGGCAGGAATGCATCAGCACTTTAGAGACAAATGGCTACATACGGATATGCTTCTACCTCACACACCATCCTTTAAATCTTCATATGAAGACATTTTCCTTTTTCTTTTACAAAGGCGAGGTTTTGCAAATGGGGAAGCAAGTTAACGACGACGAGGGACGCGAGACGGACGTGTTCATCAGTGTGACTAAGCCATGGCCTGCCGTCATGACGACCAACGCAAGTCAAGAGAATGGGAAGGGTCTTTGACCAAAACCATTAAGCTCGGCTTTTGAAAAGCATCTTCTACTTTTTGCTCTTTTCAGAAGGGGGTGCGCACCATTGCAAAGGCAGGTGGGCAGGGACGTGCGCTTTGTCCATTCCTTGCCTTCTTGCACTTGAGGTAAATAGACTTGACTGCGTTTCCTGCAAGGAGAAAAATAACAGAAGACAACCTTGTTTCACGCACCAGTACTACATTTGCCAAGCCATAACCCGAGGACAGCCATAGCGAATGGAGGCAAGTTTGTACTCACCCTATTGGTTGAGAAATATATTGATCTGTGGACATGGACTGATTCGACGTTTCTGCACCACAGGATCAAATGTCCGCGGGCTCTTCTGAATCAGCAGAGTCCACTGCATACTGGATAGAATGGTTTCAGTCGTTGAAAGGAAATGAATTCTACTGTGATGTTGATGAAGATTATATCCTCGACCGATTCAACTTGACGGGGTTAAACACGGAAGTACAGCACTACGCACTAGCGTTCGATATGATCACCGATGCACTAGAAGAGGACTTGGATGACGATATGCGGGCGGAAGTGGAAAAGTCGGCGCGACATCTTTATGGCCTCATTCATGCTCGTTTTATCCTTACCGCCCGCGGACTCACAAAGATGCAGGAAAAGTTTCGCCATGCAGAATTTGGTCGGTGCCCACGAGTTCTGTGTGACAACCAGCCAGTGCTCCCTGTTGGGCTATGGGATGTGGCTGGAGTGAAGTGTGTCAAGCTGTATTGTCCGCGCTGTGAGGATGTCTACAACCCGATATCGAGACGGCATCTTGCGATTGATGGTGCACATTTTGGTACAACGTTCCCTCACCTACTGCTACAAGCATACCCAAATCTGATGCCTGCTAAAACTCCGAAGAGATACGTTCCGAAAATTTTTGGATTCAAGGTCCATCACATCGCTAACGAGCACAGGAAGCAAGACCAGTTGAAGGAGCAAATGCAGCAACGTCTTCATCAAGCGCAGGTCAACGAATGAAATGCCTTTCCCGCGAACCGTGCACGTAGGTCGTCGAGAGCAGTGACTGATTAATGCACGAGTGGACCGGACAAATGAAAAGGCGCAGACGAATGTGGATGGGTTTAGCAGGTGCTGAGATGTCTTTGTAGGGCAGAGGTCATTGCGTCGTTGAGACTCGGTCAGCTGTAAAGCTTGTCGTTGGGCAAAAAGTGCTTTTCATCCCAGCATCAGGCTGGATCTGTTCATTATAATCCCGTGTATATATTGACGCGTATTAATTAGACTCCAAAGTACCACTTATCCGTGTTGAAAACTTGTTATGGCCCATGGAACTTTGGTACGGAGTGTGATATAAACCGATTAATTCTATTACGTTACAGTACTATGGCAAAAAGTATACAAACGAATAAACTGCTAGACATGCACAGCCGGGAGTCTCTCAAGAATTGCGGGCCGTCCTTGTTTGCAATGGCCTCCAGTTCGCGGCGATATGATTGTCGACGAACTGGCAGGACGGGAATTGGCTGGGCTAGCGGATGGTTGAGGTGTACATACGACGGTTGCACCGCCAGCAGCGGAACCGCACCGAGATGTTGCTTTTCCCACTACGGACAGAAAGTCTCCCCTACATATCTCATTTGTTCCCGCCACATCCATCGGGTGATACTTGTTACTGGTCAGCCCCAGCCGCTTACCAGTGTCTACCCAATGTTTATCCGCCAGTCGCCACGGTCGCTGGTCTTTGGGCTTACTGGTTTCTTCGTGCACATAATGTTGTAGACGTGCATTGTCTTGGGCCCATGATTCAGCAGCGAGACTCTTCATATAGGCCTGCAATCTCTCGTCGTCATGCTCGTGGACCGCGAGTGTAGCACGATCGTTTGCAAGCTGCTCTTCGCGATCCTTTGCACGCTGAGCGGTATGAAGAGCCTAGCAAGGCAAAAGACGGTGAGGCCTTGAATAGGGGGGCATCGATTGATCATCAGAATGTGACGTACTATTTCTCGCAGGTGTACGTCTTGAAGCTCTTTCCCTTTCCGCAACAGTTCCTGTTTCCGAACTTTTCGCTCCGAGGTGGCCTGTTCATTGAGTCGGACGTACTCCTTTAGCTCTTCTTGATCCTGTTCTTTTTGAATCTTACGTTGGATTTCGGTTCTTCGGATCTATCAACCATTTGCACAGTTCAGTGCACGGAATTCACATTATAACAGGACTCGCAATTGCTACCCACATGGCTTTTATATGCAGTGGTCAGCTCATCTGCTTGTCGGCGTTTCTTTTCGGCAGCTTCTTTTTCTTGGCGTTTCACTTTCTCCTCTCGGTCCCGCATAGCTTTGGCCACTGCCTCATCAATCTTTGCGTCGATGAGGGCATCCTCTTTGGCTGTTTGCTCCCCAATACATTGTCTCATTCTTTGCGATTCGCTGCAATGTAGGGAATAATTGGAGATAGTTATTATATAATTCTGTCAGGAGCGTGGCAGGAAACTGCTTACTTGAACCAGGTCCTTTCGCGCTCTTTCTTCTTTATGTTCTGCTGTCTTTTCCGATCAGCCCATTCATCTGCCTTGCGAGATTCTTCTGCATCTAATTGTCGATCTGCTGCGTTTCGAGTAGCTAGCTCTTCTTTCATATTAAGGAGTTCTTGACGCAAAATTGCTCGCTGCGACCGTTGTTTCGCGGCCGCCTCTTTTTGCTTCTGTTTGAATTCTTCGTCAAGGCGAGTCAGAGTCTCTGCTTCTCGGCGGCATGCCTAAAGCAGCGATTAAATATAGGAAACCATGAAACATCAGAAGACGAAATTTACCTCCGCTTCTACATCTTCCCGCGCTTGCTTTTGTCTCAGTTGATCAAGCAGATCCTGCTGTGCTTGCAATGCACGTCGTCGGACTTCTAGTTGCACTTGCAGTTCAGCCTGTTTCGCAGCAACTGCTTTCGGTTCTTCTTCGCGCGCGTATTCCAAATCCCGTTTCCTTTCGAGCTCTGCCCGCTCTTTTTTGAGAGCGACCTGCATATCTCTTTCCTAACACCACCCATGGTCAGCAATTAGGACATGCCTCATATTATATTCGTCGAGGCTAACCTTTAAGGCCTCAAAGAGCACAACTTTACTATGAAAGTTCTTGACCATATCTGTTTGGTAATACTGTAATTGCTTGGCTCGGTCAATGGCAGCCTTCCTCCTCTCAGCTTCCTCTGCGGCATACTCCTGGTCCATTCGTACACGCTCAGCTTCCTCGGCTGCCAGTCTATCTGAACGGGATTGAAGTCTTTTTCGCCGCTGGCCTGCAATGGTATTGTCCCACCGTGATACGCGGGCCTTGGACAGACGGTATCGTTCCTCACGCTAGAGAACTCCGTGAGCAACAACATTGGCAATAATAATTGCAGGCCAAAATGCATTTATGGTCAATCCTGCTATACTCACATCTTCTTTTTGCATCTGACGGATTCGCTCCTCTACCCCTACCCCTTCAAGTTTCTGCTGTAGGCGCTTCAAGTCTAAGGCACTAACAATGACTGGCTCCATTCTGAATGATAGTCCCACACACTGATTAAAAGTTTGGGTAATTGGCAAGATCGTTTTACATATAATCACCTTTTTCTCGATCGGGCATCGGTTGCATTGGCGTCATCCTGGAACGGTTGTGAAAAGTCGCCCGCTGAAAAAGCAGGAAATTTGGTGGAGTACCCGAGAGGCCATCGGAAACAATGTCAAAGTATAAACAAAACGACATGTAAGATGAGGAATATTGAACAGAATTACAGCACGATACCAACGATAATATCCAAGATGTGGTCCTATATTCTGCGAAAGAATGCCTACGGTAGTCATAGCTATTCAACGCTAAAGAAAAACAAGGTGAAATGGATGGAGAAGTATGGACAAATTCAGATTATTTTAGATCGGCGCTCGGGGAATTTCTGGCAATCTCCGCAATACGTAAGAGACGCGTTCGGACATCGGGTTGACCCTGAGTTGTCCAGCTGCACGCATTGCACGGAAGGGCAATGACCACCAGCACTGTGAGCAGGAAACGAGTAACCTCGCATGTGGTCAGTAGAGGAAGATCGCGTTCAAAGACAACCACAGAGCGCGAACGCCGCTTCATTAGCGATGGCACCTACGATCATAGCGGAATACGCAAAATGGCTCAACGCGTTGTAATGAGCGTTCCGGAGGAGGTAGTAGGATATTAGGGCAGTGTAGGCTTTACCGACGCTGACAGTCATGTCTAGCCGCTGGTTCGACGGCCTTCAGAAGCTGCCCCAGTGCATACAATATACCCATCATGGTGGGGGCACAGGGAACACCAGGGCTTGCGACCTCACACTGCCTATTCACACCCGGTGAGGGATGCTGTAGTAGTAGAGACCACTGGAGCATTCTCGCAAAATTGGTCATGTAGGTATTGGTCATGTCCAAGAATGAGAAGATTGATAAATAATGAACAAGTTGTGTTCTAATGAGTTTAGATCCTAAACGCATGGTTGACGAGATGACGCAAACTGCCAACAATGCGCAAATACTGTCACGGTTGGCAACACATGAGAGAAACAAGATGCAATCCCAGGGTGTCAATGAATTCTTTGTTTCACTGGCGAATAACGAGGAAGCAAATGAAGTATCTGAGACACATGGAACTTTGAATAGACGGGAAAAGCCTTTGGAGGGCAGGAGACAGGACAGCGAGTCTTCTCAGCATAACCAGCTATCAAAGCATAAGACTACGGTGCCGGACGAGTCAGTATTTGCAACTACGACAACAGAAGCTGCTGTGCAGTCACGACAAGGTAAGTATCCAATCTCGTTTGATGGGATTACATGTTGATTTGATATATCATAGTTCCTCCGCAACATTTCGCAACGTTCACGATCTGCGCGCCGAGTGCGTCAAACAAGCCGCCTCCTACCCTCCTGGAAATTGCCAGCAACTTTCTAAAGAGCGACATCATTCATTGTTTGGACTTGAGGGCGCTGGAAGTTGAAAGTGACGGGGACGACGACGTGGTGGAAGCCATACGCTGACAAAGTCAATGTAGTTGCTATGGTAACAATATGACATTAGCTCTTCTCGTCATAGACCCATTGCCAGTGTGAAATCTTGTGCGAAACCAATCTTGAAATGCTTCGTACAATTGCTGCACGTACTGCCCGCGCCCGGATATCGCGCTCTTTTGTGTCTGCGGCCACCTACACAACCGGTAATTGTCCACACTGCCTACCCATTTTCTTGCGCATACGCTGATCTACTTCCAATAATTGTACAGCTACTCGTACCACAGTACCTTTCCCTCATGTATCTCAAATTGCCATAACGTCCTCCAGACTTTCAGTGACTACTCCGACACGGTCGTTTAGTTCAACATCGGGAGCACTTGCCCCAAGCTTGGGCTCTGAAGTATCAGCAGGTGATGCTGATTTCGAAACGATATTAGCGGAAGCGGGAGACACACCCGTCGTGGTGGACTTCTATGCAAAGTAAGGAGCTTTTCCTCTCAACGGCGTAAGTCCGGGCGGTTATTGATTAATTTCATGTGGCGGTCTCCCCTTTCAGTTGGTGTGGGCCCTGTCGAGTACTGGCCCCCATCCTGAAAAAGGCGGTCGAAGAGAACAAGAAAACGTTTTTAGTGAAGGTGGACGTAGACAAGGCGGAGCAGATTGCTGCTAAATATCAGGTGGTAACTTTTGGTGCTGGGTCGGTCTGCAGATCACTGATCGTTCACTTTCGTGCAGATCATGTCTCTTCCGACTGTGCTGGTGTTCCAGAACAGCAAGGTGAAAGATTCCTTTATTGGGAGTCGAGATGAAGCTGCTGTTAAGAAATTTATCGAGAAAGCCACGCAGGCATAGACTGCTTCACATGCAGGGACAGACGGGTTCATGTTTTGTACTCTACAATGATTGCTGCCCACTTGATATATTACAAAGCCTGCACATTTACAATTAATCTTATGAGATGTCCAGCACCTCCCGCCAACTACCTCCGCATATGCAACAATTCCGAAATGCGCCTCGCCATACTACTGGGCCTTTAGCCAGAAGGCCAATTTCAGACATCAGCGTATCCGCTCCTCGAAAATGTTCTGATTCAGAGTCAGGACCAGATGCATTTCCTCGAGAGAATTGCAGGCAGCGTATGCACTGCCTTACAGTATCCGCCCGAGATAGCCGGGCCTTAGTTACGACATCGATATGGGAGCGGATTGCATCCACTTTTTTGCGCTTGGCAGGAGGCATGACATCAAGTCGCCCGGAAATCTCTTCAAGGATAAAGTTATTTCTGTCGCTGGTATATTTCTCTGCGAAGGGAGTGCCCCAGATGTCATCCGTTATCGTGTCCAGAGGCCACACCTGAGACTTTGGCGCTTTGAATAGGGTTGTAATAGATGGCCCAAGTCGCATAGCAAGAAGATCATCAGGGCTTGAGCTCAGGACGGGATCAACTAGAGGGGTGTCTGGAGGGAAGATGTCGCATATTCTTGTCTCGAATGCCGTTCTCACCGCCGAAAGACTACTAGTATATGCCTCATCTACTGTCCCTTGAACGAGCATGTTTTGCTCCATTATCAGTCGCTGGGTTTCATCAATACTCTGCTCTTGCAGCTTTTCACTAACTTCCTTGCCTATGTCCGCTAGGAAGCCAGCGAAGGGCACAAATTTTACCCGACTGCGCCTAAATAGGAGAGCCAATTCGATCAAGAAACCCTGTAGCTCTGCGTTGTTCTTCCACATTGATCTGCGGAGATGAATATTGTACTCCAGATAGATCATTATGAAAAGTATCGACAAAATAGTTCGCCGTATGCCAGTGTGGAAGAGGAAGGGTAGCACACTTGGGTAGCGGTGAAGTGGGCGCCCTTCACCCGCTGTCTCCAAAGATTTCTGTTCCATGTTCAACAAACAGTACACCTGACGCAAAAGGGTTGTACAGAAATCCGACAACCACAGGGCAAAAGCCACAAGAGGTTGGAGGCATTCTGCCGGGTTCGTGGACGGATAGTATGAGATGAAGGAAGCTGATCAACGTTTACCAAGTCTCCATACCTTTTCGGACGATCATGGCAGCTTGAAGTTTGCCAGCTCGTTCCAAGTCTTGAACGTCCGACTTCTGGAGTAAGTTTGCTGAGAAGGGCAAGCATCAATATCGCTGAGGAATAAAACCGTCATCTTCTTCGAAGAATCCTTACCTATGACCTCCCACGCAGCTTCCGGTTGCTCAAAAGCCGAATAGCACTGGGCCAATACACTTTGTAGCTGGATCCAAACTTGAGTGTTGGCATATAGCTGCTCATGACTAGGTATCATCCTTTCCAACCAGAATGACAGATATTGCATACATGATAAGTCAGATCTGGCCAACAGCCGGACGGTTCCGCACCACATACCGATACATGGCAAGCTGTAAGCCCACAGGACCATTTTCAACCGACAGGGCGGCATTGTAGGGAAAAGTAGTGGCAGGGGTCCAACCGGACAATGACATGATTTCGGCGTGCTTGGCATAAACCCGTCGCATAATCTGAATGGTAAGATCTTACGGCGTTCGGAGATATGAGAACCAGTAGTTGCAGAACAGACTGCTCAACGCACCCCAGTTACTCACCTTTGAGTCCCGTTTCATCTACATATGCTCTGGTAGCAAACAGCAGGTCTATGTATTCAACTCTGTTTGCCAACGCAATAGCGAGTTTAGTAGATAAGGCTTCTACTATCGTATGGCTTTCTAATGCTATCATGCAGAGGAAAAATACTGAGCCACTTGCTGCATATGGAGGCATACGCCTTACCTTCAATATTTTCAATATCATGTTTCATGAGATCGATGATGACCCCTCTTTCGGTATCATCTTTAGCAACAAGAATCTCGACGCTGTTCGGAGATACAGCAAAATTTATGATGGGCAAATTCCACCCATTTCGCTTGGTAGAACCGCCAGAGGAGCTGTAATTTCCGCAGATTGAAGACATTTTCTGGTAATCTCCGTGAGCTGGCTCCGTGCTAGCCCTATGAACTTCAGATATCCCGTCTCCTTCGGTCAGACACGATGCGGGGCTGTTCGTATTAATTCCTGGATCCTCATCCAGTCCTGTCGCAATTGCTGTCTCACGTCCTGCTGCTTGTTGAATAGCTGGTTCCGAAAGATTCTCTGTTGCTGAGTCTTTGTACGGCGAAAATGTGAACCGGCCGAGATCGGTCTTCAACAAAGTGTCACCATCTCGCATCTCGCACTTGCCACTAGAGTACCCTAACAGAATAACCCGAGAGCCATCGCTTCTTCCACTCTCCGATCGTTCCATAACTTCTAAAGCAGAGACAAAATCTCCGGTGACATGATAGTTTGCAGAGATGGCCCAACCCTATGAAATTATGTAACATAAACATCAACCCAGAACAAGATTGTCGCCTCATTGGTGCCCGAGAGAATCGCTCACCTGATTGGAGTCATTACTTGGATTGTCATCCGACATAGACGTCCACTCGCAAATATATACCGAACTCCCTCTAGAGTCGTCATCACTTGGAGCTCCCTTGCGATCCAAAAGCTCCCCGGCGTCTGGCATTCTGTTGCTGACAACAAAGATGACCCTTGATTGCCCCAGTATTCGCAGGTGGCTCAGTGCCCCGTCAGATATCATTGCTGCGGTATGTTCGCCTTGATCTCGTCGCAAGATTCGCCTGCCAGTGCAATGGATGACTTATGCAGGTACTGCAATATCAGCACAGCGCTTTACCGGTTGCATCACTTCACAACGTAGAAACTTACGAAGTGACGAAAAATTCACTTGGAAGTCATAGAGGCATACACTTGAATCGAGTGCGTCCGGGCAGTAGATTGCGGCCGTGAAGCTATTTGCTGGTATGATATGTCAGAATTCTGTCACTATTTAAAGAATTATCCTCATCTCCTTACCCTTGCGCAGGTGTATATCCGCATGAGTGACTCCATTTCCCGCTTTTCCATGGTGAACGGGCGCTCCATCGACAGCCATATGTGTGTCCAAAACTTCTAATCCGGGTATTTGCACCGAGAAGGTCTCCACCTGTCCACTCGATACCAACTGAAAGACGTGTATCTGTGATATGATAGCCATCAGACGCTCTGAACTACCTCGATGGGCAGCGCATAAGGCAAAACATTCAGTTTACCTTGCCAGAGCGTGATAACACAATAAAGCCCGGGTCGCTTAGGGGAGGCTTTGGTCCCATAAACGGCGTGCGGAAGTAAGATAAACCAGCACCAGCCTGTGCATCCGACATCTGTGTCGGTGCGAATTTTCCAGAACTCAAATCTACACCCCACTTTGTATGTCGGCCATTAGCTAAACCTCTGCTACTCTGTGCGCTCGATACCAAGCCGTACCAATCGATCCTCTTGTAGCCATTGAAATGCAACAACCGGCTCATCCAAATCGACCGTATGTACAGCGTCCCACTGATTAATACATCCCTGAAACGATCCAAAAGATTATTCCAAGAACGTAGATTACATCATGCGCAAGTTGAGGGAATAGCTTGCCTTCAGCTGCCATATAATTATGCGGCCAGTTTGATCCACCGAGCTCAGATACTTTCCATGCTGGTCCCATTGTACACAAGTAATAGCATTCCCTCCGTGGAGCTCCGGGACTCGATGTAAATTGCAGATTTCTACCAATTGATTACCACCCTCAGTCGACTGGAATATAGAAATATGCGGACGCATCAATGATTCTCTTGTGGGATACGGAGCAGCTTTGTTATCTAGATGGCCGCTTGGTGCAGCATATATCAAGACTTATTCACCTGTTGCGATCTCGCTTCCGCTTTCCAGTCACCCCTCGCGGTGTCTGGGCCCCGTTTGAGGAGGCCACAGCAATAAGATTTAGGGTTGACCAGGTCATACATCTGTCGGGAAACGGAAACGGTTACTATCATGCAGACTAGATGGTTGGGTATCCGGGAAAAAAATTATCTACGGACAGAGCTCAGATCAGGCCTAGATATTGTTCATTCACCAGTGGGACCTGCCACACTCCCCAATTGACACGGGAATGGAGGTCAACCATGTCAGAACCACTTGTAAATTCCTCGACTGACTTTCATCATCACTCCGACAACTCGCTACTGAGTTGAGTTTCGTAGGCTAGAGTTTGGCCTACATGACGAGTACCTAGAGCTGCGTACCTTATTCTCCCTTCATTAGCGAGAGTCTCATCATAGCTTTCACACCAATTCCTGGTTGGGAGTTGCGGAAGTTCAGTTGAGTTTCCTACTTGCATTATTAATGGCATCTACAAATCTGCCTACGCTGGTCGGTCCAGATGGTTACGTATCTACACTCGAACCACATTTAAAGTGGCCTCCACGCTGCTGCGCAGAAAGTCATCATCGTCAGCACCTGAGGAATGTTGTTTTATCGTCGCATCCCTTTCAGACTTCGTTGCCTAGGAGTTGTCTTGGTCGTCGTCGGACTCTTCGCCGTCTTATATGGGCGTTCAACTCTCGAAACAAGTGCGTACTTGTTCAGACCTATATGGGACTCACCAGGGACGCCATGGACAATCATACCACATTACTACGCGGAAGGGATATCGGGCGCTGATATTTGTGCTGCCAACAGCTGGAGTTGGAGGAATGAGGGGGACCATGTGCCAAAAGTTTTCGACGCGATAATATTTAGCGTGGAGCTGGATCTCTTAGAAATTAGATTGCGAGAGCTTCTACCGGTTGTCGACAAATTTCTCATTTTAGAAGCTGGTAATGCCTTTACTACCCGGCTTGAAGCATCGCCGGCAAATTAAGAAGCCTTCTTGCTAATCGTGTTTGCTTTAGAATCAACATTCACCGGTCTTCCTAAACCGCTAGCCTTCCAGCAGAACCAAGAGCGTTTTTCCTTCGCAGCGAATAAGATAGTGCACCGTGTTACTACTTTACCTCACCTGGAGAAGGGAGAGGATCCATTTAAAGTGGAAAATGCCATGAGAGTGGCGATGAACGATTTGTTGCGGGAAGTCAATGTTGAAGAGGGTGACTGGGTTATTATGTCGGACGTTGACGAGATTCCTGCCCGTCACACCATTGGACTCCTTGGGAACTGCACGGGCATCCCGTCTCCGCTGCATCTTCAACTACGATCATACATGTATTCATTCGAGTTTCCTTATGGAAATGGCATGGATAGTTGGCGAGCTCAGTTGCACCGTTACGAGCCCTCCTCCACCTATTATCGGCATTCTCGGTCTAGCGACTTTCTGCTAGTTGATGCAGGATGGCATTGCTCATTCTGCTTTCGGACAATAAAAGACTTTGTCTTCAAGATGACAGCCTACTCGCACTCTGATCGAGTCAAACATGAAGGCTTACTTGATGAAACAAGAATTCAAAAAGTCATCTGCGAAGGATCTGATATCTTTGGTATGCTGCCAGAGGCGTACAGCTACAGGGAATTCTGGAGCAAATGGGGCAAGCTAGATAAATCAGCATCTGCAATCCACCTACCACAACATTTAATTGCCAAAAAGGAGCGGTTTCGATTTTTGCTCCCAGGTGGATGCATGAGGAACAATTCGACAGATCTTTAGTGAAGAATGCTTGGAATGTCATAATAAGTACAAATTGATGATAGAAATTATCTTAATGGAATCACGACAATGTAGAAGCAGCTCGTATCTGCAGAGACAGTTCATCTCTCCAAGCATGATATCAATAAAGTTTCTCTTTCCTCTTCTCCTTCATGCTCTGTATTTTGGCCGTCTTTATCTACTTATGTTTCTTTTCGTGATTCTTGTGTCATTGATCACCCAACCCAACCTTTGTTTCATTTCTATCACAGTCTTCCTCAACTTTGGTCTGCTTGCGACCCGACCTTCTGAACTGTGCTCTGGCATGCCCGCGTCGGTCTCAATGTGGAGACTCAGCCATCGACCATAAGCAAGGCCAACTTCGGCAACTGCGAGAGCACCAAGGATTCCTGCGGCGACTTGAGTCCCTTCAGTGGGTCCGCATGAAGGTGAAAGATATCTGATTATCACTGAAAGATGTCACCATCAGTTGCCTCGAATGTCGCGTTATTGGGTTCTTATCTTTAAATCAAGCAGACGAACTGGCCAGACATCGCGTTGAATTGTGGAGAACGCTCAGTAGGAGAACTTCGGGAAGGATATTGCTGTAAAATTGGTGCAAGGTAAGACGGTAAACGCAGTTGACGTCGGAGCCGAAAGTACCTAAGCCACAGCCTGGACAGTCTTCACCCTCCCCATCGCCTACGGTGCGCAGCGGTGATCTCGATCCATTACAAACAGAGAAATGCATCTCGACGCCAACACTGACGCCTAGAGGGTTGTGGTGTGTCTTCACAACAGCGTCCTGCCATGTGTACCCTAATGGGTCTGAGTCCGTAGGGATTGATCACGAGCTGAAGGCCTCTCCCCAAAACGACGTTTCCCAAAATCTTCGGTCAAAACTACACAAGTACACCCACCCTAACCATGGTCCCTTCCGGGTCGGACTTCCATAGTCTATTGATTTACCGTTGAGATTATCATATTAACCGTAAATCTCATGTTGGTACAGGTTCATGTTGCCAAGTTGTCCCACTGTGGAGATTTCCATGTTGATGCTGCTAGAGCAACAACCGGACTTTGCCCAGGTGGCCTACATGGCTCGACTTCCTCCGGAGATGCAAGTTTCGGGTATGGGACGCAAGTCAGACAGTTGGGCGGTGCGTCGCCGAGTGCTAACCGGGCACTTTACTCCTTCTTGTTGACAAGTCTTCATAAGTTCCCCCAATCAGTGGCTTTCCCTGAGAAATCAGCTAATGATGCTTCTGCAGAATGGGTTTACAACTGCGCAGATATTGCAGTTGGGGATCGAGCGATCCGTACTGACGGCGTGCGTCGGTGACGTAGTTTTTCAAGACAATTCCTCACCTGCGGCAGAAAAGGGACCTCTGCCTAACAGTTTGGACGGAAATCGGAAGGCTGTTCCTGCCAAGTTCCCTCAGAGCGACCTTCTCAATTCAGAGGTGAAGAATGAAAGCGATGGACCAGTGTCGCCCGCCAATATGAGCGGCGATATATGCACGAAGGAGATCACCAGAGCAGCTGATGCAGCGCCAAATGATGATCCATGGATAACTCTTTTTGAGTCTGCCCCTCAACTTCCTGTTACTGACACCACGAGCGACTCGATCTGCACATCTTCCCTGCCTTGCGGGGAAATCACCAGCGGTCACCAAAAGGAGAGTGACACTGAAGAAGGAGAAATATGTGAAGACATGGATTTAGAGGAAAATGAATTGATGCGGATTGTCGATCGTGTTTGGGAAACTGTGAAAGGTACTCGTCACTGCCTCTCCTTTCACCATTTTTTGTGCTGATGTTAGCGCTCAGTTGGGGGTTCCGTTAGGGAGGGTAAGCACAGTAGACCGACAGCAATTGAATTGAACAACGTGTCTCCCTATACTGCCGGATATGCACAGCCGCGGCCGTTCATTCGTGAGAGATTCATAAACTACGTCATCGACCTTAGTGAATCGGAAGAAGAGGACGTCAATGAGCCTGCGAGCGAACCTAACCACAGAGCTGTAAAAATGAAAACTGCGACAGAGATGGAAGCGGTACGGAAGAGGATGGAAGAGTTAGAACAGCAAAAGAAGGCTCTTCAAAACAAAATGCGTCTGATCGCAGCAAAAAAGCGGAAGGCCGAGGCGAAAGGGCCACTACAAGCACCTGTCACAGACGTTAGCTCTAGCGCCGGAAATATATCTGGGGCTGAGCTCCCAGTTCGAAATCAAGCATCCAAGGTACGGGCACCTGCGACCGCGGCAGTGCAACCATCCGCGGGAAGCAAAGCAGTGGTGTCAAGCAGCACGATCTCCGCAGCTCCTGTTGCGGCGGCAGAAAGCACTACCACCGGCGAAGAGCTCAGCACGTTGGTGTCTGCCGCCCGTCATTTGCGCCAGCAACAACTAGAGGCGGCAGTACTATATAACGAAACCTCCCTTGCCGCTGCACAGGCTGAAGTTGTTGGAAAGGAGGGCGAGCGAACTAGATTACAGACTCAAATCCAGGAAGTGCATGAAAAGAGAAACAAAGCTCAAGCTGCGATAACAGAGCGACGTGCACTGCTAGAAGAATTACAAAGGCAAATCGAACAGGACGAGATGACCGTTGCGTCATGCTTGAAGGTCGAGGAAGAGCTTGCCAGTCAACTCTCCCTGCTGAATAAAGACATATCAGCACACGGAAGCAAAATATCTCGTCTTCATGAAACGATCAAAGCAAAACGGCAAGAGATTCTCGATTTAACTAAGGAATCTCAGCCACAAGAACCGCAGCCCGAACGCCTTGGGGCCAAACGTAGCAATTCCAGTTCTACCGGAATGCAATCAAAGCGCCTCAAATTGTCCAATCCCGAAACACAGCATGGTGACGTACAGCGTGCCGATACACACTTCGTACAGTTCTTGAAAAAGACGGTATCAGCCATTGATACTTCCAACCACGCTGAGTCACCAGTTGGTGTGAATCGAGAGCAGGTCGCGTGTTTCCCAGACTTAGAACTGGAGAAGCTACAGGGTGATTTGCCATGGCAGGAGGACGTGACGATCGAGCCTTTGATGGCAGTGTGCGGTTATTTGCGCAGAGAGAGTGATTTGGGTGTGATCTTCGATGTGTACAAGTCTCCGTTCCCAGCGAACGGTCGGTGGAATTGTGAGCGTGAAGAGGTCCACAGTATAAATGTCACGGTACGCCCTGTGCACCAAGTTGTCATTCTACGCCGTTTGCTTTTAATAACGATTATCTCCGGCCGGTATAGCATGACACGGCCGGGGATGGAGTGTGTAAGAAGAAGCTTTCTCCGTATAATAGCACGCTGTCGAGGTTCAGATCGTTCCGCTTCAGCAAAGACTATGACAAAGATATAAAATCTTTAACATGGAGCAATAAAGTTGACCCCTTCCAGAATCTCTGCCGCTTTGAATTGGAAGGCGGAAAATGTTTTGATGAGAAGTGCAAAGGGCAGCATTTTCGCGATATCACTATGTCAGGTATTTAAGGTTTACTTACTCCTTGCCCTTGGATGAAGATTAATCTCCGTTTCTGATTGTTGTAAAAGAGGAAGAAATGGTAATGGACTTGATTTCCTACACCACCCCTAATCATTTGCCTCTTGAGAAGATAAGGGAGTTGAAGGAGGGATGGCAGGCTTCAGGTGCCAAAGTCTCTGCGATAGGTGACCTTACACGGGCTATTCATCAACAAAAACCGCGAGAAGACAGCATCATATCAATATCTCTTGGGCGCCGGCATGACCTGAAGGGATTGCTAAGAAGTGACCACAGTGCCAATTGTCCGACCCAGCCATATCGCCAGGATGTGGAGAAAGAGACGCAATCGACTGGTCTACATAGCCACACAGCCGAAACTGCTAGCCTCGCTCCACCAGTCCTGCATCTTCCCCCGCGCGTACCCATCCTAATATCAGGAATCCAAAAGATTGCAAATGGAGAAAAAGTGAAGAATGGACGATACTTCGAAGCGTCAATTTCGGAAGAAGATTCTGAAATGCTGGTCGCTAGATACCCACGTACAGTTGAAAACTGGGTGAACTATGCCACCGAAGCACTGCCCGACCTGACAAATAAAGAGCTGGAGAAGTCTTCTGGGAATCTAAATAAAGTCTTGAACATTCTATCACGAGCTTTGCAAGCGAACCGCAGTTCAGAGGTTCTGTGGGAATTCTACTTGGAATTATTTTGTCGCCGAGGGAAAGAGGAGGACGTACGAGAGAGCTTTGAGCAGGCGCTTCAATTTCTCCCAAAGTCTTTGCAGCTCGGATGGCGCTGGTTTCTGTGGGAAACGGCGAATGCTCGAAAAGAGGAAGTTTTAAAGAGGATGATAGATGCCCTAATCTCGGGGTCGGAATACCAAGGTTGTCTTGTCTAGTTCATGGCTGCAACGTCAATTCAACTAAATCGGATGTGTTAACTCTACAGGTGCTCTTATTGATGTGGTGTTACAAATCACACGGATATGTTTGGATGACGGCAGAGTGAAAAACGCCAAATCCTGGCTATGGGCCTTTCTAACAGCGACTTCACCCACTGCTATACTGATCGACACTGCAGGCGATGGTGTCTCGACTGGGGCGGCTCTCCCCGATCTATGTAAAACGGTGGCATTCGAAATCCTATCAAAAGCTGATTTAGCATTGGCATGGTTAACGTATCTTCACCTATTGTACTTTGAAGATTTACCGTGTGACCTGTTCCACGATTATCCTTATCACTATTTAGTTAAGCGACGTTTTTGGGAGGTTATGTGGCTTAAAAGATGGAACCGCCCGGGAGACACAGACACTTCAGTAGAACACATACACAGCATATTCGATCACATAATAACATCTTGGAAGATGTTTACCCAAGAAGGGGAGAGGATGCCTTACGTCGCGTTGATTCGAAACTATTGCAACTTTCTGCGGCAAGTGGCAAGGCAGGAACCTGATGAGATACGAACCTATTTGATGAAAACAATTCAAGCGCATGCAAACATCCCTGATCTGTGGGACTTGCACGGCTTGCTTGAGGAGGTAAGACTAAATCGATGCATATGTTTATACTCCGTCTTATATTCTGTTCAGTCATTCGGCGAAGTCCCCAAGGCAATGAATGCGATGAAGATGTACTTGCAAAGAGTACCAGAAGAGTTTGCCCTGTGGAATCGATATGCGAAGCTCACGCTGGTCAGCGGAAATTGGGACGACCTGATTCGCATCCTGGTTAATTGTGTGCGAGCCATTTTTGTTGGTTTAGACGACGTACGTGAATGACGAACGTTTAAACCACCTGTTATTTTCAACTGATCCGGATCTTTGAAGATTCATACCTTGCCGTCGCAGAGCATAGGTGGCATTGTGGATGAGGCGTTGTTGTTGTATCGGAAAGCCCTTGCTCTGAGTGTTCCTACCCACAGAGCGCCTGAGGTTCACCCACACCTTGATAGGACTCAGCTGAAATCCAATGTATATTTGTGGCTGAATTATCTGATGTTGCAGTCTCTTCATATTTCTGATGGGGAGGCACCGCGAGAGATACGTCAATCGTTTGATCATGCTGTTGAGGCAGTGAAGGAAGCGGATAGTCGACATATTTTGTGGATGGAGTGCGTGAACGGATTCTCTAATTGAAATACCCTGTCGATGATTTACTGATTTTGCTGATTGCTAGGTATCTCCGGTTTGAGCTGGCCGCGGGACCAGAAGACAGTATCCCCAAAGATGCGATGAAAAGGACGATGTCTGTTCTCGGCAGAGCGTTACGGGATATCAAGGTTGAAATACCTCACCCTGGACGGCCTCAGAGCTCCACTATGGAATTTATGAAGATGGTTCCCCTAAGGGTCTGGATGTCTTGCACGCTCCGTCATTTACGTCTTTTTTTTTGTCGGGAAGGGGCGCTTAATGTTCTTTTTGCCGGTTTACAGGACCTCGCCCTCTCATGCCGTTTATGGGAGGTGTGTTTTACAGCATACCCTGCTGATAAGCAAGCTGAACTCATTGACTTGGTTGTGCATGGCCAACTACCGTTGGGTGCTTCTCCGCTGTAAGTCTCTAATGTTGTCGGCAAAGTGCTCGCAAGTGATATTTAATTACTCTTTTGCAGCACGGCGAAAGCTGCTTTGCAACTTGGAAACGTTGTTGGTTGTCAGCATATTTTGTATGCCTCCCTTAATTTGAATCCAAAGCGAGGGCTCGTATGGACAATGTAAGGCTGCTCACAAGGTGTTGTCGTCACACTCATGACTTAAACTCTTATTTGAAGGGCGATCCTTCTCGATTATCTCACCGGGAACTTGCAGCAAGCAGAGTTGCTCTTTGAGCACGCCAAACAGTATGTTGCTCATTTACCTACAGGTCTGATATGGCATGGGATGGCTGCAACTGCATAGTTTTTGATTTCTGCTATATTGCAATAAGCAAAATAATACCATAAAAGGTACATATCTTGCTGCACTATCATGACTAGCCTTCCTTGTTGAGAATCGTCGTATATCAAATTAATACAGAGTGCAATGTAACTTGCTCCCCGCTTTTGATCATTATGTTGACTTTCCCGCACACGGCGCATAATGCCTTCTGATGGTGCACCATCCATCAAACCAAAAACAAATGTGGTCATTTGCCATACCAGCAGCGACAATGCCGCGTACGTCTGTCCAGCGACCGTCAGACCACACGCATATTCCGTAGATAATGTACGTACCCAGTTGGATGCCTGTTGTTTAATCTATGCAAATACTCGATTCGAAAAGCAAATTGAGTCCTCAGCCCCCAAACGGTGATCATGGCACGACCCTGAAGCCTTGATCATGTGACCTTGTGCCGCACTATTCAAGGAAAAGCGACTTGGCTGGTAGGAAATTGACTTTTGGACGACCTCCACGTTCTCATTTTCAGTACAGACTTGCCAAGGCAGCGACGTCGGGTGACCGCTGGATTGGAGGGACTCACAAGGTAGGTCGTTTGCTTAAAGAGTGGCCGCTTGCATCTCGGAAGTCGCCGCCAAAAGTGCTGTCACTGTCAAACCCTGCACGGAGTGAAAGGGCTAAATTTCCACCCTATTGTCAACTCTCCTCCCATCGAACAGCGAACGTGTGCGTGGACAACCTAGCACGGCAGGCACCTTTCTCACGAAAACAGATTGTGCGAGGATCTATACATTATACGGGTGGGCACCTGGGTTCACCTAGACGGCCATGCAACCACCTCCTGCTGGCCGACCAATGTTAGGGCAGCCTGCGGGAAACGGGCATTTCTACTTGCCACCGGGCTCACAGGGTCAAGTTCCCCAGTATGGAGGTCCTGGTAGAAGTCCTCTGATAGCCGGGTCTCCACCAGACGGTCTCCCTCCGGGATCTCTGCCGAACGGCGCACCCCCCATGCGTCCCTTTTTCCCTCCGACAGGGTACCCGCAGAACGGAGGCTTCCAGCGACCGTATGTTGTACCTTACATGTCACCTGCAATGAATCCTTATGCGGAGAGACCTTACGATGGTCCCATGCCGCACTACAACCGTCCATTACCTCCAGCTCCCGTCCCATTTGTTCCGCCCCTTGTGCGCCCTGATTACCCGCCGCAGCAACAGCAACCAATTCATCACAGCAATCAAAATCATTATTATCAACAGCATCAGCATCAACAGCAGCATTCACTTCCACCTCATCCTCATCAACGGCCGACTGCCAATGAACATATTGTCCCGCCATCGCAGCTACAGGGCGGCGTGCGCCCTCAGCCAGTGTCCGTATTACCACCACCAGAACCTCGATATCCTCAACAGCGGCGTAGTGCTTCGTCAGTTCCTCCATCATCTCCACCCTCCATCCCAGGTGAGTCGTACCGACCGTTGGACATTTGTAAGTGGTATATGTATAGGTGGATGGGTGGACTTGTAACAAACGCGGGGTTAGCTTCGAGAGATCTTCTGCTATGGTGGCTGGAGATTTGCACTCTCAGCGCACACTAGTTTCTGAAGCGATTTTTGGCGTGGTTTCTAGGCAGCCGTCGAAGCTCGGGAGTCCCACAGCCACCTCCTAGATTCGACAGCGAGCACAGCAGCCTGCATAAACGTGACTCGGAAGATGTTAGAATACCAATGGTCTATCCCGCACTTCTGTCGAAGGTGGCGGATGCCTTTCGAGTTAAAGTACCGCTATCTACACACACCAAAGATTCTCTAGAGTACACGGATTGCTTTGTTGGACGCGATGCTGTGGTGAGTTCATTCCTTTCGGTCTGCACCACCTCTGAAAGGTCATTGATCAATGTCCACGCTACTGGCAGGATACAATTGCCTTTATCATCAAAACCACGGATCGGAATTTAGCGCTACTACTTGGTCGAGCATTGGATGCTCAAAAGTTCTTTCATGATGTTACCTATAATCACCGCCTACGGGACAGTTCAAATGAGCTCTACAAGTTCCAAGCCCGAACAGTAACTCCGCTCGTAGCTGATATCCCCGACGCTACTGCGGATCCTGAAGAAGGAGGCCTGCCAAATGGAGTCTTTACCTTACTGACGGACTGCTACTCTCCCACCTGCACGCGTGACCGACTTTGCTACAGCATTGCCTGTCCGAGACGCTTGGAACAGGTATAGGTCTATCTTTATCCTGTCGTTTTTCATTCAACTGATTGCTTTTGTATTTGCAGCAAACTCGTTTGCTAAGTCAAACAAGCTCGCAGTTACAACGTAGTCCTAGCCGGGCTTCTTTAGCCGACAAGGACAAAAAGGTAAAAACTCTCCTGACATACAGATGGTCTAAGGTACAATGTCTCATATACCATGTAGGGACACCTATGGTCGACATCGGTTCCGAAAGAGATCGTAGAATCTGTGTCTGCAACGGAAAGGAAGCGACAGGAGATTATATTTGAAACTATCCAAACGGAACGGGAATTCGTTGCCGATTTAGAATTGATACAATCGGTATGCTTTCACTGCCTACCTCCCTCCCACCAAGTTAATGATTCCTAATATGTTTGTTGCATCGCATCCAGGTATTCGTGGAACCATTGCGAAAGAGCGACATTATAGACCCCAGTCGACGGGATGGCTTCATTAATGACGTCTTCTTGAACCTCAGGCAGCTGCACACTATCAACTCGAAGCTGTTGAGGAAACTCGTTGCTCGACAGCAAGAGAACAAAATTGTTGATAAGATTGGAGATATATTCATGAGCGTAGTTGACACGTTTGAGGCTTACGTCGACTACGGGGCGCGCCAGGTGTATGCAAAGAGCGCATTGGATCACGAACGGGCGATGAACCCGGAATTTGCAAAATTCCTGCAGGTATGTCATGGTAGAACGCGGGAAACTAAGCCGTGGCTTCTTAGGATACTCACTGATTTTTTCAGGATTGTGAGCGGAAACCAGAATGTCGAAAACTTCCTATACAAAGTTTCTTGGCTCGGCCGACTACGCGCGTGGGGCGATATCCGCTGCTTCTCAGATCCGCTCTGGATAAGTCACCGGAGAATCATCCCGATAGAGCTTTATTGCCGCAAGCGATCAGCGTCATTAAAGATGTTTTGAGCAAAATCAACAGAGAAGCGGGACGAGCCGAGAATTTATTAAAGTTGCATCAATTGCAGAACCAATTGATCTTTAATCCCGGGGAACCACTGGTGAGATACCCATCGATGACTGGATGTTGCAGAAATCCTTCTCACAATCCTGGGACTCGCTAGGATCTCGGCCTTTCAAATGAAGGCCGAACCATAGTCCGGGAAGGATCTCTCGTCCTCCGAAGAAATGGAAACGAGATAGATGTCCAAGTGTTTTTGTTCGACCATGTTTTACTGCTCACCAAGAAGAAAAAGAATGGCTTCTATAAAGTGTACAAGCGGGTGAGTCGTGACCAGAATCCTTTTTTTTTTGTGGAAACAACGCTGATTCTCTCAGCGTAGCCGATACCACTTGAAATGCTTCACATTTTGGAAGGTGGGACAGCACAACGTCGGGGATCTGGCCTATTTTCCTCCGGTCACAAAAGCAGCCCAAGCACGTCGTTGTCCCATAATTCAACAGTATCAAAGCAAATGAATATGGTTAGCTCGCGACCAAGCGTGGTAACCCCGCCAGGCGAGACCGCGACAAAAGGATATCCCTTCTCCCTTGTCCATCTTGGTCGAGCAGGGACGACGTACACTCTGTACGCGGCGAACCAGGCCGATCGAAGATCATGGCGCGATGCGATCGAGCAGCAAAAGTTAGCCGTGACGGAAAAGAAGAGGCGGTTTGAGATCGTTACCATGTTGGATACTGCATTTCCCTACACGAACAAGGTCAATTCTTCAGTGTCTATGGGCAATAAGTTGATATTGGGAACGGATAACGGGCTCTACGTCGGTCCCTCGTCCCAGGCTGTGCAGGTGGACGCTGATAAGCTTTTCAAACGAGTTATTGACTTGGAGAAGATTCAGCAAGTGGATGTACTTCCTGAGCATGACATGTTGACCTTGCTAGCCGGTAGGTTTGAATGCGCGCGACATACGTTTGCCATGGCTTACTGGCGTATCATTTTTATCCTCCTACGTTCAAAATATGCAGAAAAACATTTGATAACGTTCCCGCTGGACGTGCTGGACGTTACAGAACAAGAAGCAAACCTTGTGGCAAGGAAGGGGAAGAAAGTGGCGTCCCACATATCCTTCTTTAAGCAGGGCCTCTGCGATAATCGTATTCTCGTCTCGGCGGTGAGAATCACGGCTTTGAATTCTACGGTGAAGGTGTTTGAGCCCCAGGATGTGGGAAGTTCAAAGAAAAGAGGCAAATTTGGAAAATTCCTGCTCGGAGACAGTGATTCTATGAAGATGTTCAAGGTCAGTTTGCCACAACCCGCGAGGCGGTGTATCCTTGGTAGCCTCCTATCTGACCTTGTACTCATATTGTTGTTTTAATTGAACACAGGAATTTTACGTGCCGACTGAATCAAGCTCGATACATTATCTCAGATCGAAAATCTGCGTCGGATGCACAAAGGGCTTCGAGATTGTGGATCTGAACAGTCTTGATACGCAAGGTTCATTTCCAGTCTTGACGATACATAAGTGATCATTGTCATTTAACTCCAAATAATTTCAGGATTACTGGATCCCACCGACGAAAACCTCGATTTTGTTCACAAGCGGTCGGACGTCAAACCAATCAGCGTTTTCCGCATTCGGGACGGGGACTTTTTACTCTGTTACAATGGTTAGCTGTGTGAAGTTTTCGCGTAGACCTCGTTGTGCGTTTTATAATCTAACTTTCCTTCTTCTGCAGAATTTGCATTCTATGTCGATCGACTCGGACGGAAATCCCACAGAGATTGGATGATATATTGGACGGGATATCCTAATGCTTTTGGTAATGGGACTTGCTTTCTATGACCCACTTGTGCAAGTACCTAATTTTTTGTCCGACCCTTCGTTAGCATTGGTTCCGCCATATATAATCGCGTTTGAACCATCATTTATAGAAGTTCGGCACGTCGATAGCGGAGAATTGCAGCAAATCATTCCCACGCAGAACATGCGCACCCTGAATACCAACCCGGAATTTCTGCACTGCGTCATGGACTCTGCATTGGATTTCCAACACATTTTTCGATTGCAACCCGTTGGCAGGTTCTGAGGCGAGGGAGGTGCTCTCGACGACAAGGTTTGGGTGATATATATACGTGACAAGCAACTAGTGGATGTGGATGTACCTGTCAACCAAGACTACGACACAGAGCTGCAAATATGGAACGTAGCATGCTCAACGAAAGGGTACGGATTTTAAGGGAAGGAAATGTGGATACAATTGGAATTTATAGGTGCAAATGTGGGAAATAGGAGCATGGGTTTTGTGATGCATTCGACACACCAAGAAGGCGTAATGGTTGCAATTTTATTGGGGAAGATGGTCAAGATTGGTTGATAGCATTTGGATTTTACAAACGTATTCTTTTGTTGGAGGGCAATTGTTGTTATTCTTTTTTTTTGTGTGTGTTTTACTTTTTGAATTTATTATTTTGGTTTTTGCCCTCCATTATTGGATTGCGGTTTGTTTTGTGATCAAAATAACTCTTGGAACCAAGTCGTTAAAGCAGGCTTTCGGAGTTTTTTGCTCTTGCAGGAACAGAGCGCTGGTCGCTCCCCATTTGCAAACGGGATTTCCTCACGCCATTCCCTTCACTCCTCTCACACATGGGACCTCCTACACTTACCATGCCGCCAGATGCACCAAAGGCAACTTGTCCTAGTCCCACCTCTCCATCCCTGCCGTCTCTCCGTACAAGCATCTTCCCACCTCGTCTGACTCTGGTTACTCTCCGACCATATGTCACACCACGAAATGTCTTTTTTGCCTCTCTTCTTCTCGTTATCATTGTTTCAGGCGCCATCCTATTCATGTGTCTTGTGGGCATGATTACATTCTCCGATAAGCATGTAAAAGACCAGTGGATTGAGATCACAAGTCAGATATTGAACTCGTGCTTTACGTTGAATGCCTTGTTACTTTTTCCGGAACGGACAGTGGATCTGTGGCTACTCTGTCGTGGTGTATACGGTCGACACGGACCATCGGCCCGCAAGCTGGAGGACCGGCACACACCTTGGTGCCGAGTGGTTGTTGCTGACTCCAATGCTCCTCCGCCTCTTCCACGGACAACGCTGGTGTCCATTATCCTTCTCCAAAATTTGAATGGATGGTTCCAAGTTCCTATGGCTGTTTCCATGTGGGTTTGGGCGAACGACTACACGCATCGACCGGCGTGGTTGGTGGCATCGTCCCTAGTTGCGAGCTTTTTGTGTGGGTTTGCGGGCGGTATTTGGCCGGCCGTCATTTCATACAAGATGAAGAAGAGGGGGGTGGATGTTGAGATGGACGTGGATGAGATAACGGTAGAAAAGGGTGCCGTGGTCCATGCTGACTCTGGAAGAACGCTGGTGGGCGACGAGGAAGGTGCCAAACTAGGAGCAAGTTAAACTATTATTACTGTTACTTTGTAGTAATTTATTACCAGCAATCGCTGTTTAATACGACACTGTGTGGGCAGATATTATATTTACACCTTTTATTTACATTCATCATTTCATGGTACACACGAACGACAGGTACAGATGGACAATGGGCTTATCCCGGTCCAACTTTAGGGATATCGTAATGCTCGGAGAGGTTCTCTAAATATTTATTGAACTCCTAAAGGAATGAACATGATCAAAACCTGGCGATGCACTGTGTCGCAAGACAAAACCCTTGGCATATGAACATACCGCTACCCGCTCCTTATGAGATTGAGAGGCAATCTTTGATATTCTGTCCGCTTGCTATAATTCCATTGCGGCCTCTCGTAAGACAAGATGCAAGAGGGACCATATGAAGCGATACGCTGCTGCTTACTCTTTTCCTTTGTATTTCTTCAAACTTCAACTCTGCTTCTGTCTTTTTCCGATATATGTGGGGTTCCTTTTCTTTTACAGTTTGCGTCTCATCAACGACATCATTCTTTGTTGCATCATGCCCTGAAGCGATCACTGCATTCGCGAGCTTTTTCGAGTCGTTTTTCGACTTTTTCTTTCTGTCGGATATGGTATTGTCAAAATATGTGGAGAGCAATGCTCGAGATGCCCCGTTACTCACTTTTTTATTCCTCCAGAGGTCCCCTTCAATTTGAGGGAGCCTCCAGCAAAGTCGTAAGAGGACATGGATGTTTTGGCAGATTTGTTTGCAAGTCTTCGATTCGGGTGGAAATCGACGACTTGCAGCGATTTCAAGTCACACTGCAGCCGGAATATAAGACTCGAATGCATTATGCGTTGCAATGACACTGGATGCATTTGGAACCAGCTTGTTGCCATGGTCCAAGCGATCCAAGCGGACGCTATCGGAGCTTTTTGGGGGATGATCCCATGCAATTCTTCCAGGGTACTTTGCTATGGACCTTAAACAAGGCTTGTGATGATGTTGCATTGCTGGGAATTGCTGTCGTTTCCAGCTGTTGAGCAGCTCTGCTTCAAGACGTCATGGGCCCCGCTTCCATTCCGACGTGATCCCACTTTAAAGACGATGCGATGCCCTAATCATCTAGTGTATTTCTCATCGTGCAAAGGGGCAGCACAACGATGGAAGGGCTGGAGGAAAACCTTGTTTTTGGGTTGGAATGCACTATGACGTACCGCAACGTTCCTTTTGGAACCACGGAATTCTCTCGTAAGCCACGTGATTAACCTTGAGTTACCAGGAGCCAGGCTCTCGGTTCCAAGTGGGCAAAGGTCCCGCGCCATTTCGTTCAAAGTGTTTGGGCTTTGGGGCTTTCATCTTGCTTCTTCCCCTACCTTGAAGCCAAATCTCATCAGGACGCAAACGATACTTGAAGACATGCCCATCAAGCAAACTGTAGTGCCCGGCGTCCCAGAAGACATTCAAGTCTTTGAGCTCTTTACCCAATCCAATTCCTTGAGCGCAAGGTGCATCAACTATGGAGCCAGGTTGACGCATCTAATGGTGCCTGACAAGGACGGTAAATATCGAGACGTGGTGAGTTGATCATGATTCTCACTGTTTACTTGCCCACTGCTGACAGTTTGCCTTGTCCAGCTTCTAGGCTTTGATGATCCCACAGACTACGTCACAGTTGATGCAGAAAAGAAAACGTACTTTGGAGCAACGATAGGCCGCACGTGCAACCGGATCACTCACGGCCACTTCTTTCTCAACAATCGCGATTACAACCTCCCAATTAATGACCCACCCAACAACTTGCACGGCGGTGTGCGAGGCTTTGATAAGCGCTACTGGCGCCCCACAATCCTCGTTCAAGACCCTCCAACCCTCCGCTTCGAGTACACGTCGGCAGACGGAGAAGAGGGCTATCCCGGTGAAGTGCATGTTTCAGTCACTTACACTTTGGCCGAATACCATCTCGTCATCGACCACACGGCATCTTTGACTGAAGGAAATCCCGAAAATCTTCAGACGGTGATTAATTTGACCGCACACCCGTATTTTAATTTATCTGGATGCCAAGAGGAGCCGGATGTAACGGAACACATTGTTGAGATCCCCGACGCGGTGGGTTATCTAGAGGTAACCGAAAATAAGGTACCAAGTGGGAGACTAGTACGTTTCGACCAAGGGGATCCGGCTTTGAATCTCACGACCCCGAAGCCTCTACGAGAAGGTTTGTCTCAGCTGACACACTTTCGCGGCTACGACCATTTTTACCTACTTCGCGACAAGCCGGCTGCCGCGTCGCCGAATCAAATCTCGAACCCTGCCGCTCGGGTGACGTCTCCTACCACTGGCATTGTCCTCGAGCTCCGTACTGATGCTGCTGGATTCCAGCTCTATACTGGCAACAATCTTGATGGGAGCATATCTGGCAAAGCGTCCAGCCAGGGTGACAACGTGATCTACAAAAGATATGCGGGCTTGGCACTGGAACCTTCTGCACCCGTGGATGCTGTGAATCATCCTCCTTGGCGGGATACAGTCGTCATTGGAAAGGGACAAGAATGGAGGCAGAGCTTGATTTATGGATTCAGTACTGTACAGAGAAGACCGTCTAGTGGCATGTGGGCCGTTTGAGCGAGAGATTACTTTGCATAGCAGGAGGACGGTAGGGCGTCGTAAATAGGTTGCTCCAGCGTATATATATCTACACATACACTACACATAAATATGTTTATCAGCAGTTCGTACCAATGTCTAGGCCAAGTCTACACATTTCTGTTTTTACATTCTCCATACTAATGATGAGAAGCGGGGGGAGCATGGGATGGCTGGAAACCGCCGTCATGAATGCTACAATGGTAGATCAGTTTTTGATATATCTGTTAAAGCTCTCATCACTTCCAGTACCCAGTACTTACACTTTAGAGTTGCGAGCACTTGATCAGAGACGACACAGCCAGAAGATGACATGGCCGAGATTGCCATTAATGTCCTTCGAACACGTTTTAAAGGAAGAGACTGGGCGAATTTTGGTCGGCAGGCATCGTTCTGTGGCATTATGTGAGGAAAGGTAGGTTACCAAAGGACCCAAAGCCGCGCACCTGTGTTTCCAACTGGTCAATGACTGATGCCATAGTGGCCAGTATCTTATCCGTGTACGGGAACTCTTTCCCGAGGTCACCACATTGAACCGACAGAAAGTGCTGGAGAGCAAGCATCGGAGCTAACGTGTCCTCTAGTCCCTCTGTTGGTTCATCACACATTAAAGAAACTAGCCTTTCACCAAATTCGCCAGCACTGGCAAATTGTTCGCTCAACAATTGAAAGACCAACTCCATGGCACGTTGTGGGTTTACTGATGACTAGAAATAATACAAAATAGGCGTCAGCGCAGCGACTTTTTACAAAAGAACATCTTATACCCACCTGAGAGCAAAAGATCCTTGATACAAAGTCCGCAGCCAGGGTAGCCGTATCCTCATCGGAATCACGTAAAAGATCAATCACAGTGAACGAAAAGTGGAAGGAAGCGGTTGGTGTGAGGGTTGGTACGGACTGCAGGCGGCAAAATGATGATGCGACCGCTTTCCGGACGTCCGCAGCGAGCTATGAATAAAAGCGTGAGATGAACTTTCAATTTTCAAAAATGGGTTTACCATGCTTACCGCAACCCTGGCGCTTAAGCATCCGCGCATAACAGTCAGCCAACGTGCAAAATATTCGTCCCCTTTCATCATATTCAAAACGTGTCCTAACGCTTCAATAGCCGAACAATTGAGTTCCCCATCAACCGGTCCTGAATTGAGGAGCTGCTCTATCCAGATGAACCACTTTGATGCATCGCTCTCGTCAATCTTTCCCGTCTGTATGATACGCACAATTTGTAACATGATTTGAGGACTGGTTCTGGCAGGAAAATTCGTCATCTTCTTGATGAGGAGACCCGACAGGTCGCACTGGGTCTCAGGGCTAGCGATTCCAGTGAGTTTCCCCACCATCAACCAAACCGCACTATATTCATACCTCATCGATGTCCATTCCTCTTGAAGCCATTCTAGAGTTGCGCGAATCATATCGGGCCTAGAATCTACTAGCAGTTTGGAACAGGTTTCGAGGAGGTTTGTAGATGTGGTCAACATCAGCCTAGCCCAGCTGGCTTCAACCAAAGGCAAGCCTACACAGCCACTCTGGTATGCAATGAGAAGAAATCAGTGTTTGCCAATATAATTGGTACTTAACAATTCCCACGAGCTTACAATGCAGTCGTTTCCAGGGCCCTCGGCATAGCTGACAAGGATTGACTGGTTTGTTGCTATACCCCTACGTGACATGAGTGCCAGCAATTCAAACAACTCTGCTTGAACGAGCGCGCTCGAGTCGCGTACGGGATGCATCCACTGTTGATCGACAATGCACGAATCCCCGGCTCCAAGAGCAAGGTGGAGCTCCTTTTGATCTAAACGTATTCAGTCCGACAGAATTTCTTATGATACTTGATAACTTTGCCTACCATTCACGGACGCATCCTTTGTAAACTTGCACAGAACATTCCGCAATACAAGCAGGCTACCGTGCAGGTAGTTATTACCAACACGGTTATCACATGAAACCAATGACAAACCATTACACACGATTCGGCAATATTGGATCGCAGCCGATGTCGGAAGCAAATCAGCCAGACATTTCGCTGCCATCGCGCGAACTTGTGCCAATGGTGAATTTCTCACGATTTCGAGTAATATTGGAGCAATGCGACCGACCGGTGTGTTGTCATCAAAACACATGTCAACATCCAGACGAGAAAGTAGGATTAGGAGCGGATACTGGAATCGAGGTGGAGGAAGGATCTTCCTGGCAGATATCTCCAGCTGTTCCAACACCACAGCAAATAGTCTTGGGTATTCGGTAAAGAAGGCGTTAGCCTTTGTGGGCACACCAAGCTTTTGTATATGCGCCGCGTCTCCGGTTAGAAATCGCGACAGGAGGCACGAAAAAAGAACCGTGCTGGCATTGCCGATGGATTTACTGCAGCAGAAACACGCAATTGGGTTATATTTGGAAAACCCAAAATCCTGCACCCAAATAGAAAACTTACTTTGAGGATTGCAGACCCGCAAACACCAAAATGAAAGCGTCTTCCAATGGGACCATCTGGCCCGTCCTCGAATCCTTGATGATCCACTGTAGAATGCTGATGGCATTGACCTTTGCTGTTTCTGGACTGTGCGTTGTCTGTATAACCTCGAATAGAGAGTCACACACAGGTTTAAGCGCCGCTCTTCGTGCCGGGGCCCTCGTATAGTATCCGTTCAAGATGCTTAATAGAATTCGCGCATGTCCAGCGTGCCTTTCATCGTGGCGTATAATACTGGCTTGATGAAGTGTTGGGAGTAGATCCTACAGGAAAGGATGAGCTCTTGCTCTATTCTTTAAAACGAATTACGAGGAGGTTCAGAGATTACCTCTAACCAATTGGGTGGGAGATTGCGCAGGTAGGGATCTGAAGACGATGCCAGTAATGTGCACAAGGATGTGAGGGACTGTTGAGCCCAATTAGCTGCTCCCCAATGGCGCACGTTGATAAGGACCGTTTTTAGCATGGTGCCAATGTTCTCCACGCTGCATCGAAAGTCTTGTTCGTTTGTAGAATTGACTCTTAACAACATTTCTGAGGCCATCGTGACCAACGTCGTTCCACTCGTTTTTAATGATCGCCAAGCGCACGCAATCAGGGTTCCACGCATACTCCCATTATCTCCCTCCCACTCGCCATTGTCACATTCATCAACGTCTCCAATCTCCAGAAACTGTGTTTCTGCAAAGAAACGCAATGCAGATTCACATGTTTGGATCAAAAGAGCAACAAGCTTGAGCACCGTCTGCGATCCAGCACTTTGGAAAATGGCATTCATGTGATCTTGGCAGATGTACATGAGGGCTTCCACTGTTCCATGCAGAGATGGGGCGATCGATGCGTAATCGTGCTGAATCTCTCGTAGGCCATGTTCCAACGAATCCATCAAATAGGTGAGCACTATAGGAACAGCAGAGGACGACATATGGAAACGCAAAATTCAGAGGAGACGATTCTCTATTCATAAAGGCACATTTTCTATACAGACCTTTAGTCTCCCCTGTCGTCCGGTCACACCCTACATAATCCTCAATAGTTGCAACGCACCGCCAAACCATCGCACCCCGAAGCCGGGCCAATGTCCTCGTATCACAAGACAAGGACTTTGCAGTCTCTGTCACATCAGGTAGAACATGACTTAATAGGCTCTGGGATCCAAACTTTTTCAACATGCCATATGCAGCTTCCCTTGAAAGTTCAAAAGGGCTTTGAATGAGCACTGTCAACAGCACTATAGTGATCTCATTTCCTGGCCCTTCCTTCAAAACCGAGGGACATAAAGATAGGAAGGTGTCCAAAAGGGTCAAGCATAGAAAGGTCTGAGCATGTTCGCCTGAGGGATCTATCCGACTCAAAATTTCCTTCACCAACACATTCACAAAGGTCGTCGCGCGAGGTTTGAAAGCCTTATTACGAGCGCAAAGCTTGTAGAACTTTCGGCATATGGTGACGAGACCTTCTCTAAAGCAATTTGACGGCTTTGTTCCCAAAGAGGACACGACAAAGTAGTGGAAAAAGTCAAAGCATCGCTCGTCCGGTATCGCACTACTGAGGAACACCTGGCTCGCCACGGCCAGCCGGGCGTGTTGAGATTGATGACTCAAGGCATTCTTCAATACTTTTTCGTATCCCAACACTTCGGTTGGCGTCCTGCCTTGCAAGTGCTGATTCACCGTAAAGGAATCATTGCGTTTCATTGTAATGGGCTGACCCAATGGCCCTCCAACATGTCCCTCGTCGAAAAAATCTGGGACTAAGCCCTAAATGCAAGAATGAATATTTAAACAAAAAGTTTGGAAACAAAGACTGCGTGTAAATTGACTATTCTTTTTGGGACCCCAAATAGCATATATAAAAGTGGTCTAATTATGTCTCTCTATAAGCACACTTTATATCAAACCATATGAGCTGAAGGGATTACTCTAGTCCAATTGAAAAAAAAAAAACAAAAATGCGGAGATGAGTGGGGTTGGGTTTGGACGAGATGGAGGAGATCACAGGTAACCAGAGGCTTGCAGTGAAAGGCGTGTGACAATATCTCTGTCATTGAGAAGATACACGAGTGTTAGCTTGTGATGCCTGCAACCAGAATTTGAACTGATACATACCGCACGGCAGATATGATAACCTTCATGTGTTTCGTATCTGTACTGGTGGTGAAATGCGTATATATCTTCTTCTCGGGCGTCTTGTTCTGGGCATGGAACTTTGTTTTAAAGTATCTCCCCGCCGATTTGAGGTCATTGGAGCCTGCATGATCAAATCCTTTAATTTCCGTGCAAGCTTCTGGTGCCAGCTTACTACGAACCTTCATAATCTGGAAAGAATTTCTTCACTGGGCTGTACTTGAGCTTCCTTTCAAACAGATCCATTTTGTTCAGAAAGAGCATGATGCTCACTTTCTTCAGCAACGGGTTATTTGTGATCGTTTCAAATAGCACCAGTGCATCCAACATCCTGTTTACTGTCCTGTCCTCAACCAGCATCTGGTCATATGCAGCTAATGATGTGATGAAAAGGATTGCGTGCACTTGATCCTCAAAGTATGGTGCCCAGAACAGTCGGTCAGAGCGCTGTCCGCCGACGTCATAAATTCGGTAGGTCAATTTGTCAATGTTGAAGCAGGTTTCGCTAATTTCCGTTGTACGGAACCGAGTGTGCAAGATATCTGAAAGAGGCCATTAGAAAATCAAGATGTATAATAAATTCAAGTCAGCATTTGCATTGTCACCTTCATCAGACGGAATAAAAGATGGGTCCGTAAACTTGGCAATGTCATTTAGGAAACTGTAACAGCGAACACGTTACATCCCTGGGCAAAAGCGGGAATTGTGCTGTATTTTCAACTTACTAGTCTGCGGTATCTTGTATGAAAAACTCATTTGATCTTGCGTAGCATTGCTGGATGCCTCTGTCAGCCCATAGTTCCTTGATTGCTCCGATAACATCCTCCTCAAGACTCTCCCCATTCTGAGCCCCAGCCGCTTTCTGGAATGTTTTAATGTGTAGCTGCCCATACCAAACAGATGTTAGGAAAGGAACAAACGAGATCATGTAGAGTCCTTATGCTGGGAATTACCTGGTTGTTAGGTTCTCCTAGGGGCACACCCAAGGCACTTAGTGCATTGACTAGCGCTCTCATCGAGTCGATGATATTGGCCAGGATTTTCCGGCGGAACGCTTGACGCTCTTTATCCGGAAACCCATTCCCATGGAGGATTTTGATTTGCTTGAGCACCGTGGTTTTCCCAGAATCGGCAGACCCGAGGAGTAGTATTTTGGGACCTTTTATTGCCAATTGCTCCGCCCGCTCCCGTTTCAACAGCTCATCGATCTCATTCGACACTTGCCTGGCTAGGCGTCTGTCAATGCACGTTCACAGTCAGCTAGAGGTCAGCAAAGGGATTCACACATGCCCGGCCATTGACTTTTAACTATAGCAATAGTAGACGGATTCCAACCCTCCATTTGTTCGCAGTGTGTCTGCGCTAATGGCACAGGTCCGGCCGGAAGCTCGCAGACACTGGCAAGTAGAAATATTCCACAAACAGCCATTCTGTAACAACTCACCGTTGAGCGGGAGTGTCATACTCCATGTCTTTCTTTAAAGTGGTTTCGCCGTAGGGGTGTTCAAGTATTGTGGTTCGTGCAAGTGGGATAATGTCGAAGCGAGCCTTGAAAAAGCTTTTGGGGAGATCAAATCACAAAAAGCGGAGCGAGAAAAGCGCTGATAAACCCAAATAGGAACTCGCCCCCCAGGCCCCAACCAGCGTTTCCTTTTGTGCGCGTCGCCTGTGGCCAGCCAGCGGTTTCTTTTGCCAAAACCGTTTTGCAATACTCGCCGAGTTTCTTTTTTGTGTCGTTTATGGCTGCAGTTTGGGTAAACAAAAAGAACTGCTGAAGGCAAACATGCATTCGGAACGGGGGATGTGATCCTGAGGGTCAAAAAACATTGGCAGAGCCTCCAAATGAAACAAACGAACGACCCGCTGCCCTTTTTCTGGTTTGGGAGATGTTTGGCCTGCACACAGGCTGAGCAGGACGAGTTGACCTTTTTCACATGGAAGGGCTTGAGCCTCGTCTTTTCCCTCCATATCTACAATTGAATCGGACATGCAATGCTATGGCAGCTTTTGCATTTGGAAAGAAGGATTTGGTCGAGAAATATATGAAACGTCGTTGTTTGTTTTACTCAATTGACCATGTTGGTGATGGGTGCTCTCAATTTGACTCCCGCCCCTCCAATCGCCCTGTATACCTGCCTGTATGTAGGCCTTGCCATTCTTGAAATAACTTACCCCGTCATCACGGTGATCGACAAACAGTGGGCAAGCCAATATCTGCAAGTGGTTCAATGGACACTTCCGCGCTTGGTGCATCAAGTGGACCACACTGGTCTGGTATCGCAGGAACGCTACTTTACTCAATGGTTCCTAATGTATATCCTTCACATCCTCCCGGGCGTGGCCTGGTCGGTCATTGCAATGATGCAGCTCACTCAACCGCTGCCAACGGCTAGAATCCGTTCCCGCTCTCATCGCATTCGGGGCCGGCTGCAGCTAATATGCGCCCTGATTATATGTGCTACGTCGTTCTATATGAACTGTCTTGACAAAGCACCTGTCACATACGCTCCCAAGCACTGGGACTATTCGATCAAAGGCTGGTTGCAAAATTCTGATGCTGCGCTCGCGTTCAATGCTCTCTGGGTCATGCTCACAGGATGGTTCGCCTACACCAAAGCGCTTGCCATCCCATCACTTGGGAGCGAGAGGCCACACGCCATCTGGGCGATTCGGCATGTCATGGCGATATACGGCGTGGGGTTGATGCGTATAATTTACATTGGCACAGGTTTGGTGCTTGATGTTATTAGAGATCCAAGAGAGAGCGTCGAGTTTAAAATGGCCATATTCGGTATGAGTATGTGGATCGGCATCGTGCTGAGTATTCTTCAGGGTAGTGTATAATGTCGCAATTCAAGGAAACGTTTTTAACCAATGGTGCCTTTAACTTTTCCGCAGGAGAATGGATGCTGCGACGAGCCGGGTGGGTTGCTTGGACTGGACGGATCGTTCCGACCCAAGATGAGCGCAAGAGAGTTCAAGTCAAAAGGATCGATAAATCTGTGATCGAGAAGGAAGAGTAATTCTTTGAGAGAACATCGTGGGCCGATTTGATATGCTATGAATATGCAAGAGTACGACATCAGATCAACGTATGACAGCGGCACACGACAAATGTACTGTATTTCGTTTCTTCATGTCATCTGTGTAAATGTTCAAACCTTGGTGTATCCTGGGAGTTGCACAATTGTCCTATTTCTTATATAAATGAATTTGGTTGCGATTACTATCCATCTCTGGTGCAAGTTAATATACACAATGCTACAAGCGGTGCCAGTGAGGCGCCTCGCACCAAAGGCCCACATCTATATACCTCAAAGCGATCCATTTGGTTTGGCAGCCAGATTTACTCGTTCTTTGAGTCCATCAATCCTATCTAAATGGCTCTGTACAAACCGGACTGCCTCTTTCCTCTTTGCGCGCGCATTCTCAAAGTCTGGGGGACATGTAACACCATCGAGCTTCAAAAGACTTTGCAATAGCAATTCAGATGCTTTGGCATACAAGTCTCGGAGGGATTTGGGTGGGTCGCTTGGCGGAATGGCTTCATCTATGTACCTACTGGCTTTGTCTGTGTAATCCTCAACGATCGGGAGAACAGTATTACGGGTATCTGCAAGATGTGATTCCAGTCGATCGATCAGGGACGCCTCTTCTGATGCTTTCGTATCCACTGGAGCCGATGTGTCACGAGTAGGTTGCTGTCTAGGCTGCTGATTACGCGTGCGAGAGGGATGTGAAGGTTCTGGAGGGAGCTGCCGCGATATACGCAACTGTCAGGATGGAAATTTTGGTCCACGTCCAAGAGAAAAAGAAGCATACTGTTTTATCACCGATCATCATAATCTTTGAGCCTTGGCGGATCCCATAATCGGATAGAGATGCGGCGGGATCCTTCATTATAGCTATGTTGCAGAAAGAGGAGGAACTCAGGTCAGCACCAAACGCCAATTCTTTGAAGGTTCTTCCCTCCCCTACCAAAACAGCCCATCCATTCCTCGTCGCTTGGCCCGCGCACCCAGTCTTCCCAAGTTTTCGCAAATGACTGCCACCAAGACCCGGATGCTTCTTCGAGTTCCTCTGCAAAGGGACCTCCTGGTCGCGAAAGCGAAACAACAGCGATTTCAACAACAGACGACCTTGACGTGCTCCTTCCCACATATTCTTCCATGGCTTTTTTGAGACAACAGAAACACACAAACCCCACCTCCACTATGCAACAGCTTGATGTTTTCCCTGGGAACTCGGGATGCTCGAGAACACTTTTCCAATAAATCTCCCAATGTCACTCGTCGTGTCCAATCGTAGCCTTCACGCGCTGCGTCTGCAGCCTCTTCCCGGAAGGGCACATCGAAGCGCTTTCCTTTCCAGTTCACAGTAACCGACATTATTATGACCAAGTTGAAATGACCAATTTGAAGCCCCAGTTCAGACCAGGTTGGTTAGCCAGTTGCTATGGCAACAGCAATCGGCTTAGTCACGCATCCTCAACGTGCCACAGCAAAGATCGGATTACCTCATCAACCCATATAGTGCATTAAAAACAGATGGAGTAATACTTACAGTCCTCGTTCTAACCTGCTAGAATAGACAGTCCTAGGTCGACGGCAAGAGCAAGAGCAAGAAGAAGACTCTGAAATCACCTTGCCCAGCCCCCAATCAATCAAAGAACCCACAGCACGCGCTCGAGAAGAAGCTGACCTACAGAAATCAGGTTGAAGATGACCTACACCCGATTCCGAAACAGAGTGTGCTAACGAATCCGAGGAGAAACCCCAGAAAGCCGGTACATCTCACTCCGCCCTCAACGGCAAAATCCCATTCGAAGTCTGGTACGGTAAGAACCAGATGTCGCACGTTTCGGGCTGCGTTACCCACATCCATATACCGAAGGAAACCAGAGACAAAAGTAAACTTGGCCCCAAGGTCAAAAAGGCCTCTTTGTAGGTAATGAAGATGGCTTTCAAAGCTACGGGGTATAGGACCCCATCCTAAACAAGAATTGGACGACGTGGGGCATTGCGTTTGATGACACTCGCACTTACGATCACTTACTTCCCTTTGCAGGACAACCTGAGAGGTGTGAAGATCAACAAATACGATATGTCTTCCCTTTTTCTTTTACAAACTGTCTGAAAACCCCATTTGGGACCTGCCATCCAATATCCATGGTGCGAGTCACAAAGTCAAAGGCCGACACTATAATGGTAATGGTACCACTACCACTAAAGCTAAGACTAACAATAGCTTCCCAGTACCAATGATTGTACTTTTAAACCTTCAACATTTGCTATGATAGTTAAACATGATGTTCATAGCCCAGTAGTCGCATTTTCTTGGTTTACTTTTTAGTTCTCTTCAATGTTTAAGCGAAATGAAAAAGTCCTTACTATGTACTTGAAATGATCTAGCCACTTGGCTCAAAAAAAAATAATCAAATATGTGTACAATCTGCAAATTGATTGTTATATATCAGAACGATTTAACTAACTAATTGTTTTAGACAAATGCTTCACTGAAAATTGGATGGGTGACATATGCTCGGTACAGATATTGATCATGTAGAACTAGATTCATGGGTTTCTATTTAATGAAACGATCTTTGACGGTCTCCAGCGGGATCGGCTCGTGGAGATACTGTTTCTTTCCCTCGCCATAAGATCCCGCGGTATGCCCCTTGCCGTACAATCGATATTTGTAAATTACAAGTCCCTCCAGTCCAACTGGTCCTCGTGCGTGGGTCTTGTTTGTGCTCACCTGGGAGAACCAACCATGGTGAGCCCATATTGCAAGGCAAGACACGTTTTGGTATACTATACTTACACCAATCTCGGCACCAAATCCATATCGGAACCCGTCAGCGAATCTTGTAGATGCGTTCCAATACACCCCGGCAGCATCAACCTTGCTCATGAATTCCTCCGCGTTTGCCTCATTTTCTGTCACGATAGCATCGGTGTGATGGGACCCGAATTTGTTGATATGTGCAATAGCCTCCTGAAGAGAGTCCACAGTTTTCACCACAATTATCAAGTCAAGAAACTCGGTTTGAAAATCTTCTTCCCGTGCAGTGGTCAATTGTCCAGACTCTACGCCAGCCGCAGTCAATGTGGCCTGTGATCGCTCATCCAGGCGGAGCTGCACACCCTTTGAGATGAGGCCGCGAGCAATGGCGGGGAAAACACGGGGGAGGGCATGGAAATGGATTAAAAGTGTCTCGGTAGCGTTACAGGCTGCAGGATAATTGACTTTGGAGTCGACAACCACAGATACGGCTTTCTCCTCATCTGCATCTTCGTCCACGTAAACAGAGCACAAGCCGTCGGCATGACCGAGGACAGGAATCCTATGGAACGGGGATTTAGTCAAGTATGGGACAGTTTGGCCAACTGTTACAGCTCTACCTTGTTGATTCTTGCACGTACTGAACCAACTGCTTCGATCCTCTTGGGATCACCAGGTCAATGTAAGGATCGAGCTTCAATAATGTGGCAATTTCATCTCTAGTTGACACAAGTTGCACCGCCGTTGGAGGTATAGACAATTCCTCTGGGAGACTTGCTAACGCATCCTGCAAAATTTTGAAGAGCTCCTGATTCGAGTGCGCGGCTTCCTTTCCCCCCTTCAGGATCACGGCATTACCCGACTTTATCGCCAAGCAAGAGATTTGGACCACAACCTCTGGTCTAGCCTCAAATATTATGAGCAGAACCCCCACCGGGCAGCTCACCCGATAGAGTTCGAGGTCGTTGTCCAGACGAGTGGCAAGTGTGACTTGCCCTAACATTGAAAGAAGGGCCGACGTTAGCATATTTCACAGCAATATGCCAAAGTACCAGAGCAGTCATACGGTACCTGTGGGATCAGGTAATTGCTCCACGTCCAAAACTCCTTGGAGCAATCCTGCATATTTGTCGCCGTTTCCGCCAGAGAGATCTAGGCGCTTATACAAAGAGGAGGACAGCCGTCCCGCGTCTACCTCCTTTTTTGCGTTCTTCAAAGCTCAAATGTAAGCTTGTGACATGTCTTGCTATTATAAAGTTACCAGCTAGCCTACCTCGAGATCCCGCTTGTTCGCCTCCAGAACAGCATCCTTTCGCTCCGCCAAAAGATCATGTATGCGCTTTAAAGCAGCACTTTTATGTTTCTTGGACGCTGACTGTAACGCCAGGGATGCCAGTCGAGCCTGCTGGGCAAGGGTCGTTGTATCGTCACTAATTCCGTTGGTGGATGCCATCGCCTAAACTGATTTCCTCAGCGATGGAAACTTGAAGCGATCAAGTAGATCTATACATCTGTGACTGTGCCACTGCACCGCCACCAGCTACACCGCCTGTGTGATGAGCAATTCTTGTGGAGTTTTGTTTTGAGCTTTTTGAACGGAAAAGAACCCAACGAGATTTGGGCTTGCGACGGACGATAAGCATTCACCAAGGACAGCGACGAGTAGGGAAAGAGGCGATTGCAAGCTGGTGTGGAGGCTACAATAACATTTGCTAGCCCGTCTTTGGTCCTTTACTCTTGGTGCTTGGCTTCCGGGTTGACGGAATGCTTCAAGAAATACAAGCAACGCTGACGTGGGCCATCCCAAACTTTCGTCGCCAAACGAACAAAATAACATCTCCAGTGTTTGGTCCATCGTCATGTACATGGGAACTCTCTCTATATCCGGAAGGACATGGGCAAACAAGGGATACACATATGGGGCTATTTCTTGGTATTTTTCTCAGTGCTTTTGCAGTTTGTTGTGGTACTGAGGCTAATGCATTACCAAAAAAAGATGTTGTTAAAACAGAGCACGAGAAAACTCATGGCGATAGTTGGTCACGCCCCATAAGTTCCTTTCGGCTATCGGTCATGAGAAGAGACAGCCGAACACCTGTAGTTGTCAAAGAACGAGAACCCAGTGGCCAGGAAGGATTTGGCAAAGGATTCAGTCATCCGAGAAGTTGGGGGTGGGCGGCTTTGTTCCCTCTTAACAGATTGGCAGAGGCAGCAACTGCGGACGGAACGCTGGTGGTTCATGCCGAAGTCGTATGGCAACAGCGTGCGGAGCTGGTCGGATTATTGGACGCACAGGCCAAGATTGTTCCAAGTTCAGGTGGCCTTCTCTTCAACTGGCGACTGGCAGATGTGAAGTTTGTTGTCCTTCAACAACAGGAGCGCGAAGACGATGGAGATTATAATGAGGTGGACGAAGGAAAGGAAGAGGTGGAAGACACATATGAAAACATGAAACCAGCCGTAAAAACAGAAGAGGAAAGCTCTGCAAACATGGATGAGGATGACGAGTCAGCCACCGAATCACCCGAGACTCCTTACCCAGAGGAAATTGTTCCGAGTCCTACCGATGACTCGCGTACAGAACTTGAGGAGCAGGCCGTCAAACTTAAGCTCACCATGCACCGGCCCTCTTCAACCACATCTTCAACTGCTTCCCTTCCAACCCTCCCTAGCGCCAGTCATCCACAAACGGTGATACCAGCCCATCGTGCGATCCTGGCCTCCCGATCAGATTACTTTGCCGCCATGTTCTCTTCTGGTCTCCGTGAGGCTGGGGGTTCAGATTTCTCTCAGCCTTCTGTGGTTGAGATCCGCGATTTCTCAGCATTTGCGGTCCGGGCGATGCTTGAATTTCTCTATACCGGTCGTCTTGTGTCACCACCAACTGACCTAACCGCGCGTTCAGAACTGATACGTCTCGCCGACAGATACCAGCTTCCTGGGTTACACAACTATGTTGGTGCGATTATCTTGGAGAAGGATATGAATCTCGATGTTGCATTAGAAGTGCTGGAGCTAGCTGATGTCTACTCCAGCGCGAGCGGGGAGCTGAAATTGGCATGTCTCGGTTATGTGCGGGAAAATATTGGCAAGTTGAAGGGGAGGGATTCTTTCAAGGAGTGGGTTCGTTCGACGGAAAGGAGGGACCTGCTAGTGGAATTGTTCTCTTTGATGTGATTGTGGGTATTGGTGGGCGTGCTTTTCGCGCTAGTGTATCGTGTATAGAATCCCTGGCTGGAATGTTTTTTTACATCAGAGTTTGGGGGGCCAAGTCAGGATATCATTTGCTTTCCCAAGGATTTGCGGACTGGCCTTTATTGTAACATAGTTGAAGCGTTGTACCTCTTGTATACAGAATAATGAGACAATTTGAGAATGGCAATAGGCTGGTGCAAATGCACACACCGTAATTTCAATCAGTTCCAGGATGTCACTACAAAAATAACTATCAAAAAAAACAACTAAAAACATTGCTCATCGAGCATTTTGATGAGCCGAGCTAGATCCTCGACCGTGACATTGCCACGTAGCTCGGCAGCCAGCGGCCGTACTACCGTCCACCCGTCATTCCACTGTTTAACAATGTCCGTCTTCGTCTCCGCATCCAGAGATGGAAATTGGGAGAGGAGTTCGCCGTCGATACTACCACGAAATTTAATCTGGAGACTTTCAGAGCGATACCTAGCGTGGTCGTTTCCTGCAAAACAAACGCTCTATGAGGGATAATATTACAAGGAAATCACGCATAGCCTTTGACTGACCCAATAAAGGCCGTGTTTTTTCATGCACCGCCATAACTTCCTGTAAAACTATAAGCCGCTCGTACAGCTCCGCGGTTATCTTCAAAATGGCGAATAAACTACCCAACAGTGAACACCCGTAGATGACTCTGGGTCCCGCAAATCCATCCATGTGCTTCCTGCGATCTCCACCTGTATGTCCTGCCTCAGACGATGTTGCAATGGCTGCGACCGAGTCTGCTGGTGGACCCCAGCCCCCGCGGAGGAATCCTTCCGAGCTGTACCAATGCGACAACGTTGATTTCTCGTCCTTTGTACGGTTGGGGTCTTCTTCTGTTATTGCCTGTTGCACGATGGAACCGAGTTGCAACCGCATCACGGCTTCGCCCAAGTGAAACGAAAAAGTGGTATCTAACGTTCGTTCCAAGCCGGTGTCTAAATCACCAATTACGTTACTTATGCTATGGATCTCCACCGAATCGGTAGAACCCACAGTCGCCAGCGGAAAATCCCACAATATTTCCACACTTGTCCGTCGCAACCGCCGTGGTGTCATCAATCGCAAGGCAGGCAGCAGTTGGTCGCCCATATCGGTCGCTGCGGAAAGATATTAGACTGCAATCGAAAGCCATCCCATCTCGGCAGCAACTCACCTTTTCAGAAACTCAAATGTCTTCGTCTGGACATTATAGCTATAGAAAGATACCGACTCCTTCTGTCCACCCACTATAACCCTTGTGCCATGGACGTCTATACATTGTATCGGCCATCTGAGGGGTAATTGAGCTCGGATGACTAGTCTAAGAGCAGTCGTAATTGGCATTAGAAGTTAATCAAGCAGGCGAATCGCAATGAGGGTAAATTGCCTTACTTGCGAGTATGCGCATCAATCTTCAGCTGATAGAAAGTGTCCCCAGCAGCAGCCAATAAATAGCTACAAAAAGATAGAGGAGAAAGCAGGATGATCAGCATCTATCCGATTTATCATATCCGTTCATATGTTTCTCACCTGCCAAGAAATGGACAAATCGACTGTACAGGCCCATCCAAAATCATCTCTCCCAACTGTTTCATTTTGTACATCACCGGCTTTCTCGATTCCTGGAGTGCGACCATGCATTCAAACACTATACCAGAACAAACGCTCGTGGAATTTTCAACATACCTGTGGACAAGCTGGCTTTTCTCTTTTCTCATATGCTTTCAGATTATATACAAGAACTCTCCCTTGCGCTTCGGAACTTGTTGTGGCCCGGTATCCCCATGTTCCGACGCAAATGTAACGCTTGCCCTCCTTGACATTCCAAACTACATTCCAGATCCCGAAAAACATTATCATGAGTGACTTACAAACGGCATCCCCGCAATCAACGAACCCTTCAACGCATAAATTTTCTCGTCTGTTTGCAAAGACTCTTTGAGGTAGCATCTTCCACTAAAGCACTTTTTTGAGCTAATGTTACATAATGCCGAGTAAGTGACTTAGAGAGTACCTCATGGGATCCATAACCCGCAACTCTGACCCAACCTCCCCTCCATGGCGGACAGTTGTAGCAACCAAAACCTTGCGGGTCACGGCATCGAACAAAATCCGCCGCGGTGCCTATTAACAGTGAGATTTAGAAAGACACCACGTCGCCATGAGCAACTGAAAGGACAGAACCTCTCCAATGTTGAGTGATCGCATATTGGCTCGCTTATCCTCATCCAGCTCAATAAAATGCATAGTTTGCTTGGCAATAACCATGTATCCGTCTGATACTCCTGCGTACGCGAAGGGCGTGGCATGCAGAACCTGTACGACAATAAGTGCATGTTTTTTTGCCAGCGCTCTAGGGACATCACTCACACGAGGAAATGATATTCCTGTCATTCCTATTTCATTGCCCGATAAGAATACTTTCCACGCTCTGTCCGTAAAAGCGATTACATGGTCTTCCTGGGGATGCGACACAAGTTCTACAGGAAAGAAACCAACTCGGAGCATATCCGGGGAAGTCAATATTGGGGGCCGGCCTGATAATTCTAATCAGCAGACTTTTCTTTCATGATTGTCGAACAAAGAGTACTTGAGACTTGCACTACCTTCCTGCCATGTCCAGCGAAATGCGGCGATTTTTCCGTCACGGAGACCTGACGGTACATTTGGACAGTTAGACTTTCGCTCTCATGAACATTGTGTGTTACTGTGTTTTACGGTCAACCATATTCCCAACCTGCTAACAGACGGATACCACTGTTGGACATCAATACGGCAAACGAATGCGGGATACTGATGCTTTCCGAGGTCATAGTGGCGACTGGACCAGTCGGTCAGTTTAATCATGTAACTTTGTTAAAGTAATAAAGGCAACCTACCCAATGTATGTTTGTGTAACTGTGCCAACGGTGTCGCTTCACACAGTGATAAAATGAGCAGCGACGGTTCGAAGGTTCCTACCATGAAGAGCGGACCTGTCGATTTCTCTCTACAATATTGATTGATTAGATATCAAAGCTTAGAAAAGACGAGCGAAGGAGAGATGCACCTGCATAAACGTTGAACGGCTGATGAAGGGCAGTACAAGCAAGAGGGGGTCGTGTCTAGCTTTCGTTGTCCCATTTCATTGAACCGTACTTCCTTCCTATCACTATTAGATGAGCTGATATACGCGAGTTGACAGTTGGAAACGGAATCCTCCACCCACCGATCCTCATCCATGGTAACCTGTAAAAGAACGATCGTATTCGTCCGCGCGAGGCAGACAACCACTAGATCATCCGAGACGGCACCCAGCGCTATATTGTCGCCAGGTGGAGCCATCCATTTTCCACCAATGTCTTTTCCGGACCCTAGTTCCGCCACTTTCACAGCCTCTGGGTGGATTTGAACATAAAGGCCGGGATAATTTAGGGAAGCGGCTTTAATCGTGCTCACAGTCGTGTCGAAGCCGTGGTTTTCGGTTCCGACATCTTCCAGTTCCGCCCCTAGTATTGACAGGTCAGCAAACACATCAGAGATGCAACGTTGGTCAGCAGGCAGCGACCTTCCAAAGACATTATTCGTGTCTCATGTACAAATGACAACACGAGGAACGCATCAGAATCGTCTTCTACTCGGCGTTTCAAGCTCCAGAGTCCGTTAGCCCTAATTGACGCCCGCCACAAATATGTTAATTCACACACAGACGACTCATGGACGCTGGGTACCAACCCATGTATGGTGTCGCGCTCCGACGCATGAACCGTCACACCGATTCCGTTCCGTATCTCTCGCACACTCCCATGGGCTCCGGCTCCGCTAGTGAGGACTATCGTGTCATGCCCTTCACGGTGCAGATCCGCAAGGTTGAAGTCCAGAACAGGAGCCCAATTGCGAATAGGCATTTCGGTAGTAATCACCATGTTCGCGTCCACCTGATGACACGGATGTGTCAGATATATGAAGCACAGTGAAAGAAATGGGTCCAGGGTTGCTTCATCAGTACCGTCATGATCTCTCCGTCGCAGAAGTCTCCAAAAAGAGCATTGTACTCCACGTGCGCGTCCGAATGAAGCACCGCGAGCGCCCTGGCACTTGTCTTCGTTTCTGTGAGGTACTGATAAGTGACAGCCATGGGCTCCGCTGTAACCTGCATGCGGAAAAGGTGCTTCTGTTCGGTTGCCAAATACAAAGTTTGGTGCAATGACTGGCGCAGTGATTGTTTTTCTGCGCTCAAGCAATCGCGGGCTGGGGATATGCTGGCTGCAACCACAACTTGCCGCTCTACACAACCAGTGGACGATCATTAGCCTGATGGTGAATCAAGGTGGGCCATAAGGTGGCCATGCCCAAGGCTACCTGGTCTTTCAGATGAGCTTCGTAGCGGAGGTAGCTCTAGCACTTCCAAGCGATCATCTGCAGCACGCACAAAATGCATGTCACCGTCCTTTCAACAATTAGACAAGAATAAATAAAGTGCCAATTCATCAGAAACGGCTGTAACATTCCAACCGTAATTAGTATGAAACTTCCGGGAATTTCAGACAGAGCAAACATGTGCAACGGAACCACATCTGACCGTTGGAAGCTTATGTCAAGACAGAATCCCAGAAATGTAGAGAGAGAGAGAGAACGAATTCACCTTGTGTGATCACGTGCGGAGCCCACCTTTTCATTTCCTCAAGCGGCTGGTTCCGTCGATATTCGTAAACCACAATTGTTAGATTTCCATCTCTGGGTTGCAAATTGTTCAGAATCTTGCATCCATCCCTCCAAGTTGTAACAGTAACCTCTTACATGTTTTTCGCAACGACAAACTGCACGAGATCAGATTCATTTTCCGGAGGGTATAAGAATGCTATCTGCCACAGGATTCCTTCTTCGTGCAACGTCGCGCACTAGAAGCAACAGTCATAAGCAATAATGTACGATGGCAACGGGGTTTAGTACTGCACCTCCTCATTGGATACAATGGTAGCTGCGGCATTTGACACTGGCCATACACGTAATATGCCCTCAAAGGCAGTCACAGCAATGGCGCGGGATCTACCGATAACGCGATAAAATCAATGATCGTTCACCCGACGAATGCTGAATGAGAATCGACTTGCATACAGAGGGTCAACTGCCAGTGTATGACCCAAGTCTTTGTAGTCCAATCCGGGTGGGGCTATAGAAACCTGCGGATACGCATAGGAACATTAGGGATAGTACATTGCTCCGCAAATCAAACATAAGGCAGCTACAACGCCATGGTTCAATTTCCGCACCACTAAGTGGTGGCCTTTCTGGAGAGTACATCGTATATTCGAAACCAAGGAAACGTTCGCATAGCAAAGACACTAACCTCAGAAACTCGAACGAATCTCCCTGAGCTGTAGTCAGGAATCAACGCATCCTCCCGCACATCGTATTGAAATGACACAAAAGTGAGATATCCCGAGTCTGAGAGGCAAGCCAGACAATCTACAGAGACGTCCTCATCCGTTTCCATATGCACACTTTGTAAGTTGTTCGCTCGTCTCGGGAGTTTCAAAAGCTTGACATCTTTGATTTGCCCAAACACATGTTGTTCTGCAACTGATCTCAGAGACACCGGATCGTGCATCGCATCAAATATCATCAGCTCTAAGACATTGTCCTGCATATATTATAACGACCAACATCGTCAAAAGAATGCGACAAAGCAATGTCTCGGCCTTCTTCCCCTTCTACCTTTACAAGAACCACTTCCTGTCTTGTGCTAGAGACTGAGGTGCCATTGGTGGCTCCGCCAATAGTACATGGCAGAGCTTGCCGAACGACGCAACTTTTTACTGGTTGTCGTATATATACACAAGTGCTCGGCGATGGGTGGTCAGACTGAGATAGAGCCATTCGTTTCTGGCTTCTTTAACGTGGGACACCGCGGCCAATTTCTAATGTTCCTGAGGCACTCCAGTATCCTTTAACTTTCTGTCCTCAACGTCTCGAAAGAGTATTCGTATATGCCAAATGATTTCCGCTGTTAAAAAACCAATGTCGAGATGCCAAAAAGCGATGAAGCTCGTCCGTGAGTCACAGAACGCAATCTAACCATAATTGGAAACCCAACATATCGCGGAGGTGATTGAAAATGGCACTAAGGCCCATTATTATCCGGATAATCCGGTTAATCATATCGCATAATCAGCACCCCCATCTATCGCTCAAAGCATGCATGTTTATGTTCTCCAAACTGCGGTGTGGCATGCTAATATAATGTTTTTCTTTCCTCCAAACTGCGGTGAGGCGCATGCCAAAGGTCTATAAAAGGGGGCCTTTTGCTGTCTCTCCCCTTCCTCACCAGTTCCTCGACTCTCAAACCATCTGCACAAACGCTCATCGCGACCCACATTGCAACCTCATAGCGACTCGGTCAACCATGAGAATGCAGATGTGATGGTGCCGAGGACCTCGCCCTCCCGACAACAACAACAACATAACCCCTTGCAAACGCTGCTACTACTATATTGCTACGATCGCAGGTATGCATTATCTTTGTATTTTCCGCGCGGATTATCCAGTCTAATTATTCTGATTTTACTAGTATCTGAAAACATCCTCCGACTAAAGAATTTTGGAATCAAGGGCTTCGTAGGATTTCTCTCGTGTGGTGGGCTTAGTTACCCGGTTAGAACCACCGTAATGTATTGCATGTGTCATTGGGCCTAGTAGTAGTTTGTTGGGTTGTAAGGAGTTGGTTAGCTAGTTGGCTTTTCCGAACCGGTTGTCGCCGGTTTATTCCCTGGTGTAGTAGCTAGTGCCATTTTCTGTCACCTCTACACTATCGCGCTGCGTAAGCAAAATCATATCGTGTCGATTTCTTTCCTCGGGCGATACTTTTTGAGTGTTGAGACGACGATGGCCGCTAGCTTTTTCTCGGTGATTGTAAATGGACAGATTGAATCAGCATATGTGAGTAGATCGTCGTAAATGCACGCTTCTTAAAGCATGAAATTCACATCGGCCTTACTCTAAAGTCCATACCCGCTAGTTTCCTAGTTATGACAATTTGTATTGCAAGTTCTCCTTTGTGCAAGGGCCGGATTGGGTAGTGGTGTCCGTGAGTGATAATGATATAAAGTAACCAAACATTTCGTAAGTCATAGCTCATTAGCAGCATTTTATCTAGGGGCTTGAAGAAGGCATCACACAAATGGCTCTGGCATCATCCCCTTCAGCGTTCAGCACATCGTCCTATTCAACGGGAATGTTGGCACAACCCTGCGTATGGAACTTTCCGATCGATATTGCATTCAAATCTACCAATGCATTTGGTACCACAAAACTTCCATTACTTGATTTTCCCACCTCGGTGTAACTGATGCAACTTTCGATTGTTTGTAAAAGGTTGGCCTCAGATGATTTTGAGCGTGTACGGTATGGATGGTTTGGGAAGGGATGTGGTGCGAGGTTATGGCAGCATACGACTCCCACGAACACCTGGCATGTAAGGTCTTTGTGCTTCTGGCGGTTATGCACCTATGGGATATTAAGAACGTATTGTCTGTGACAGGCATACACTCTACGTACCAATGTTTGTTCCTTTGGCATCAACGCCATTCAACGGCTTTCTCTCATGGATTACGGGCCGTCTTCCCGAGTTCCTAGATTCCAGATTCGTGAGCCGAAATGAGGGTCGAGAGGGTGAGCCCACTATTGCTTTTTTACAGTGCGACCGAGACTCGTAACACTCGATTTGTTCAGTGACAAGGGTGCGAAGTCAGGGAACTGTCAAAGTCCAGATCAATATGGGCACGAAAGACATGGAGCGATTCGGCTATGTGGCGAATCGCCCGGTAAAATCAGTATAATATCTGTTGAGTTCAGGCCAGTGTATATAAATCTACGTGCGATGTGAAATAGAATGAAGAATGGGTAACGCTATCTACCAAATCTCAGAAAATGTACAAGAGAAGCTACCTAGGGACTCTATGCATGAACATCCTATCACCCTCATTTTTTACCTTTCCGAGTCGCTGCTACTTTCTCCTTCCTTTTTTTGACAGCTTTCGGTATTTTCATCTTGCGCTTCTCCCGCTGCGCCTCTTTTGTTGCCTTTTTGCGCTCCTGTACGGTTCATCAGGTTACCAATCGATTCAAGTGAATCCATCCTGTGAGATCTCAAACGTTACCCACCTTTTTGGACTCTTTATCCTCATCCTTCTTCATCACCTTTCGTGTCCCGAAATCGCTACCATCGCCATCGCTACCATCCCCCTCGTCCTGCTCGCTGCCTTCGGCGTCCTCTTCGTCTGTGCTGTTTTCCTCATTATCGGTCAAGTGCTCCTCCCTGCCATCACCATTGTCCCCTTCGCTCCGACCCTCCGGATTTGGGCCCTGCTCGGTGTCGGTTGGTGTCGAAACACCACTTGCTGGTGTTGGCAATGTCAACCCGATTACTTGCCGATACAAGAGCTGCAGGGGACAGTCTTGAGCATTTGGTCCCACCTTTCCTCAATGATTGAGCACACAACTTACATCCGCACCCTGTCCAGCTCGTAACTTCTCCACGTCCCGCTCAACATCCGGTACATCATCTAATGTTCGAGGTATATAGAGTTGTTTGAAAACTTCCTCGTCCACTTGGATGGTGGCATCATCAAGATAGGTTGCAGGACGTTCCGCCACCCGCGCATGGACCTTTAGTACAATACCGGTGAGCATATATGGAAGCGTGGCACAGCCGTGGGCTCAATTGATCAGTACCTTTGCCAAGTATTGTTCAATCACTGGATAGTCAGGATCCAGTGCACCGTTTTCATCACTGCCTGCCCCTTCGCTTCCAGCTGATTCGATATTTTGCTCCTGTTCGTCCTTCAAAACTCGCCGTATCCCGTCGATGTCAGTCACAACAAAATCAAACAATTCTCTGACAGTCATAATTTGTTCGGGAAGTCGTCGTCGAAAGTATTCAACCACATTTGTACAATCCTTTCGCAGGAACTCCAATGCGTGAGGGTGGTCATGCTCTACAGACTGCGACACGTCAATAACGTAAAGAATCTTTTTTTGATATCTATTTTTTGCAGGCGCACCGTTAGCCAGTGGAACAAAGACATAGATGTCCGAAAACTTACAGCAAATTGTACTCGGAAAGATCACCATGCACCAATTTACACTTGTGGTACATGATCCACATCATTTTGACCAGTTGCAGATACACCGACCGATAAACATCCGGATCCGTTATCACTGCATCTTTCAAACGTGGTGCAGCCCTGACACGAAACACTCAGCATTTTCAGGTCCCAAACGCTCTTGACCAACAGTCAACCCTCACCATCCATTTTTATCACCAATAAATGTCATCAGAAGCACATGCATTCGCAACAGTAATGGTTCGGGGCAGGGAATGCCCGCGGCATGCAATCGCTTCAAATTCCGCATCTCTTTTTCCGCCCAAACCTTCACCATCTTCCTCGGATTGCTTTTACTGTATCCATGCCGAAAGCGATACTCGCCAGAGACATATCGATCACGATCCTTGAAAGTCAAAATCGATGTTTTGTACACTTTGATGGCTCGATGCTCTTCGCTCTCGGTCGTAGCATGATAGACGTTGGCTTCTTTCCCGGTACTAACACATCCGTTTATCTCGTATATGATATTGCGATTTAGCATTTTGAATAGGATAATCCGTGTACGGGGATCGAGGACTTGCTCTACGGTAGCCCGATCGGACTTGTCTTTGTGATGGTGTGTGTCGCCTTCTGCCTTTTTGCTACCTATCCGCATGCTATTGTCCGCAGATTCTAAGAGAGCAGGGCAGGAAAGAATCTGTCAGCCAAAAAGATTCCATAGGACAGACATAAAATCCAACGCACCCAATGCCTACCCAACCGAATTCTTCCAGCAAATTTCGCGCTAAAAGCATCTTCAACAGTAGAGGCCTCCTTTGACACTCGCGCTGCTTTTGCAGCAGCCCGGGAAGCAGCCACCACCTGGCCCTTCATTCCCGTTGGTCGAGGCCCTGACTCTCCGGCCCCCGCCTTGACAGATGAATCGGCCGATACCGATCCTGCGGCGTCAATCTGGACCCTCATACGATTATACTGCTTTGTAAAGTCTGCACGTGTCAAACGAGTGACGGGCGCCGGTTAGTGAGGGCGGTGAGAGAAGTACTAGTATCGCTCGCCCCCAGGATCCTACCTCCACCAGCACTGAACCATTGATCATCATAGTTGAGATCAAATTCCTCATCGTCAAAGTCCTCGTCCTCGTCGTCTTCCAAAAGGTCATCCATATACTCCTCGTCGTCATTTAGCTGAATGTTCCTGACAGATCCATTAGCGATCTCGGATGGTGGCTGCTGATCGTCATTTTTTGCCGTCGCTTTCACTTGAACTTTATCCTCCTCTGCATCAGAAAACTGACCCTCCACATAGGATGCTGCTATTGTCGATGCCATCCTAATCGTTTAAACAATCATTTCGTTGAAGATTCCTTTAATTTGTTTTTCTTGTGTGCTTACATGTGGATTATGTCATCATTAAATTTTATCCAATTCATGAGTCATGGCTGGCTTATGCGTCAGCAAGTGCCAACTTTCGTTCGCTCGCGCCAGATCCAAGCTGAGGGACGTTTTCTTCACCGTTACAGACATTTGACGATTTTCCTTGCTGGTTTCGTTTCCCATTTTTGCAACCCTTCCGATGAGCACAAAAGTAAAAACGATTGGAAACGGCTCTCACCACTCCCTAATGTCCTCTGCGCCAAAACCCGACAGTTTGAAGAAGAAACCCACAAAACCCTCGTCAGCAAAGAAGGCCGAGGACCATGTGTCGCAGGTACTTCAAACTCTTTCCTCTTAGACTAGCGTTATGTAGACATGCTCAGCATTGCACATTGGATGCTGTATGGCTTGCGCTGGTTCTTTGGCAGGCCGCTCATTGACCCTCCTCCATTCCTTCAGGTCGACTTCTCAACAATGGATGACCGAGTGCTTCGTCGTTACAAACGTACATTCAAACTAAGGGCAAAAAGCTCCAAGGAGAGTCGAGATGAGCTTGTCTCATCCGTTACAAAGCATTTTCTGCAACAAGAGATCAATGAGAAAGACACCATTACGTTCTTCATATACACCCTACGCAACCAAGGTAAGGTGAAAATGAGTTTGCGAAACCCGCTTTTCCACTGTTCTGACAAATGGTTTTGTCTCATAAGAAAACGTCTACAAGCTGCCACCCAAGGTTCCTGTCGTTTCAAGCTAATGCCGAATGCTCGGCCCATTTTGCATGCCCTCGTCGTCCCTACCTTAGATTCCCTTGTCCCTGCGTTCCTTGTACATAGTGTTCTCAGTTACCCCTACTCAATTAAAAAAAACGCCCTAGTGCAAAACGATATGGTTCCCTGTTGCTTATGTGTCTATTCTTTGTTATCTTTATCCTTCTTGGTACCTGTTTTAGGTCCACCACCGGACCCAGCACCAGTTGAGCTCGGTTGCGGAGGTTTGATTTCCTGTGAAGTTTTGAATGATATGACGTTGATTTCAGGCGATACAAGATCGTCTTCACCTAACTGGGACAGGAAAAATGTCAGATATACTTCGGTTAGACACCTCAGAAAAAGGAAAACTCACCCGCCGACTCCCAACAGTCTCGGCATATTGATAGTACTTGTCTATCTCTGGATGCACCATCTTGGCAAATTCTCGTATTGTCGTACCAGGCTGCACTAGCAGGCAATCTCGGAACACACCTCCTGTTCGGCCCCCACTGCGAGCAGAAAACGAGAAGAATTACAATGATACCAACCAAGCGCTTTCATCCTTTGGTCTGCCTACCTGCCACTTGTAAAATTGTTGATGTTCCGCACTGGATACATTGGTATCAAGCCTAGCAACTCGATGGCCCGTGTCAGGACATCTTGAACCCCAGTGGTCCCGTATCTGAACAAGACGAGATCTGCCCCACAGTGTGAACTTTATACCGCGCAGTCACTCATGAAGCATGCTTTTCGCTCCTGTACCTTGAACTTTTTCTAATCGACTACACGTGTCAAATTTCTCATTAGCGTACTAATCTCATTGAAGACAACAAGTTGTTCTATATGCACCTTCTAGTTTTCTCATCAAGAGGTTTCAGTCGCTCTGCTTCTGAGGGAGATTCCTACCCCAAGCGAGAAGTGTTCAGCCTCATATCCGTCGAAATACAGTCGTTTAGTAGAGTACCTGATCTTCGGCTAAATCGAACCGGTCGGTGCCTTCGTAATAATGAATATACTTCTGCTTGTGAAGTTTGCGCAGAAATGTCTCCGCTAGCGCGCTCGTTAAAACAATTCGTTGCTACATTTTGGCAAAAGTTGTTTATTTTCAGTTTTCAATTATGATGCGCAAATGACTCAACTCTTCATTAATCCTGACCTCTCCGTATTTTCTGCATATGCGGTCAATGTTCTTATCTGAGTCGGGTAGATCAATTTTGTTCAGTGCCTAATGAAGTGTTTATATGATCGATTGGGGGCTGCGTGATAATCGTATTCCTCGACCAATCTCATACCACTACAGTCGGGAAACGCTCGTCCAAGAAAGCATCGACAAGTCGGCCCAATGTCTCATCGTCCCAATTTTCTAATGCCTCTTTGATTCCAGATCGATCTAGTGCTCTATTTGCCATTGACAGATTAGATCCGTATCCGCTGAACTGTGTTTGGAGCGTTTCTCCGATCGGCGCCTCTGGGGTAGATGCCTGATGAGATACCCATCTTTTCTGAGCTAAACAGCATACGCAGCATACTTAGTGCGACATGTCGTCGAACAATATTCCCCCATCGCTTCTTCAAGTTATTGAATATCCAACTTGTAACCAGCGATACATATTAGCAAAGTTTATCATCTTTGAGCAAATTCGGCAGCTGCTGTATCTGAACGGGTACTTACAAACCTGTAAATCTCAGACCTCAACCAATCGATGTCATTGATAGGATCGTATCCGACGGTTTCTTTTCCGTCTTGATCTGTCGTACCCGAGACATCTACAACATGAATCAAGGCATCCGCAGTTCGCAGATCGTCAAGAAACTGATTGCCGAGACCCTTTTGCAGACGTAATCAATTATTCTGATAACTAAGACGGCAGTGTCTCAATCCCGCGCAATGGCCATACCTTTCCCTCCGAAGCACCGGGTACTAACCCTGCAACATCCAAGATCTTCACAGGAACATAGCGTTTACCATCAATGCACCGTCCTAAAAGAGGATTCCAGCTCATTAGGTCAAGATATTTTCACTGGGCTAACTTTGACAATGTCTACAGCAGCGTAACTGGTGCACTGTTTTTGCAACATTCCCCCGACGTACTGATACCCACCATAACGCGGCTGGCACAATTTCTCCTTTCCAAATTTCTTGCACGGACAGTCAAATGGAACATATGCCACTGCAGTATTGGGCTTAATTGTGGTGAAAGGGAAGTTGCCCACTTTGGCTGTGGCATCCGTTGCTGGCAAGCGTCCACATGCGTCCACATGTTAGCACCATTTACAGTCACGGCAAATTCAGGATGACAGGGTACCTGCATTCAGGAATGAACTTTTGCCTGCAGAAGGCTTTCCAACACAGGCTATTAGTACATCTGAAGCACCCATTGCTGCTCTTCACTTGCAATGATCTCTGGTTTGCAATGATCTCAAACGCTGGCAGCATAGCAATTTTCGTGTGGCACAGCTGGCTTACGTTAGCGATCGGATGTTGAGATTTAGACATGGGATTGGTTATTGCCCAGCACCAGAGGACAATATTTTACCAGCACATGCTGGAAGTTGCGTATTCACATCCTGGATTTAAAAGTTTATCATATTCTTTTTCTGTTTTTCTGTATTTAACCGTCTTTGAATCGCTGCCTCGCTTTGTTGCACACTTCGTAATGTGCCCTCCAAGTCGTGTATTTTTGCCCGATACGACGCAGCAATCTTCGGATCGCCTTTATTGCGAGCCAATGCTTCTTTAGCTCGAGAGAGGGCGGCTACGAGCTGGGAAGCTTTTGTCTGGACGTTGATCAAGTCCACATGGAGCTTTTGCTTATCGGGCTGTTTTGCCTTGGTATGGGGTTCAGGCTTTGAAATGTATGCTGACGATTTGGTGGATTTTTCGTTAAGCGACGTGTTGAGAAAGTCAAACACGTCCGCTGGAGGAGTATGTTGTTCTGACTCTTGACCTGATTTGGCATCACGACCTCCCTTGTGTTTCCGCTTGTGTCGTCCCTTTGCATCACCCGGTTCCCGTGGCCTTTTCCGCTTCCGCTGTGATCTCTCAACCACAACACCAAGACCTTTCCCAGCGGGAAGAACTTCAGCTTCGACGGGCCTCAGTCGACCTTCCCCTTCTTTGCCCAAACCTTTGCCGATTCTATAACCCATTTTTGCAAGCAGTTTGCCGCCAATGCCTTTCGTATGAGCCTCCCATGTTCCCATAGCCTCTCCATCACCGTAGTGGAATGTAACTCTCGTCTCATCCGATGGTCCGTCTTCGTTATCATCATCATGTTCTTGACTGTCTGACGTCCACTCATCAGACTCGGACTCCTCCTCCGATCCATTCTCGCCTGAATTTTCGAGATGGTCTTCAACACCCAATCCGGAAACTGGGACCAGCTCATCTGCATTGAGCTTGGTCTTTTCGTCCCCATAACCTTCATAGTTCACCCAAAACGGGCCATCAGGACCCTCCATTGCGACCACGCTTGCTCTGTAGTATATTCCATCCCGATATCGTGCCAAAACTTTGGCGCCTTCCTTGATGGAGCCTTGATTCAAGACTTCTGTGGGCAGCAAATGCTCTAGCGACATAATTATCCCGTGGGATCGCCCGCATTTGTCCGCATTGCAGCGCCCGTCCAGAAACCAGTCACATGGGCGCGATTCCCTTGTCAACGGCGTTAGTATCAGAACGGTTGCTTCGTCCGACTCACGATCGAGTCGTAAAACCATAGCAGGTAGGAAATAGGTGGCCGATGCCACGCTGAAGGGAACGCAACACTTTCCGCCCTCTTTGAGGTTGAATTCGTTCGGATCCTGCGTCAAGTCTATTGTCTTGAATAACCAATCTCGAGCCATCAGGATCTGCTTAGACTTGCGTTGGCAAAGTACGAGATATTTCAGCTCACATTGTCCTCGACTGCTGCCGACCCAGTAGACCCTAGTTCTGCGCCTGGATCATGACTACTGGTTGCGTTGTCTGGGTTAGCTAGTGTTTGGTCTTGGAGCGCAATGAGGTTTTCGAGATCTACAGCAAGATTCTTGAGGTCGTCATTGTCGGGATCTATTCGAAGCAGACCGTGGATCTCTGCAAGCTGCTCTTTCAAACTGTCCATGCCGGATCATGTTCCTTATCCTAGGCGAGTACCCAAACCTTTCATCATTCTTCTGGCACGTGATATTAGCTGTTGCATTTGTTTGCGAGAGACTGCGTCGTGCATCACATTTGAGCCTTTTCTGAACATACAATGAGCATGGAAGAGCAATTCGCCATGATGTACGACTGCTGGTGGTAAGGAATTTGTGAGCTGCCATTTGCGCGCATGTCCTTCTTGAACGCTGCTTGCCATGACGAGGACTTTTGAATTTGTCTTTGGTAAGCTTTGTGTCACAATATTTTTTGTTTCCACGTGATCACGCGAAGAAGTGTCAAAGGACTTCTGCATTTATTTTTGTCTTGGTTATTCCACCTCCGAGTAAAGGAAGGGCTTTACAATGGGTCTTGCGGGTCAAAAGAATAAGCAGCGGATAGGCCTGGATCCCCAGAACAAAACCTGGAAGAATGGTCAGTGACATTGTTTCTTACTAGCTTTCCGCATGAGCACTCATTTACTTTTCCGCAGACCAGTCAAAATTCGGGTTTAAGATGCTGCAGAAAATGGGCTGGTCTGAGGGCAAAGGACTGGGAGCAAACGAGGATGGTCTAACAGAGCACGTCAAAGTGCGCTTAAAGGAAGACAATTTGGGTGTCGGTGCGGACCGACGGACGATTGATAATTGGTTGGATAACAATAGCGCCTTTGATGCATTGTTGAAAGGATTGAATGGTAGTGGAGACGATGGTACACCCGAGCCTGCAGCCGTAGAGAAAGAGAAGCCGGAAGTTTTAGAGACGACGTCGCACGCAAAACCAGCGCACGGACGGCTATACCACCGCAAGAAATTCCTTCGTAACAAACTTGTGAGCAATTACGACTCGAAAGACCTCAACATGATTCTCGGTGTAAAAGCCGATCAGGATGTGCCATCAGATTCGGGTACACCGAGCACCGAGTCATCGGATGACGGTGACGCTCTGAAACAGCAGGAAACCCCGCGCCTTAAAGTTGCTGCTATTAACGTCCACGATTATTTTGCACAACGGATGGCAGCAATGGGTTTGGCTGCAGGGGAGGTCAATAACAAGGACAAGGATGCTGAGGAAGATGATAGACCTTCTTTCGGAGGATTGGGCTTGGGCGCTGGAATGGGGACCGAGACGTCGACAACGCCTGGCATTGGGCTGCGGACCTTTGTTAAATCAACTGGCGAGACATCTGTCACCATGGCTCTGAGTCAAAATGTAGCAACGTCCGGAGGGACAACGGAGGTTGCAGCAACAGTCGAGGAACCTTCCAAAAAGAAAAAGAAAAGCAAAGGAAAGGACGAGAGTACTGACAGTACATCGTCGGACCAGAAGGTGAAGGTGAAGAAATCAAAGAAAGATAAGAGGGAAAAGAAGGACAAGGATTTAAAGGATGCCAACACATCAAAGGGCAATAAGCGAAAACATGCAGAAAACGATTCAGATCAAGCACCCGTCACCAAAAAGTCTAAATCGTCCGCAAAATCTACGTCGGATGCCGACAAATCTTTGACTACCAAGAAATCCAAGAAGGACAAGAAATCCAAGACAGAGTCGCTAACTCCTCCCATCTCTCCCGACAAGACAAAATCAAAGAAAGGAAAGACCGTAAAGGATACTGAAAAGAAAAAGAAGAGTAAACGGAAGGAAAAGGAGAATTGTGTGGCTGATAGATAGTAGATTCAAAGGAGTTGGTAAAAGCACGATTTGATGGCTGATAGTATTTATTTATTTTTTGTTTTTGATGCGAGGGCATCCTGTAATATAAGATATTATTTTTTTTACTCATATGCGCAGCTACGAAGTTGCTCCATCTTTGAGATGCTAAAAGGTCGCAGTCGCAAGCTTAGTCACGCGACACTGTGCTGGGCGGAAGCGCGTGTCAATACCGCTATGATGAAAGTTTGGACATGGGCATGTCAAGATACAGGTTTTCATGTTTTGCACTCAGCAGAAACCGTATCCCATCCAGGATCAAAGTGCAGAGCAGGTCACACCCTCCTGTAGAATACACGTGAAAAGGTGTCCTGAGCCTCTGTCGGAACGAACAGTGCTCCTGTCTATGATAATCGGTAACATGATTATCGACGCCATATGTGAATCACCGTAAATTCAGCATCGATTAAAACTTATCATTTGGAAAGAGTTGAGCATCGCAAGAACTCTGCGGGTCGAGCCCATGTTTGTTATGTTGATTTCGTCATGTCCGGAAGAGCGCGTTCGAACAAGGCATCAAAGCCACATCATGACGCAAGCAAATCAGCTATAAAATGCCTTTCTTGCTTTTTGACAAAGCCAGTTTTCCAACGACCTCCAACACGCAACAGCGACAATGGCTGTCAATTCAAAACTTGTGCAGGAATCTCCGTCACTATGGGCCCGATTGAAGGATATCGTCCTACCGCCCATTTTCTGGATCGCTAATCGGCTGGATTCATTTTTGATTGTCAGAGTGTTTTTTGTCGTTCCTATGGCGGTGGCATGGGCTGTCTGGTATTTTTGGACGAATGTAGGGACGTTTATCAAGAATGTGTACTTGAGGATCACAGGCGCAAGTGAGAGGAAAAAGGTACATTGTCGTTGGCATATTTCTCAAGGCCAAATTGGATTGGTTCTGAATGGTTCTGAATAGATGGAAAAGAATGCTCAGAAAGCCCTCCAGCAAAAGCACCGCTCCACCGAGTCTTTCAAATTTCCCTCCGATCATATCATTCGCACTCCCGAATACAGATTCGAGCGGCTGGCAGATTGGAAATTTACGCCACGCTATTTCGAGGTTAAGGGCCTTCGTGTACACTATGTGGACGAAGGCCCTCGGGAGGGAGACCAGAATTGGTCTGGCGAGACGATTGTGCTTATGCATGGAAATCCTACATGGAGTTATATGTATCGTAACGTAAGGAGCATCTCTGGAAAACTTGGCATGGCCGTGAGATTTCTGACTCTTATGCTCTTTTGCAGGTCATCCCCGTACTGGCTGAAAGAGGACATCGAGTCCTGGCATTAGACTGGATTGGTAAATGTTGAGCTTTTTCGTAACATGTGCAGGTGTAATAGATTTACATATTTCATTTATAGGAATGGGCCGATCAGACAAACTAGTAGACGAATCAGACTACGATCTGGATCTGCACAGAGATACCTTCAAAATATTCGTTTACAACCTTAAACTAAAGAACCTAACGTTGGTTCTTCAAGATTGGTAAATATACTCTTGTGTTTGCTGATGTGGTAGTTTCAGGTTTGACTCCATGCATGTGTACGCAGGTCGGGCCCGATCGTTCTTTTATCCCTTCCGGATCTTCCGTCGAATACCGCTTCTCGCCTTTTGATAACTGATACCTTTCTACCTCCCGAGAAGATCAGCGATGCATCGTTGAGTGCCATGGCGCTGATATTCACTTGGCTCGTATACACTACTACTTTTGGGGTTTGTTTAAAAGTAGTCATCACGCCTGTTATTCTTCACGTTTACTAATTGTGCCTACTTTAGCACTTCATGACTGTATCTGGCGTTATACGCTTCATGGCCCCACATGTTAAAAGCGCGGCAGTCGAAGGATACACCGCGCCGTTTCCTTCCTATAAATATGAAGCTGGCGTACGAGTCTTCCCGAAATTGTGTCCATTGCCGTACGCGAGATCACCCGTCGTCAAAGCTTACGCACCCCGCGTACTGCCTGGTGTATCATCCCAGATTGAAAAGGCGGCGCATGTGGGAGCTTCGTTAGACCGGTTCAGGGCCTTTGCAAACGGGTTCAAGAATCCTGTGGGGGTTGTGTATGGAGAGCACGATGACTTGTTCAAGGACGTGAGGAAGGTCTTCCTGAGCAAGGAGTTATTCCCTGATGAAGCCTTCTCGTGGATAGGTCGAAAGGTTGTGGTCATCAGATCGGCTGGTACGTGTTGCTTTGGATATTTCAAGTGTCCGATATGAGTATCGGCGTGATCTTGACAACCGGTTTAGGACACTACTCGCCTGAAGACAAACCGGATGTCTTCACCGAGATTCTGCTTGATTTTCTCCGGGGAGAGAAGCCAAGCACAGGACTTCCAATTGTCCTTGCCAATCAATGACATTACGTGCTATTGAAGACGATTGAAAAAACGAGATATATTCAACAACATTCAGCAATTCGCAATATTCGCTACGTTCTTCTTATAAAATGGGTATATAAATAATAGGACTCATGGGATTACCGACAGATAACAATATGTAAAAAGTTATCCGGATATGAGCAGTTTTGGCTGAGCCACAAAATCGGTGTTTCGATGGGAATTACTATTCCATGGAGAATGGCGACCGCTTCTGATGCGTCACTCTTCCGAGTATTGTCTGCTCCCTCCGTAGTGGGCGCGTCTAAGCTGGGAGGGAAGATTTCTGGCAACATTCGGCCAAGGATATCCCGTAGTGTGTATTCGCAGTCTATAATGCCTCATGAGTATCGGTAGGTTAATGGAGTTATATACCTGCCAAAACATACCCAAATTGTCATCAACAGGAGCGACGGGTTCCTGAATCACCGGTTGATCCAGGAGGTACACTCGCAACGGGATGTATTTAGGTATAGTATTATCGTTGGTTACCAATCTCGCATTCACGTTCCAGAATTTATCATAGTCATGGGATGATAAGCCTTGCCAGAGGTTGGTTTGATCTTGTTTTGACAGTGACATGAGCTTCTTGATTGAGCCGTTGCGGATATAGTCGGCCTGCAGGTAGATGTGGGATTTCTTGTTGTTATACGCATAACCACAAAGCGGGAAACAAACATGCTGCTTACCTCTTTGATCATGGACATGAACGAGTCGTGCGGGGTGTCTATTATATTGGCGGCATTTATGCGTATAAGTTTGTCAGTAGGAAAGTTTGTAAAGTGGATGATAATGTGCCAAGGAAGTGGTGAGGAGCCGCGGTATTGGGACGTGAGAAGGTCATGAAGGAGACCAATGGGGTAATGCCTGTAGAAAAGTTCAACCTATGATAGCAGATGAATGTGCCTTGCCAGTATCGCTTACCATTTCAACGGCACCCCTCGATACTCATACCAAATATCAGCGTCATGTCCCGTAAACGCCACACCAGACTTCACAAACACCTCCCTCACTGATTCGGTTACGAGGGGGAGGTAACTACAACGGTGCATAAAAGTCTTCAGAGAATCGTCTGGGTAAGGTCACTTGGTGATCATTGTAGTGTCATTCCTTGCACTGTATACCAACAGTTCAAGGCTGGCGCGCAGCCATTGCCCGATTAACTTACGTAGTGGCTATGGAGGATTGCACCTGAAGCAAGGGTTTTAGCGTCGGTGGGGTCAATGGATATCCGGACCGGAAGCTGGCCGTCCCAGATGCCGTGGGTTACGGCTGTGTCGATGCGTTGCATGACGAATAACAAAGATGGATGAACGACAAGATTCCTTTGCCCCCGCTGTGGATTCCAAATTTGTCATCTGCCCTTACATGACTGTGCCAACGGCGAGTGTGTTGTCAGCAACGTTGAAGGAATCTCGACTCGATTTCGCTCGGCTTTGTTTCTTTCTTTGCATCATCTTTTTTGGTTGAAACTTGTTCATCACAACCACGGAATAAATAGCATGTGGGGATGGGGCGGCTCCAAGAAGAAGACCGAGGTTTCGCGCGGGGGAGCATCCGCACCTCGCGAACCTGACGTGTTTGATGTCGACATTGCAGAGCCAGATATTTCAGACGCCGATTTGAACGACCCAGCTTTACTTGTATGTACCGAAAATTAGGAACGATAGGAATATGGCTTCAAGTTAAATCACTTATTGAATTATAGGCCGAGCTACACAACCTGTCACGTAGCGTTGCAGCTGGTCAACCAACACAAAAATCCGCATCTCCCAAAAAAGTCGCTCGTAAGCCGGTACAAGTAGAGGCAGAAATTGATGTCGAAGCGCTCGTATCAGGAATTCCTGCGGGTGATGACGATGTGGACGTGCAATTGGACGAATCCGACTTGAATGACCCGGAATTATTGGTACGAACAGATCGATACTGATGGGGATGACCGTTATAGACACTTACCGTATACACGCGCTAGGCGGCTTTGGGAGCATTGGGTGGAGGGAATGAGTCTGGATCGGACGAAAGCGATGTCGATAGAAGACGATCAGAAGATGGTCCTCGGCCAGTTACCATTACCAAAACTGTCACAACAATCTCCAGCCCACCTGAAGGATCCGCCCCGAAAGCGGTAGAAATGCCGGTTCCAAAGGCTGAGCAGCCGAATGTTCAGGATGAGTCGCTCCCGCTTGATTTCAAGCTCAGATCAACCGATCCAAATGTTCTAGTCAAATATGTCCAACTGGAAAAGATCAAAGCGCTCAATAAGAAGCGTGCTGGGGATCGAGAAGGAGCCATGGATGCTTTGAGGGCATCCAAGACACTTGAAGAGCGCCTCGAGCAAGTGAATCAAGCGATCGAAGCGAAGCAGTCTCCCCCGCCCCACGTCTCCCTAACAAAGTTTGATGAAATATCCCCGCCGCCACGACAAGCGAGTATAACGGAAAAGACGGTAACAGTCACTCTCGCTCCGCCAGAGACGGCCCCAGAGGAAGAGCTTGACTTGCAGACACTCAGCCTAGCCGATGACGATGGAGAATCTAAACAAGCGGTGGTGGGAGGGTTGTCCGTAGAGGATCTTACGAGACGGCAACTAGAGTACAAGCAATACGCACTTCAGGCAAAGAAGGCAAACGACTTACCACGTGCCCGGGAATTCTTGACAATCGCAAAACTGCTGCAAGAGCCCATTGACTCCCTTTCTCTGGGGGGCATGTTGCCGGACGGGTACAAATTACCTGTACATCCTTCCGAAATGCCAATATCCGAATCTCCCGCTCCTGCCCCACCATCGGGAGCTGCTCCTGCTAGTCAGCAACCATCACCCGCAAAACAAACTCCAGTAAAACCAGCACCGGGAAAACGGGCAGGGGTAACCCCCAAATCGGGCCGTAAAGATGGAACACCGCTGGGCGTGGTAGTTCGGGAATCCGTCGACCTTCGAGACGTGGAGTCAGCATTATCATCCTCTCCTCCATCACCCGGACCGGCTCCCACAGGGGACCTGTTTTCCCATTTGGAAGCGACCCTCGAATCTCAAATCGCGACGTGCACAACTGTTGCGGCTCATTACTACAAACAAACCAAAAAGGCCGAAGCCCTTACCTTTCACAAAATGAAAAAGACCTTACAGGCAGATTTGGACACCCTCCGCCTTCTGAAATCAACGCCAAACCCCCGCCCACCCGCGTTCAAATATACGACACTGAGATATGAGATTGAGCAGGCTATTCCTGAGGTTGCTCCAGATGAAATGGAAATCCAGGTTGTGAGAGCGTGGGATTTGGGTACAAGGGAGGTGAAGGGTGAGGAGGTGGAGAGTTATGTTGCATTTGACGTTGGATGGCCGCCCGATGATGCAGAAGGTGCCGGTGCGAGCGGGGAGGGCAAAGGGGAGACAGCAGTGGTGAAACGGTCTGCGAGTCCTGGTACGCGCTTCTTCCCTTTTATTGAGCGTCCCTTGGCGAACTAATCCTAGTTGTGCAGAGTACGAATTCTCGAAACGAGTTAAAATCGCCCGCAATCGGACTTTTCAGCGGTACCTCGAACGACGCAAGGCCACGTTTGAAGTCTTCCATTACCAGCGCGGGTTCCTTCTTATCGGCAAAAAAGTCTCGTTGGGGAGAATACAAATCAAGATGGAGCCCCTACTCACCAAGTGTGACATTCACGAAGTCGCAGAGGTATGAAGCTATGTGCTGGTATATGAGATGGGTTGGGTTGTGATGGTTGTCTCACGCGTTGCCATTGGCAGTTGGCGGATCCAAATAATCCCCGTCGACTCACAGGTGGTAAACTCGAAGTTCGGATCCGACTTCGAAGCCCGTTGAACAAGCCTGATGTCGTGGTGAAGGAGGAACGATGGTTATCGGTTGATTTTAGTGGTGGTAACCAAGTGGAAGGTAGTCCACCTACCGGTGAAGCCACTGCTCCGGGAGGGTTGAAAGTTCCGACTGTCACAACAGAGCAAACGAGATCTCGGTCCCCATCTCCTAGTTCCATCAAATCTACATCCCCAGTGTCACCACAAGACGGTGAGAGTGGTCCTAGTTCGGGCGTACCGACACCCAAACGTCAAGCGTCTCCTCAGCCTGCGAGCAGTGGCAGCTCTGCAACCCCAACGCCCAAACGTCAGCCCTCCCCCCAACCGCGAGCGGCGGAATCAGGGGCAGATGCACTGGAAGAGCTGGAAATGCAGTTTATGAGGTAATGTCTGCGCATTTCCATGCAGCGCGGAAGTATACTTTTCCTTATACAAACCACCACGCTTTAGCGCGGATTCAATCATTTCAAACCTTGTCCTCGAAAAAGAGCACGAGCAAATCGTTCAAAAAATCACTGCTCTCCAGGCATCTCGCAAACCTGTTCCAGACGACTTGAGTGATCGGAAAACGGCTTATGAGATTCGAATGAGTTTGCTTGTAACAATGGTTCAGACGGGGAGACTTTCTGTCGAAGGTGTGTATTTTCATTGCTAGCTATTTAAGATTTTGGAAAAGTCTGGCCCATTGATTGTGTTCCTACACATTTCAACGCACGCAGATTACGTTAAGCAACTTCAAAACGGCATTGCGCAAAACAAGCAGATTGCGTTAACATTTAAAAAGGGAGGACGCATCGAATTGGCCAAGCAGGCTTTGACTCGAGTCAAACTCATGACGAGTGAGATGGAAGAGTTGAGTGGAGAGGGAGCATGAATGCCTTTTTCAATGATAGATCTTTTGTTTATATATTTGATATGATCATATTGTGTATCATCAACCTTGCCGACCATATTTCCGCCCAATGTCGTGTGTTGCTTGATGATTAGACCAACGATGTCCATAACATGTTCATTAAACTATAAATGGCAAGTTAATGCACGTGCTCAAGCCGTGACCTCGTGACAAGGGTGTATCCTGGCTGGAATGTCAAGTGATTGCACGTGAGAATGACAAGTTGCATGTGATTGGGGCATGTGAATTGGGGTCGAAATGGACGTGTCCGATGCAACTGGACAAGGGTGGATTGGGCGGTCAGCCGCCATTACAGCCATGAAGCGGCCACAGGCGGCCACAGGCAGTCATCCAGCGACTAGCAACCCATCTCGTCCTATGCAGCCATTTGAAGGTCCTTTGCCAGCCATCTAGCCATAGGCAGCCATAGGCAGCCCATCTACACAAGGGCGATTTAACGTTGCGTTTGTTCCGTCAGACACTGTATTACCATGGCAACTGCATGTCTCCCATATCACGTGATAATGAGCAGTGTGATTGCTGACGTAATTTGAAGATGTTGATCATTTGGCACACATGACAAGGAAATGGCCTTTCCCCCCCTTGGCTTTTCCTTCGCTCCTCCTTCCATTGCTTGCGAGCAGCATCCAGTTTTTTTTTTTTCTTCCATTTCAAACTTCTAGGTTTCAACACCCATTTCAGACAACGGGCAACCAAGCACACAAACGTACATTCAACTTACGCACTTGTGTGGTTTTGGTGAGACAGATTTGTGGCACTTGTAGACTTGCGGACAGTAGGCTGTGGTGAGTGGGTGATCTGAACATTTTTATGCACATCATGATCTTGTTGTGTTTTTGCTCACTGCTCTACATGAACTGTTTTGCTTTCCTCTCTGCACACTCTTGTCTCGACGCTCCTTCCCATACACACACACGCACACACGCACTCGTGGGACTTGCCGCTCCGCCCGCACACTGACCTGTCAAAACATTCTCGGACATGCTAGCTTGATCAGTGACTGCTAGTCTTTCCGCTACCAACCGAGTCTTTTGCCGCTTACCTCTCCCACCCTCCGCTCCCGAGAGTGGCTGTCACAGTTCGCTCCGTGTGAACCTTTTTTTTCCCTCGTTCTGATCTCACCATTTGTGATTGGCCGAATCGCGTGTTCGCGGGGACAGCAAAAACGTTTCTATTCGGAATCGCGAATGTACTGTGAGAATGGTCTCTTCAGAGTCGGATAACCTATACCCAGATAGCCACAATGACCAAGGTAATGTACAGAAAATTGCTATGCATATCAATTTTTTTTTATTTTGTTAATGTGCCATACTTTTCGCAGGACATGCGTTACCAGGCAATGGCACCGGCGGAGGTGGTGGGGGAGGAGGCGGCGGCGGAAAGTTTCACAAACCAATCCCCAATCCGTTACATTTACCTAACGATATCCTGCACTCGGCACCTCACGGTCAAAATGCAAATTCCATGATGGCGAGTCACTCTGCCTACAGTTCTCAAACTGCTTCAGCGCAGTCATCCCCACTCTTGACGCCTACAACTCCGACGCAGCCAATGCATGCCATGTTTTCGATAGGCACAACTCCGATCCATACATCGTTTACCCACGCTACCCACCACAGTCAGAACAATAATCATCACCAGCAGCACCAGCATCAACAGGGCGTCAATGGCACCGACAGCTCCTACTCGTCTTCGTATGTCAACGGCACGAATGGTATCAACGGTCATGGTGAGCACGCTCATGCTCCTCCGACGTCATCTCCATCTACTCCTTCGTCGACCCCGCGATCATCCATGAGCATCAATGATTTGTGCAATACAGTTGACGATGGGATGGGTAAGGATGGCAATGTTTTACAATGTACTTGTCACAGTTGACTGACTTATGTGTATAGGTCGAGCCAACCAGGAAGGGTCATACTACACGACCGATCCTGATGTTCAAATGGCTGCGGAAGCGTTGGGTGGATTACGCAATGGCGGTAAGACTTTTCTGTCATACTGCGTGCGCGCATACGCCATGTTCTGATCCTTCTTTGTTTTGTAGATATGGGACAAGCCCTGCGTCAACCCAACCAGGAACATTTTATGCAGCGGGTATCAAACATTCCGTTAGTAAACAAATCAATCAATCAAATCAGTACAGCGTACGAAGCAACAAAAAATGCTAGCAGGGTCGTAAAGGTGTGTTGACCAGACTGCAATCTCGGCTAAATGATCGAGAAAGCTAATGGTTCCTCTATGACAGTACTCTGCAGAGTCCGTGGAAACGGGGGTAAAGACAATAACAAAGCCGGTCTTTGATAAGCTTGAACCTGCGTTAGCTCCTCTGGATAGATTTGCTTGCACACAGCTTGACAAGGTTGGTCTATCTTTTGGGCCATGCTGGGGAATGTTCAACAACTGAATGTCGGTCCATATGTAGCTCGAAAGATCATTCCCGTCCATTATGGGATCCAATTCCCTTCCGCCATCTGAAGACATGGACAATATGTCGGATGCCTCCCGAGAATACAGAAGCCGGCCGCGGTCTCTGAGCACGTCGTCGGTCTCTTCCATATCCTCTGTGGATCTCCTTCAGCCACCCAACGTTCCGTTGCTCACGAGGGATGGCCCTCGGAGTCCACAAGTCGCCAATATGTCATCCCCCAGTTCACCTTCGTCGGTATCAATTCCTGGACCGCCGCTCACTAATGCGCTTGTGCCGCCTACATCACCTGGAGGATTCCGTTCAGAGGAGGGACCTGTGACAACGGCCCCCCACATTGACCGGAAGCCGCGAAGTCGGTGGCATCAGGTTGTGGCTGGGGTTGGAGCAAACCTGAGTGGGTTGATGTTGAGTGACGAGACAATGAAGGGCTTAAAGTATTGTTTGCAATGGCTGCAGGTGTGCACGAAAATGTCATTTTTCAATTGGTGCAAAATACTCACTCCTTTTTATTTGACAGTACGCGACCAACCATATTGATCGCCAGATCGCCCTGCTGAGGGATTATTTAGCACGCGCTGGTGGGGCTGTGGCATCTTACTTGTCTGGCATTGCTACCTCGAGGTAGGTAGCCGATGAAAGTGGGCAGTCATTGATACATTCACTAACTTGACGTCTTGTCGTAGCTCTGCCTCTCAACCGACGCCCCCGCTCTCCCCGCAAGCAAACGACATGGCCGTGGCCACCTCCGGTACAGATATTTTTGCGATTGTCGCTTCGATCAAGCGTGAAGTAGTGGAGACACTTCGTCGCGTTGTGGATGTAATTGGTCGACACGCGGCTGCCTATCTACCAGGCGACGCGAGACGAAGCGTTCGAGGGTTCATTTTGGGCTTGCCGGGACGATGGGTATGTTTTTGGCATGCTCATTCTCTATTGGATATTGTTCTCTAAATCTTTTTTTGTTTTTTCATTCCAGGCATCACTGACGGGTGGCAAGGGTAACACTCCCGCGGATCCCCAGCAAACTGCCGACGCTGAAGCCCAAAAAGTTTTGACTCTTGCCACCGAATCCTCCAACATGCTCAAAGGCGTCCAAAACATTTTTACCCAAACTGTTGAATCCGCCGAACGCATGGGCCGTGTAGTAGGCAATCCCAGTTCTTCCCTCCCTGTTCCCCAATCCAGCGAGTCCTCGGTCAATGGCGCCACGACCAACGGACTCCACCACCACCACTATCAGCAACAGCAACCCTCCCAAGCCTCCTCCGTGAACGGTCAATCTGAACCCGACTCGTCACCCACCCCCCGTCCCAAACGCCGTCGACGAGCCGACCCAAGAGGAAAAGGCAAAGGCCGTGCCGAGGACGAGATGGACATATCGGATGGAGACACGGAAGGTGATAATGTGAACGGGACTGGAGAGGAATGGGAGGAGGAGAGAAGGAGTACTTCACCGGATCGAATGGATGTGGATGGGTGATTGTGCGTTCGTGCACCGTTTCGTTTTGTTGTTTGGGGCAGTGGTGGTGTTTTTGTGTATTGTCTTTACCTTCTTTTTTTTTGCACACACACGTGGACTGTAGTGGGCTCTTGTTTTAGTTAGTAGTTTAGTTTTTCTTGTTGCGTTATGGGTTTATGACGAATGTTGGTAAAAAATGGGGGTCATGTTTCTCGGTCTTTTTTTCTTTGATACCGGTTGTCTTTTTTTTGTTTTTTTGTTGTGTGTCTGGTATTCTTGTAAGGAATTGTGTTGATTGCTGTGTTTTTTTTTTCTTTGAACGTGGGTATGGCTTTTCTCTCTTTTATTTTTTTGTCATCTTACGAGTTTTTCAATCGGGGGGTTTTTCTATTTCTTTTATGTTGTTAAGGATATAAATGTGCGAGTATATTGGTATCGACAGATGGGTCAAGGAAAACTCTAAACATTATTTTTTTCATTCTTCAGAGTATGTAACAGTTTTGAACGACTCACACGCCAGAACAAACGATAAAAACACAAAACTCTCTCATTTCAAATATTCCATTGTCCATACATCATAAACCCCCATTCCCAACATACAAGAAACCAAGACAAATAGCAAAATATACAAACTCTTTTTTATCGCAACGCCAAGCAGAAAAAAACACAGTATATAAAAAAAAAAAAAAAGAAAGCGGCATCAGACACTAGAGCAGATATCACGACAAAAAAAAAGAAGGAAATATAGTATATAATAGTTTCTCTTTTTTTTTTTGTTTTGTTTTCCTAGGGTTTGTATGGTGGAATCCAATGTCAAGCATTTTATCCTCTCGGTTTTCGTCTAACAAAAAAGAACATAAATCACCAGCGTCAAGCCAACAAGTTTAAAAAACAAAAACCACAAACCTCGTCGTATCATACGCCCGAATCAAACCAGCTTGACCACTCTCATTCTGACTGAACGCGAAACCTCTCTGTCGCTTCAATCTCTGTATCATTCGGACCTTGTGTACAGCTTTACGGAACCATTCCATGCGAGGTCGGTAATCAGGTATGTTGTATTTTTGGACTTCTTGGATGATGTGGTAGGATTTGGGGAAGTAGGTTCGTTTTGCGCTGTTTTTTTGGAGGGTTATTGAAAGATGAGTTACAAATGCTTCATGTTGGTTTTTGAGGAAAAATGAGGATATACGTACTATTTCCATGTAAAGTCGCGGAGATTGGCGGCGATGGGGAAGAGGAGGAGACCGAGCCAAAACACTGCATTGCCAAACATGGCTTGGTTAATTCCAAACAGCTCTGGAGAGAGCTTGATGAGTGGGCCGATGATGGCGTACTGTGGATACAAATCCGCAATGTCAGTAAACCAATAAACAGCCGAAGGAGGGCAAACCATCAAAAAACTTACAATAGGGAACAGGACCAAGAATAGTAGGACACTCCCCACGATTGCAACCCATGTAAACTTGACCCAGATATCCACTGTCAAAGCAGCCTTCCATCCAATCACTACCAAATCCGTCGCATACACCATTTCCCCAATGGACCAGTTGTCTGCGACACGTCCGTCGCCCATAATCGCACCACCGGAACTCCATACAACGGCCCGCCAAAGGTAATAGACCATCGCAGAGTGGTAGAACGAATTGACGAGCCATGAAAAGAAGACCTTGTGGTTGTAAAAGATGGAGCGCTGGCCGAGGTTGTACATTTGGGGGTAACGGTCCAACATGCGGGCGCTAACATATTGATCAAAGATGCCGATAGCGATCGGCTGTGCGACCGCCCAAAGGACGTTGTAGGAGGAGACAGAAGACCATGTTTCAAATAATGTCTGTGATGCACAGAAATGGGTACAATTAGCTCTTCTAGCTCCACAGGAGAGACAGAATCGCACAATGAGACTCACCTGCCCCGAGAACCCATTATCAATCGCGAACCACAGCTGAATCAGGTACAAGGTAATATTCTTGTAGTAACTGTATAAAATCAATTTGCTCATCCTCGCGTAGGCCCATCCACCGTGGATCAACAACAGTTTGCGGAGGAATCTAAACTGTGCAATGGCAAAGTCGGCCGATCGAGCAGCTTGTAAACCTTCCTGCCCAGAAATACCAATCCCGACATGCGCTGCTTGAATCATGCCCACATCGTTGGCTCCGTCTCCGATAGCGAGTGTAACGCTCTCGTCAACGTTTTTGCGGACCAGTTTGACGACCAGGGCTTTTTGAAGGGGTGAGACTCGGCAGCATACGACTGCCTTGCAAAGGGTAGCAAGTTCGAGGAAGGTGAACTTGATGTCATCCTCGAGGGCAAAGTCCAGAGTCCGTCCATCAATGATGAGGGCAAGAGGTTCTAGATCAACTTCTGCATCCTTGTCAAATCGACGCTCTTTTTTACCCAATAGTCGGTCGAACCATGTCGTTCGACGCATCGGGGCTCCCATGCCTAACCCGGCCTTGACAGCCAAGAGTTTCTTTTCCAAAAATTCTTTTGTCTCAAAATGGGTCGACTCATTGCACACAATCAAACTCGTCTCCAAGTTCAGCAACTTGCATGAGTACCCAATGTTGATGGCCGTTTCCTGTCTATCACCTGTGAGCACCCAAATCTTGATCCCAGCCAAGGCCAGTGTGGCAATCGTATCTGGGACACCATCTTGTAGCTTGTCTTCAATGGCGGTAGCACCAATGAGTATCAGGTCCTTTTCAATCATTTCAGCAGCCTTATCGAGCTCGTCTTGTCGGTTGTTGATTGTTGTAGCTGCCTTTTCGTAGATTCCGGCCCATTTGGCATACTCTTCGTTGCTGATATCACGGTAGGCAATGCACAATGTTCGCAAACCTTCTGTGGCGTATTCCTAAACTTCACATGAGTATCTCATACCATAGTTAACGGATAATGTCCTCGGAGCAACAAACACACCTCCAAATGCCCGCAGGTCTGCTCGACATAGCCATTGCCCTCCTTGGCCAATCGTTCCAGAATCACAGTATCGGCACCCTTAATATACAGCTTGATCTTCCCCTCAGGCGTCCTCACAAGTAAACTCATTCTCTTTCGCGTAGAGTTGAACTCGTTCACATTGAGAACCTCGTATTCGAGATCCCGACCGTCCAGTTTGATGGTGACTGATTTTGGTCGACGCGTCTTTGAAATGCATTTACCATTAGTCCACATTAAGAATGATCGGAAAGGCACAGAAACATACATGGAAAAAACCGCCCAATTGCTGAGCGCCTTTTACTAGCGCTGCTTCATCGGGCGACGAGGCCTGATATATGATATTGGATGGATCTTCCTCATCCACTTCAGGGATGACTGTATGACACACGGCAAGTAAAGTAACAAATTCTCGGATCAATGGCGCATTTGCATGCGTTTTCTTGTGCTCCAGCAATTGCTTAAAATCGTAGTATCCCTGTACAGAATATCAAAGCGTCAATTGTGACACGGTGATAGATTATGCCGTCTGCACAAAACTCACCACTTCATGTCCTTTCTCATCCACTCTAATCTTCTTGTCCTCGGGTACCACATCAGCATATGCCACCCCTCCTATACTAGCCATCTTAAACTCCATGATATTCCTCGTCAGGGTGCCCGTCTTGTCGGAGAATATGTAATCCACCTGCCCGAGCTCTTCAACCAGGGAACTCGTGCGTGCAACGGCATGAGTATCACTTTCTTCGTGATACATATCGAGATCGGTGTTGATCAATCCACCAAGAACGAATTTGACCGCCTCCATGGTGACAATCAAACTGTAAATGTGCGGACACAGTTAGGTATCATAAAGAATAAGCAGCAACGAAAGCACAAAGCAATGTAATTGCACCTACCTTAGTGGAATCAGGTTGTTAAACAAAATAATATATGTGAGGATATTCTGAGGGAACATCGCCCACGCATTGGACGTGTACAATAAAAGGGTTTTTTCAAATGGATTGTTTAACTAGCAGAGAATGGTTAACAAGCTGCGGATGCAGGCGGTGCCACAATCCCGTGCAGTAGGATCAAACCATACCTGTCGGACAAGGGCTCCAATCGAACAAAAAACGGCCATAGCCAACAAAATGAGGAACAAGAAAATAATCTGAGTGTTTACCATACGCTCTACTTTAGTTCTTTTGATAGGCGCAGCAGTGGCGTTTCGCATCAATTTGGTTTCATGTCCAGTAAACACCACAATTGCATATACCCAGCGCGTGTTTCGCAGCTGGGCACCTCGGAGGAGTAGTTGTTGTGGATCCAGCGGAATGGACTTGTTTCCCAATCGCAAGAGTCCTTCGTACGTGTAAAGGCTGTTGTTTGGTTGCTCTGACTTTATCAATCCTGTGAGGTGGATAGTATGTAAGTCCAAGGCAACGTAGTTGGCTAGTGCCGACGCGGGCGAAGGCTTCTACTCACCATGTAGTCGAGCAACAGCCTCAGGGGTAAGGACATCGGCGGTCTCTGTCAGACCCTGGCGAATCTTCAAGTTCGTTTCTCTGAAAACAGAACAGCAATGTTCAGATTCTCCATCAAAGACCAGAGGAGCCCAAGACAAAATTGCTCACCCATCCAAATTACTAGTCTCAATATAACACAACGCGTCCGGCTCACTTGAACTAAGCAGGATCAAATCCGCCGGAAAGAACTCTCCATTCTCAATCCTTACAATATCCCCAACCTGAACCTCTCGCCACCGCTTCGGTACAAACTCGGATCCTTTTAAACACTTTACAAATCGTGCATTCACTTCCGCATCCTGCCGATGTCGCTTTGTATCTTCTACCACTTCTTTGACTCCTGATGCAAAAAGCACGATGCCCAGAGGGACGAGGGTACCGAATTTAGAAGTTGGAGAAAGGTCGCCGATTTGCTTTGGAATGACCAGTCAGCTATTGTTGGACGCAATTATCAGGCGAAACAGAATTGTACCCACCTGGATAATGCCAGTAAACAAAAAGAACAAATTTGCATATCTCGAGAATTGTTCGGCCAAGAATTTGGGTAAAAATGTGACGAGATTATACTTTGCGGTCGAGATGCTATTATGCAAGTATTTGCTCTGCGAGTTCTTTATTGGATCGTTAAGATAAATGATTCGCTCTTCCTCCTTTTGTCCCCCGCCCCGTTCTAGTGTTGACATGAAGTTGCCGATTGCTGTTGCTGCTCTACTCAATGTACCTTGAAACGGAAAAAGGAGAGGGATACCGAATCAGACACGTTGATTTCAAATCCATTGAGTATCCACCATCTTCCTCATCCCATAGCGCTCTCACATATTCATCAGCAGCTTACCATTTCCCTCATCATCAGCAGGTGGCCCACCGGTACCCATCGGATCCGAGGCCATCTTTGAAGGTTTTGCCTCTGGATCCGAGATTGTCACCGAGGTCGCACCCTGCGGTACCCCGCCCCTTTGCCGATCATGCAGATCAATCTCCTCCATCATCATTGTGGCGTCCGTTGGATAGCGGGAATGCGGCGGATTAGTAAGAGTGTATGGAGCTGGGTACTGCTCCGGGACGTATGGCTGGTCTTCGTAGTTCGAAGAAGCTTCCGAGGCTGTACTGTCGCGTGGCACAGGCGAAGAAGATGACAGTTGTTGCCAAGGTCGACGGGAATCGTTTGGGTACGCCACTGTAGTGAGATTCTAAATGGTGACAACAAAATGGGACAGAGGAATCAAGAAGCCAACACGAATTCCGTCAGCGTTGAAATGGGTGCTTTGAACAAGACTTTCTGCGTCTGCTCCAGAGGAAAACTAACGTAAACATGGAAAAGCCCGTGGGTGATCACAATTCAAAAGCACACGGACCCACCCTTTGCTCGTTTGGATTGTGAACCCACGCCGTTCGTTGACTAAACTCTCTGCGACCCTTTCCAGAATGCCTTTGTCAGGCAGTAAGTGGCCCTAGTGTGTGTCTATTCGCAATGTGGCATGCCAATCATGCAAAACCTGCTTGTGTGTGTGGAGACAAAAGCCCAAGGCTGAAACAGGCGGGCGAACGAATGGCGCCACACTGCGGTAAGTCACGTGCACGACCTTAAATTTCGGCCTTTCATTTCAACAACTTTTGAGATGCATTCTGTGATTTTAGCTTTTGGGCATTAGCAGCATGTAATCATTGTGGTTTTAGATGGAGAGATGCATGTGCACTTTTGACTTGTGGAGATCACCATATGCGTCACAAAGGAGTTTAAACCAAGATATGGAAAGTGAGGCTTCATGCAAATCACTAGCGAAATGTTGGGAGAAAACACTTGGGGAAATATGCTCGTCTTGTTTTTAAATACCCAACTTTTGCCTTTGGCCAAGTCGTATGAGATGCCTGCCCATCTGTCGTGTTAGATATCAACTAGGTATATAATGTGTTAAACGTGTATTTCTAAATGGGGCCTAAACAAGCGCAATGCTAAATTATCCTATCTCACTCTCTCCCGCTCCTCCGCTTAACCAGAGCCAGATCCGTAGCTCTTTCCGAACAAGAGGATCTGAAGCTGGTCGTAACCAGAGAGCACACCAGCACCAGCGACGGCACGAAGAATGTTAGCACCAGCACCCTTGAACAAGGACTTGGTACCCTCGTTCTTGACAATCTCAGCAAAGGCGTGAGCAGAGCTGCGGTACTTGACGGCAGCACCAGATGTCATCATCATACGACGACGGACAGTGTCGATGGGGTACGATGCAAGACCAGCACCGATGGTGATACCCCAACCAAGAAGGAAGGAAGCAAGGAAGTTGTTCTGGAGGTTACCAGTGAGAACCTGGTAAAGTAGAACGGCAAATATCAGTATCCAAAATTCCAACAAGCAAACCAAAAGAGCGAACAGCCTTCACATAAAAAGGGCGGCTTCTCAACTTACAACAGGCTTGATAGAGTCGTAAAGACCAAAGTAGAGACCACGGTACACGACAATACCAACGCAGGAGATGACGAAACCACGGTAGAGACCAGCAACACCGTCGGTGGCGAGGGTCTTGCGGTAGACGTCAATGAGACCGTTGAATTGACGCTCACCACCCTTCTTGGCAGACTTGTTGTCGTTGGCCAAACGGGTACGCGCGTAGTCGAGCGAGTACACGAAGAAGAGGGAGGAGGCACCGGCCATACCACCAGAGGCAAGGTTACCAGCGAACCTGTACATCCCAACGTCAATGAACTAATCCGATACATACAATATAACACGTCATATCGCAACTGCTTACCACTTCCAGTAACCGTCCTTGTCCTTCTTGAAACCGAACATCCTCTTGAAGTAGTCCTTGAACGCAAAGTTCAAGGCCTGGGTAGGGAAGTACCGGATAACGTTGGCCAAGTTTCCACGCCACAATGAACCAGTACCCTCCTCCTTGATGACACGGGAGAAGCAGTCACCGATACCCTTGTAGGGGGAAGACAAGCGGCCCTGCTTGATCATCTCATCCTGGTTCTGTTGACCAAAAGAAAACAAGGTCAGAATTTATGTTCAAGCCAAATTTCGTCAACAGGACAGCACGGGTAGGCTGCAGCAACGCGTAACACAGATGGACAGATGCTCTCTCATCTTGCCGACGCCAGCTTGGCGACGTGGATACTTGCTCATTCCATTCCACGCGTTGTGCTAGATACCGGTGGACAGTCCACCCACTTCCAACTCTGTTTGCGATACTCACCTGGATGAGAAGCTTGACACGCTCAATGGGGGCAGCAGCCGTCTTGGAGACAGCGGCGGACACACCACCCATGAGGAAATCGATGGCAAAGGACTTGGTGTCGTTCTTCTTCTCAGCCATTGCGTTTGGTTTCTGATGGGGAAAGGAGGAGGGAAGAGTTTGGAAGGTGAAAGGAAGAAAAGGCTTGAAATACGTTGGCTGCTTCAAATACCTGTTTTTTTTTCCGTGACCCTCGCCACTCATTCCATTCATTGGCTCTATTTACATAATAACATCCGATTTTATCCGATATTGGTTTATTACCATGGCAACACTCGGGCCGTGTTTTCCTCGTTTATCTTTCGGACAAAATATGGTAATATGCTTATGCAATGATTAGCGTAATCATCGCCCGAAGCTTGAACAGTCTGATGCATGTTGAGGAAGGAGGATTGGGCAAAGACGTATGGAAAACGATGCTCGTGCGTTTTGGTTTCATTCCCATCTTTTCAATGCGATCCTCATCAGAAGCGCACGAGATGTGTAGCCTCATCCAGACACCATGTCCCTAACATGTATTCATCTGTGCAAAAGAGTGGTAAAAGCTTCTTTTGCCAAATGTGACTCAGTTGACTAGTGTGTAGCTTCCCGACCGGGGCGGGCAGTCTTTTTGGGCAGCAGTTGTCAGAACGTGACTTGGCTCAATAAGCTTGATTTCACATTTGTGCATTGCCCAGCTATCTATAGCTTACCCTTTCCATCGTTCGCTTCATCTGCAAAGTCAAGCATTGCTTTCATCAAGTCCCAAACATTGTTTTTAACTTACCATTGTCCCTGCCATGGCAAAACGCAAAATCAACCCGCCCACAAACAGCGGTGCAGCCGAAGAAAATGGCCCCCAAAAGAAAAAGGTAACAACCATGTCGACACTTGCCTTGTTCCTTTTGACCTTCTCTCAAAAACTCTTGTTGAACACAGAGGGCACCAAATCGCTCTTGGACAAAGGACGAGGACGATCTCATCAAATCCCTCGTCGCAGAGCATGGCACAAACTGGCTCAAAATCGCGGAGATCTTTAACAAGCTCAGAGGTGTGGACCACAAGCTACTCGGCAGTCATTGGAGAACGCTTCGTAAAGAGGTCGGTAAAGAGGATAACGAGGATATCGTGAGCGACGACAAAGATGGCGACCAAGAAGACACGGAGGAGGAATGACATTTGAAAGAGGAAAACGAACACTTTGTGCGTGGAAAGAGAGAATAGTAGCGTTATTTGCAGGTGGAGGAGAGAGTTTCAACTCGTGTAAATAGATTGGTTGGCGTTCGTGGGTTGCGCATTTCCTGTAAAAGATGATAAATACAATCCGTGCTGCAACAAAAATACTCACAATGTTTGTCCACAATGAATGGAGTCGCTGTTTCTCGATTTGCAAAATATGCGGTCGGCTCGGGTGCGGGGAGAAGGGTGAGCAGTCCCCTTTTTATGCTTGAGCGTCGGGAACGTGTAGAACTGTTGTCACGCACGTGTAGAGTTTTCAAAGGCGCGAGCGCGAAAACACAAAGAACACGAAGAATATGGAAGACCGCGCGAGAAACGCGAAACGCGGTATGTATCTGATTACCAAGCGCGTATTGGACGCGTTCGTCACAACGCAAAGATTATTGCACCTAGAATTGTTGAATATGCGGCAGCAATCCGTGGAGTTCCATTGCGGTTGCCTACCTAGAAGTCCTATTGGTACGAAGATTGCGCACTACTAACCTTACGGTACTTACGTTGATATCACGCTATGGTATTCGCTCAAACATCCTGGCTTCAAAAAATGGATTTGCTGGGCCGTACTTGGCATTTCCTGTGCTGGTTTGGCGTATGTTCTATCACATCAGATACACAAAGGGGATCTGTCTGCCTTTTTTCTCTTGTTCACCGCAATGAACAAGCGGAATACGTGATATGTGATATGAAGCAAAATTCATAAAAAGATCGTTGAAACAGGTTACCACACTATTGTTCATATATTTGCCAATGCATCTTTCCAAGGCATGCAACAAAACAAAGCAGCCATTTTTGTTCAAATCGATCAACTACTCTTCATGCAAGTCCGCCATATATCGAAACCCTGCATGGCCAAAAACTTTCCAGATCGCTAATTAAAAAATGCGGGCGAATTCTTCACGCCACCTGAATCTCCCCCAACCGTCTTCCCCTCCCAACAGCGTCATCCCACATTTTCACACAATGTTCCTGATCCTGCATTGTCCATAGGTGAACCTTTCCAGTGGTTGTTCCGACAGCTAACCAGTCTTCGTCTGTAGAATTTGTCACGGGGTATAAATGTCTGCTCGTTTTCTTTCTTCACAGACTTATCTTCCAAGCATTCTTACCTGGCGACATTGCCATGGCTGTTACCGGGCCAGCGTGTCCATCCAAAACACGTACAAGTGGGTCTCCTCGACGCACATCCCACACGCGTACCTATATAGTTTGCATTAGATGGTTAATACAGGAATGGGCCAGGATTACCATCGATTTTGAGTACCATCTCGTCTTGGCCCCCCGTCAGGAGTAATCCACCTTTTGTCCAGTAAGCACAGGTGACGCCATCACCAGAGTTGCCGCGCGGAGGAGCTAGCATTTTCTGATTAACGTTGGCTAAACCGGACCGTAAAGAGGATAAGCATACCATGATGTTCCAATCGCAAAGGGCTATACAACAGGGGCTTTTTGGGATGTCGTCGGTCAAAGACTACAGTATGGGGCTTGCGGTTTGTCCCATCGGGATCGCTACAGGAGAAAACGTAATGTTCGCACGGACTGATCAACGATACACCAGTAGCAAAGTGAGTGTCTCTTGCTAAACTCCTTGGAGGTGCAACATGAGCAACCAACATACCTGAATCCAACAACGTTGTGATCAGTTTGATCCGTGTTGAAAGTGAGAACTGAGCTCAGTCCCCCAGATGACTGACCCACGTTACGCAGATCAAAGAGACGTAGTTTCCCGTCTCCCTGATCTTGAAAATCGGCTTCTTCTTCCCCTGGTAATGGCGCGTTGCCTGTTGTCCCTACTAGCAGCGAGCTACCTGCAAATATACGACGTTCTCTATTAGACAAAATATCGGTCCAACATGGGCTGGACTGGTTTCTTACCCAACGGCGAAACACGCAGCGTTGCTACCGCATTCTCGCCAATGTCAAATCTGCCGATCAGAGAACCGACTTCGTAGTCATAGACTTTGACCTAGACGCGCGCCGAGAGTAAGTAAGTGAGACTCGAAACTCTTCGCACGTGCGAGACACGCGACAAACCTGGCCTGATCCTCGACCTCCTCGAAATCTTTCAAATCCTCCGATAAGATATTTCTTGGAAGCGTCATGCCCAAATGCCACATCAGTAGCGACACGAAAAACGTCGCCAGACCTGACATAAGAAAACAAAATTCATGAGTTCTAAGTACACACTTGGCAGCCGAGGTTCCACGTACTTCTCGACCTCCTCGAGATCTGGGCTCATGTCATGATATCCCCATGTCACGTCAGCCCCCGCAGGTTTGGCCCACATGCTAAAGACCCTAATTGATCCATCATATCCCGCGCCCGCCACTACGCAATCCGACGAGGATGGCTTCACTGTAAGTTTTTGCATGCCCATGTTGCGATACCGTGGTGAGCCTAAAAGAGGAGACGGTGAACGTGACATTTAATCTTATACGCTACGAGACCGAAACTTACGATCTCCCCATCTACCCTTTGCCTTCATTTTCATCTCCTGAAATAGCGTGCCGTCCTGCGACTGCCACGCTTTGACAACGGGATCTTGGGCAGCTGCAGTGAAGAGAAACGCACCGTCGGTCGCAAAGGTCAAGTCCATAACATTTGAGGATAGGACTATGTGAATGTGAATGAAATTCATATCAGGTATAAGGACCAGCGAACGATAGAATGAAAAAATGAACTTACCTTGACCATCTGGACTTGTCCAAGTGTGCGATCTAATTACATCGGCTTCATCGGCTTCACCGACAGCCCGGAGCAACTCTACAATAAAAATTAGGTCGTTATAAGCTCATGTAGCACACTATAAATAAATGAACGGAATCTTACCGGGATTCGAGTCTTCCCATCCTGCGCATTCCACATCCCACATGATTACTGTTCCTGGCTTATTGTACTGTGTGGACTGATCTGACAAATGTGACGATGCGAGCATTAAGCGATGCTCAATCCGCTCGCCATCAATGTCGAAGGGAACTCTTGCGAATTGCAACGCGGACGTATGCCCACTACCAAGCTGATGAGATGCAACTTGGCGGAAACGATGGATGCTACGCGCTGCCATCAGCTAAGATTGTAAGTACAATCAGCAAAGGGCTTTCCCAATCAAGTGGATACATCATGTTCTTAGACTTACCGTCACTATCCCTGAGCTACCAGGAGCAAGACTGCCACATTCCCTTGACTCAAGAATGCGGCTCAGCCCTCGTTTAGGTCCCTTGGGGGCAATCTTTTGGCCCTTGACTTCGTACACGAAGCCTTGCGTATCGAGAATGTTTTTCATCTCATCCGTGTTTAACCCCTTGCCTGTTTTGCTTTCCGCTAGGAGTGCCCCAGGAGAATCCAAAAGGCCAAGATTTGTGTGATAATATGCGCGCTCTAATCAGGCAACCCTAACTTTTCAGCATAAGTGCTAAACGTTGCAACCCAAGCAGGCACGCACTTGCAGCAAAAAAATATTCTCTTTCGACAGGCTTGGTACGAGCTGCCTTCGATTCTGTCACGATGTGCTTCCCCATGGACCGCTGCTGTTGTTCCCTTTGTCTCCACATCTTATCCCATATGCCCCATTTCTTCGTCTGGGCGTAAGCAAATGCTCCGTACACAGCAGGAGCCAAATTTCGAAGCGCATCTTTTGGCGTTGGTTCGGAAGATGCTTCCAGAGCAGCATCCTCGTCAGTAGTAGCGCTTCCCGCGCCCGTGCTCCGCCGCCGCGCAGACGCTCTGGTGACTCGCCGTTCAGGATTATCATCGACGTGTGCGCTCTTCTTACCCTGTCTCCGGGTATTCTCTGTTTTCGCGACCGTCCGATATGGCACCCATAGATCGATCATTACTTGCACCCGCTTCTTACGTTTTCCTTGTCGATCGGGTGTCGGAGATGGTTGATAGGTCGTGGCGCCAGCATCTGTTTTGCGCATCTTTGGGGGTTCGTGGTTTTGACAAGATTGCGCGTGAGGTCGACCTGCATCGCTTAGTGATTCCCACTCTTTGTTGTCGCAAGGTCCACAAGCAATACGCATCAATGTCGTATCGGTATATTGTGGTGCGAGAGGGCCAGAAGGGGACAACTGATCGTCGCTACTTGTGGTAGTTGAAGGGCTGGAGCTTCTCGCATCTCTCAGCAAACCTTGTAACCGTTTAATTCGCTTTAAAGTTGGAGAATCCGATTCTTCCACTGCGGCTTCACCACTACCATCAGAGCTTCTTCGCATTTGAGATGCTGACCGCTTTGCTCTGCTAGATCGACGAGGAGCAATGACTGTTGTGCCAACAACATCGCGGTTCTCCCGTAGCCACGCGCCCTGTACCTGGTCTTCGCTATCCGGGTTGAAAACATTGCCACGAGGCAATCGACGGTCAATTTCCATATGCCCAAACAGACTGCAAATCTACGCCAACGAAAAAGGGTTGAGGAAATAGCGTATGGAACGCGGTTTTCCTAGTAGAGATAAACATCAGTCCACAGTTCAACTAGTAGTCTGGACATATTTGATGGTGTATTCATGCACCGAATCCTCCAATATCTGCGAAATGGAGACATCTTTCCCCATTTCTTGACACATGCCGTTTCATTCGTTCTAATGAAGCTGTTTGCAATGCTTACCTGCTGGAACTATGGGATGGCCAATGGCATCCACTTGGGGATTCACTATAGGATTCAATCTGCTATGGAATTCCTCGCAATTGGCAGGTCATCCATACGATGTCTCTCTTCCTTCAGAGCAGAGAGACAAGTCAAGACTCTCCGCCAAAGAGTGGTATGGCTTCACAAAGCGATGTAGAGAAATCTGCGGCAGGTTTGCTGGGCATGTTAGGAGAACCATTCTCAAATGATGTGAGAAAGTGATCTACACGCGTGTATTGGCTTACAAGGTTTGTTTTCTTGGAAACACACCGAGTCAACCTTCAGGGCAATGTATGGAGTGTGAAATGCCTGCTGGTGAGATGAAGAATGCTTGCAAATGGCCAAAGGAAATGACAAGCTGAGGACTCAAAGCTTCCTGAGATAAGTGGCCACTACAATCACATTGGAATGAACCAATCTGATAAACCAATCATTGGTTAGCTATGAGATTGGTTCAATTGGATAATCCAGAAATCCATTACATAAGGATGGCACTCAACCAAGAACTAGCTACAGTTGCATCTGTAGCCTCAGATCTACTATTGGAGCTGGCAAACTGGGAAGCTGCAGCTGCCTTGTCCTGCATGCACCATCAACAGGCTGCAGGGCAGCTACAGCCACAGAGGTACTCCTTATGGGAGCTACACTCACCAAGAACTAGCTACAGTTGCAGCTGTGGCCACAGGGGCTAGTATTGGAGCTGGCTGCCCAACTGATTTGTCCTGTACCTCACCATGGACAGGCTGCAGTGCAGCTCAAAAATGTGTTGACAGTTTGCACATTGACTCGGTGTCCCCAGTCAGACTAGAAATCCAAGCCAGTCTTGCAGGAGCTTCCTGCCTGCTCTGCATGTGCAGAGGGACATGGTGTGGGGGCTTGGTGCGTGTATGTCGTAGCAATTATGGTGTGAGCCTCGCGTGACAGTAGCTTGAACCTCTCTTGGATGCCCATTCTCTGGAAGCTCGAGTGCAAGAAGTCGCTGCGGTTTTGATAGATCAGAACTCCAGGGTCCACAATAGGCGCCAAATGCCCGAGGAATTTGCCAGAGAAGACAATTCGAGTCTGAAGGTGGGGAGATGGTTGGCAAACTTAACACCTGTATCGATGTATTCACCGGACAAATGGACAAAGGGTTTGTATATATACATGCATATGGCAGAGCATATGAAGTGGGTTGCATATGAAAGTGCTGAGCTGGTCCGGGAATACGTTAATACGAGTAGTGATCCTCAGGTGCTGGGAGATGCATTGCAGTTGGGTTTTCCTTGCAAGGACGATGATGGAAATGCAAAACCTGTATACATTCACGATACATGTAACGTGCAGGCTTCAATACAAGTGAACATGTTCTCCTAATTAGCCAAGGTGTCATTCTCAGTTTGGTGCATGCTCCACGTTTGAGACCTTTTGATTCAATGAAGTGACGATCTAAAGAGATCTCATTCTCGGTGGTGGAACAGTGTTAATGTCAAAAAGTTTGAGTGTCAACACAACCAACTACGGACTGTAGGAACATTGTACAGAGTGATGCCTATCCTACATAAAAACCGACTAACATGGCCTTGTGCAGGTGGGGAATATTGTTACAAATGTCCACCAGTAACCCATTAACACCATACACGAAACCAAATGAGGTCGGAGTCAAATAATGATCAAGCCTGCCGATCTTTCGCCTTCCTCTGGCTCTTTTTTTTTTTTTTTTTTTTGAGATTTTCGCGGTACTCTCAGTAGAACACCGAACCAAATACACTATCAGCAATGGTAAATTCACCGTAATAATATTCATTATATTGAAGAAATAAGAAGAAAGCACCCAAGAGTACAGTAACAAAACCTGAAGCTAACAATACACAACTAGCCTATAAAAACCAAGGATTTACTGCATTAATACCAACAGGCTAAAAAGTTTTACAATAATATTATTGTCTTTCCTAACGATATAATTGAGAAAGTTGAAAAAGGTCGAATAAATCACACATCTTATCATGCTCTGTAATGAATAACTTTAGATTATCGGCTTAAACCAATAAATAGGATAGTGTTCACCCGTTAGGTAAACCTATCCAAGGATATCCCATACCGGATGGCCCCGCCGTTTGTGAAGCATCTTCAGTTGAAGTGCCATTGTTTTTCTTCCTCTTCTTTTTAGGCGGCTTCTTTGGATTCTCGACATCCTCGTGACCTCAGGATCCCTGGGTACATGCGATCGGCTGCCAATCTGTGTTGTGGTCGGGTAGGTCGAGTGGGTGACGGTTTCGGTAACCCCCTAAGAGGTTTGGCGCGCCACTGGTGGTGAGCGTGTCCTGGGCCGCACGCAGCAAGCTTTGGGTAAGGCCGTGGAGGGAGGTGGGAAAGAGTATGCTGAGGTAGAGCCCAAATTAAAGAATGGTCTTCTTCTTAGGCTTCTTCCTTTTAGTATTCCCGACAACCTCCGTAGCCGGCATTTGCCTCTTCGTCAAATTTTTTTCATTAACGGTTGATGCTGCCTTGAAATCATTGCCGGTTTTCTTGTTAGCTCCAGCGAACGTTGGCGTGTCCATGATGGTCTCCGTTGGCAACTCGCGAATTGGTGTGATCCATCCAACGTCAGCAAAGGGGCCAATACAGGTGTGCGGCAGATATGTGAATAAGGAAAAAAGCCTCGTTAGCAATCAGTTGACGCATAAAGTAAAAGGAGCTCATGCCACGAATTCACATCAGAACACCATGTCTGCGACGGGGATATAATCATATACCTCATCCTTTGTGACTTTTCACCATGCATCTCTAGTTTTGGCAACGTATCGGATGGATGGTTGAAATGTTGTCCAACGTCTCGAGGGCGATGTGGGGGGATGCAAGTGCTGGAAAGTGAGCCTTGTAAGGTGCTGAAGATGCAAGTATAAATGGTTTCTCCATGCAAGAAAGACGATGGAAAAGCAAAACCTGCATGCATTCACGATAATTATCAACAACTACAGTTTTTGACAGTGCAACTCTTTGAAAACTGCAGGCATCAATACCCATAAAAACTTACTGCCGCATTAAGCCAAGTTTCAGTTTGGTATCTTCTGATATTCAATGGAGTGACCATCGCAAGAGATGTTATTCTTGGTGTAAACAATGTGTAAAAGTAATATATATTTGATTGTCAACACAACCAACTACGGACAATAGGAATATTTAATAGAGTGAAACCTATCCTATATAATAACGCACGCAACACGGCCTTGTGCAAGTGAGGAATATTGTTACCAATGTCCGCGGATAACTCATTAATAGGATGCTCGAAGCCAGCGCCAACGAACGTTAACGTGTGCATGGCGGTTTCCATCGCGCGACTAGCGACTTGGTGTGTTACATCCAACATCGGCAAAGGTGCTTATACAGGTGTGCAGCAGATATGTGAAAAAGGAAAAAAGCATCGTTAGCAATCAGTTGATGCATAAGGAATGAAAAGCTCATGCTACGAGGGCCACATCAGAAACCACGGGGGTGTGGCGAATAACGATATAATCATGATATCAGAGATCGTACTTCATCCTTTGTGACCTTCCATGCATCATGCATCTCTGGTTGTAGCAACGTACCCTATGGAAGTGTCGTCCAACCGACGACTCGCCTTGAAAATGATGGTGGGGAGGCGGGGAAGCAAGCGTGGGAAACTGAGCCTTGGAAGACAAGGGCGAGCCCGTCCGGTGTGTGGCAGATATGAGAAGAAGAAAGGACAAAAGCATCGTTAGGAATCAATTGACGCATGAAGAGTAAAGAAAGAGCCCATGCTACGAAGGTCACATCAGAGCACCACGTCGTCGCCGACGTGGTGAATGACGATATAATCATTATATCAGGGTGATGGTACCTCATCCTTTGTGACCTTCCATGCATCTCTGGTGTGTAGCAACGTACCGGATGGTTCAAATGTTGAACCCATGTTCCGCGTCGAGAGTGGTGGGGGGAGGCGGGGAAGCTAGCGTGGGAAACTGCCCTTTGGAAAGAAAGGGGCAAAGCCATAGCGGTGCGGGGCAGATATATGGGTCAAGAAAGGAGAAAAGCATCGTTAGCGAATCAGTTGACGCATGAAAGAGTAAAGTAAAGCTCATGCTACGAAGGTCACATCAGAGCATGCGGATATCATCATGTTATCAGGTGGGGCGTTGCCTCATCCTTTATGACCTTCCATGCATCATGCATCGCTGGTTGTAGCAACGTACCGTATGCAAATGCCGTCCAACCGACGACTCGCCTTGAAGATGATGGTGGGGGAGAAGAAAGGAAAAACAAGCGTTGGAAACTGGGCCTTGGAAGAAAGAGGCAAGCCCGTAAAGGTGCGCGGCAGATATGAGAAGAAGAAAAGACAAAAGCTTCGTTAGCAATCAGTTGACGCATAAAGTAAAAATAGGTCATGCTATGAAGGTCACATCAGAGCACAAAGCTTCGATATAATCATGATATCAGAGATCGTACTTCATCCTTTGTGACCTTTCATCATGCATCTCTGGCTGTAGCAACGTACCGTATGCAAATGCCGTCCAACCGATGACTCGCCTTGAAGATGATCGTGAGGAGAAGGAAGGAAAAACAAGCGTGGGAAACCGCTCTGGAAGAAAAAAAACGTCTTTATAAAGGGTTGGTCGCTATGGGAACATTAATGAGTCAGCTGACAGACGGCGTAAAGACCTGCAAATGAACATTTATCAACTGCAAACAAGTGTCTATCTATCAAGGCAAAACGCTTCCATCTACATTGAGATTGGACCAGATCTTGTTTACGATATGGTAATGGTATCAGAGTCAGCCTGAAGTATCATGTTATTAGCGATACAAAGCATATCTGATGGTATATCTATTTTCCTATGTATTTGTAGTGCATGTTCATCTAGTCGGCAAGTGCGTGGGAAAAAGAAGGAGGAAACTGGTTATTGATTATTAAATCTGATCGGGAGGAGGCAGACGCGTTCATTTCATTATGAGATATATGGGTCATGTGAGATCACGTTATCCAGCGATCTGCCTGCCAGCTTGCCAATTGGCATTACCACTTTGGACTTGTTCATTGCCGTATCGTTTTTGTTTGTTTGGTTTACAGCCATGGCACAAGCTGCTGGTGAACAAAACTTTTTGGACCTTTTAGCAGAACTGGAAAAGCAACCTCCAGGGTCTGGTATGATTTGCTTGGAACTTGACATGTGCTCTACATTGCATAGACTTATGACCGAATTGTAGCACCTGCCGTAGAAAACCGAATACCGTTTGATTTTCTTGAGCTTGGACGCTCAGGGGATGTTGCCATTGTACCGGATGAGGAAAGGCACAGGCAGTTGGGTGTGCCACACGAGAGGACGACTGTATGATGCAAGCGTTGTTGGTTGATAGCCGCAAACAATTCATTTGTCACTGCTTAATTTATAGCTTCCACTGGGTCTCGGCCCTTTCGATGCGGAGACGGTTGATGATATTAAAAGCGACCTTGCGCAAAAGTATCTTATGCCAAAACCAACTCTAGACGATGACATGTTAGATAGAGCTCAACGGTATGCATAATGCCCGTGGACCTAATGCTCCCTTGTCATGCATGGCGCTGTGGAGAATATCTTTCGATTTCTTCTCACGCCCGACAAAGGGTGAGCCTTTCCCCGTGGATGAACTCAGCCGTGGGTAACCCATGTGGGAGGCTCTAGAGATATAGACACCCGCACTTGACTCCCAATTAACTCTCGTTCAGTTTCGTGGATCGGGAACCAGATTGGTTGAGCCTACTTCATGTTGAGCCTTCAAAGCGGCGGACGGACTTGAAGATCAAACGCGATGTTGTTACAGGGGAATTGGACTTCTGGAACTGGGAAGAGGTAAGATTCCCTTGTTCTTGATTGCCGTTAGATAGGTATAGTTCGGCCGGCTAGATGCGTGGAAAAAGTGGGTCACATATGCGATCCATGCGTGTCAGATGGCGCATTGCTATTATGATCTAAATTAGTTGCACTGATTGACCGATTTGTGAGAGATATTTATCAAAATATACATGTTGTTTAGAATGGGTTATGGAATACATTCTGATTTGGTTTTCGTTTCTTCTTTGCGTGCAGGTCATTCTTCCTGACCATGCACTTACAGCAAAGAACTCCACTTCAGTTCACCGCGAACCGGCGGGAATCTCGGACTTCGTGAGAGGACATCCCACAAATTTGCCCTTTGCCCCAGGTCCGCTGATTTTGGTCTTTTGAACCTGGTGTGTGTTCTCAGAGCAACTTTCTGCAGGTGGGCTGGAAGCAGTGACACTGGTCGAAGATGAGCCCCTGGAAGAGCTGGAAAAGCAGTTGGAGGAATTATTAAAGTTTGACGAAGGTGAGCTGCTCGGAATGGTAAATGACTGTATCATTCTCGTAACCATGATCACCCTCTCTTTCTAGATGACCTCCTCATGGTACCGCCTGGATTCGATCGTGGCCTGATATTAAATGGTACTCTTTAGCCAGGTTTCCAGTCTCGGTCAGTCTTATGTTGACCAATCACTGCTATGGCCAGACCAAGCTCCAATGATCGCAGCGCCCAGAAAGACGATGCTCAACATTCAAGAGATTCTGACTGGTGGAGACGATTTGGCATTCGAATTTCTTAAGGAAGAAGGAGTGAATATGCCTACCGAGCCGGTGCGTCATCCACCATAATGATCAAGAAGTAACCTCTAATTTTCTTACCACGACACCGTGTGCCGGCTGGATTGACAGGAAGCGACATCTCAACAGGAGGAGAAGATCTCACCCTCCACCGAGGAGGGAAACGAGGTAGACGAACTCCTTCCAGATAAGGTACACACATCATGTTGAATTTAGACGGTTGATTAGGGGACATCTTGCTTACTTTGCTCAGCCGGAAGGTCTACCCCTTCCTCCACCGAGACCCAAGGCCATTGCACACAAAGAATGGGCGCATGTTGTGGATATCAATAACGACTTTCCAGACTTTTACGACCTTGTGCCGGAACTTGCGCATGAGGTAACCCAGAGTTCCGATATTTTCATCTTTCGGTTCGCTAATCTCATTAATCATCTGCCTTCAGTTTCCATTTGAACTCGACGTTTTCCAGAAGCAAGCAGTGTACCATCTTGAAAATGGTGATTCAGTGTTCGTTGCTGCACATACTTCCGCTGGAAAAACGGTGGTGGCTGAGTATGCGATTGCGTTGGCTCAAAAGCATATGACTCGGTACGTCCTTTAGACGCTACATTGCTTTGCCGTTTGCATTATGTTCGGACACTTTGTAACAACCGGATTTCAATAGTGCAATTTACACATCGCCCATCAAAGCCTTGAGTAATCAAAAGTTTCGCGACTTCCGCACCACGTTCGAGGACGTGGGAATCCTTACGGGCGATGTGCAAATCAAACCTGAAGCTAGTTGCCTTGTCATGACAACAGAGATTCTGAGAAGTATGTTGTATCGGGGGGCCGATCTGATTAGGGATGTGGAATTTGTCATTTTTGATGAGGTCCACTATGTGAATGATATTGAGGTAAGCGAGTTCGCGAGATTCTCTGCTCAAGCAAATTGTGGGCTTATAATATTCTTTTAGCGGGGTGTCGTGTGGGAAGAGGTCATCATCATGTTACCCGCCCACGTCAATCTCATTCTATTGTCGGCAACTGTACCAAATACCAGAGAATTTGCAGACTGGGTTGGGTAGGATCACAACTATACGACCTAATGGTTCCATACAGCTCTTGACTCTTTCTCTTCCTGGCAGGCGAACAAAGAAGAAGGATATTTATGTGATATCCACGGCGAAGCGGCCTGTTCCACTTGAACATTTCTTATACGTACCGCCCTCAGATAAAGATTTACATAAGATTGTTGATGCTCAAAAGAAGTTCTACGTCAACGGGTAAGTGTCGTAGGCCTATATTTCGGCAGCGTACTCGTAGAATATGATGTATGACGTACGTGGCATCCTTTACAGGTGGAAGACGGCTCAGGATGCTTTAACGGGACGAAAGAAGGAAGTACCTAGAGTGGCTCCTGGTGGTGCTGCACCCCGTGGTGGCCGAGGAGGTGCTCGAGGAGGTGCTCGGGGAGCTCACAGAGGCGGAGGGGGAAGCGGAGCAAATTTTGTAAGCGCAGGAGGTGGACGTGGAGGAGGACCAAATGCTAGGGCTTCGGGACAGACGGTAGGTACCAAACGAAACTGCATCCTTGACGTGGTCCGAAACTAATGTCACTCGGTATTAGGATCGCAACATGTACGTCCACATGCTTGGACTCCTCAAAAAAAAGCAACTTCTTCCCGTGATTATCTTCACGTTCTCCAAGAAGAGATGCGAAGAATATGCCAATGGACTTGTCAATGTCGACTTTACGAGCGGTGCTGCAGAGAAGAGTGAGGTGCATGTTTTTATTGAGAAATGCGTGTCGAGGCTGAAAGGTACGCGGGTGAACAACGCTAGTTGAACTAAGGCACATTCACTCATAATTTCATCTGACCTCATCAGGAACCGATAAAGAGTTGCCGCAGATTTTGCGAATGCGAGACCTGCTGAGTCGCGGGATTGCGGTACACCATGGCGGCTTGTTACCCATTGTGAAGGAGGTATGTCCTTTTTATGCCAAGTGCCGCCAGGAGTTCCAGTGTATATCAATTACATCTTGTTTGTGTAGATGGTGGAGATTCTCTTCACTCGTGGACTGGTGAAATGCCTGTTTGCTACAGAAACCTTTGCGATGGGCGTCAATGCTCCAGCCCGTTGCGTTGTCTTCTCTTCGATAAGAAAACACGACGGCCGGTCGTTCCGTGACCTGTTACCTGGTAGGATCGGTGTAGTTTGCTACCAGTTTGGTTCATCGCGTTGCTTATCAAGAATTTTGCGGTAGGTGAGTATACCCAAATGTCTGGCAGAGCTGGGCGACGTGGACTGGATGATACCGGAGTCGTGATTGTGGCCTGTAACGATGAAGTCCCTGACGTAAGTATGGATCGAAGGAGAGACTTTACAGCAATATGTAATATTTGTTTTGTGCAATCTAGACTACCACACTCCAAAAGATGCTCCTTGGTCCTCCCACGAAGTTGGAGTCACAATTCCGCTTAACTTATAACATGATCTTGAACCTCCTCCGTGTGGAAGCGCTCAAAGTGGAGGAAATGATTAAGCGCAGTTTCTCTGAAAATGTTGCTCAAAAGCTGCTACCGGAACAACAGAAACTGCATGCTGAGGTTGGCTTCTGGACGCGTTGCGCATTGTTTATGATTGCAGCATTTACAAAAGCACTTTGTAGACGACCCAAGCGCTTTCGACGCTTGACAGACTCGCCTGCGCGATTTGCGGACCTGACATTTACCAATACTACGATCTGTCAAGTCGGATAGTGCTGCTTCAGCACGAGCTCCGTGAGAGGATCATTAAAACTCCAGTTGGCGCAAAGGCGCTAGCCGTTGGCCGAGTTGTTGTCGTCAACAGCAGTGTAAGTGTCGTGCTATGACGTAATTCATAATACTCAAAAGTCTTATTCTTTACTCAGTTTTACAGGAATTCTGTCGCTGTGATTCTTGGTACAGGAGCAGCTCTTGAGGGAGGAAGATCGTTGCCGACGATGGGCACTCGTGGCGCGGACTCAGATAGGAGCTATGCAGTTCTGATTTTGACCATGGCGCGGGAGGAGCATCCAGTTTCTACTTTTAAAGGTATCGACGTCGTTTTGACCGAAAAAGATCAACTCAGATTAATATTCCAATGTATCTTCATCGGTCTAGATATGGCGCCATTGCCAGTGACGCGTGTATCTGTTCCCCCAATCGGAAGAATCGACCAGGTGGTTACCACCGTTCCCTATACAGATATTGCCGTCATTACAAAGTTGCAGATAAAGGTGAGACACATGTTCAGGTCACTTGTCAGATGTTCATGTCGAGTAACTCTGTCATTAAGGTGGACGCGGACATCATCTTGAAAAGACGGGACCGGGATGAAATGTCCAGATCTGGGCAGCAGCTTCTCCGGTTGGCTGAAGAGATGAACGAGGGTGGTAAGTTGGTCTGCAAAAGTTCCATTGCGCAAAGGTCAGGTTACTCAATACATTCTCTAAAGTGGAGATCCCGGAGCACGACTGGAGCAAGATGCGGGACCTCGACTTTCAAGAACGATATCGAGAGAAGGAGTCTCTGATGAGACAGCTGGACTCCTTCCAGTGTGTCCGATGTCCTGATTTAATTGAACACGTACGTGCTAAATGAGAAACACCCGCAGGAGCTTGGAATTTAATTCTGTTTATCATTTCACTCTATAGTACGCACAAGTTTACAACGAACGGCTGTTACAACAGCAAGTTGCAGAACTCGCGCACTCGATTTCCGACCAGAATCTTGAGTTACTTCCGGATTATCATCAACGAGTAGATGTTCTCAAGGTTTTGCGGTTTGTGGACGAGAACGGGACAGTGACGATCAAAGGACGCGTGGCCTGCGAGGTTTGTGAACGTTGTGTCTTGAGAATAACATGATGAGTACTAATGTTATAATACCACCACTAGATAAACACCGCAGACGAACTCATTTTGACAGAGTTGATCCTGGACAACGTGCTTGCCGAATACGAACCTGCTGAGATTGTTGCGCTATTGAGTTGCTTTGTCTTCCAGGAGAAGACCCAGAGTGAGCCAGTTTTGACTCCCAGATTGGAAACGGTGCGGTGCAAACCTGTTCTTCCACTGTCGTCAATGAGAAGGCTAATCCACATGTACCACAATAGGGAGTCAAAACCATCATTGAAATTGGCACCCGAGTCGCAGAAGTGCAACGTAATTGCGGACTAGATGTGCGCTTGGAAGATGTGATGGCGGGTCTGAAATTTGGATTGGTGGAGGTCGTCTATGAATGGGCACGTGGATTACCTTTCAAACATATCACAGACTTGACAGACGTACTGGAAGGTATATGTTGACAAGATTGTTTCCACAAATGATTGTGTTTGTTGACGCCCTGCTTCTCCTTCCAGGTTCCATCGTCCGCACCATTGTACGGTTGGAGGAAACTTGTCGTGAAGTGCAGGGGACAGCTCGCCTCATTGGTGACGCTAGTTTGTACAAAAAAATGGAAGAGGCTAGGGAGAGCATTAAGCGAGATATCGTATTTGCAGCTAGTTTATACTTTTAAATCATGATTAGCTAGACTATACTTTCAAATCATGATCAAGGATAGGTGTCATTTACATATATTCATGGACACTGTCTAAATTTACATTCCAAATATTCGTACCCTCCGCATTTGTATTAGGGCTATCCTTAGGTTTCTGATGTGTGATCTGCCCTGAAGCCTTGCCTACCCTTAGTAAACCTGGCGGATCCCCCATTAACAAGGATATGACCAATGACTATTGCCGAACAGTCCATAAAAAGCACTGACAGCACACATGGGTGCCACAATCATAGTGACAGCACATTGCGAATGCCTTGTTATCGACTGTCATTTAGCTCCATCAACGTTGGCCAGCGTTTTAGTCGTTTCCTCCTATCGTTCCATCACGAGGAGCGGAAAAATCTTCGCATCAAGTTGATGGTTACTGTACAAAAGTATCCATCAGCAACGAGCTTAAAGAGGAAGCTCTACGATATGTGTATGATTTCACCGTATGCATACCATATCGTCCCAGCATTTTCGCAAGCATAGGGATCAAGACAGGGACCATGAGGATGACCAACTTGGTCGAGTCCAACTCAGTTTCACCCGCGTCATCATCTGACTCTGAGCCTTCCGTCCATTCCGATTCCTCTTTCGTAGAGTGTGTTACGTGTTGAACTGCAGCTAGTCGTTGACTTAACGTGTCCAGAATCCCCGGGGACGTTGACATTGCAGCTGTCGAGAAAGCATCTGGCCGTGTTGGGGGGGCGGAGAGTTGACAAGTTCCTAATCATACATGACTGTGCCACAAGACCATAATATACGACAGGCTGGCGAAGGTTTTGGCCCGCAGAGCTCTGGAAAAGTGTTTCTTCCCCCCCACCAACGCTGTCGATTTTCTTGTAGATTTAACTCCCAATACTCCCTTGCGTCTTCTTGGACGTTTGAGAACGTGCTGATAGTCAAGAGTGGTGCTGCACGCATTTCCTTTTTTTTTTTACAAGAAGAGATACTCTGTGCATTTTTTGGGACCTTGGAGTTTGCTGCGTAAGAGTGTACGAGACTGGCATTCTAACAGTTTACCCAAGGTGAGATATGGCCGGTGGAAGAAAAGAGTTGGAATCATATTGGTGGGGATAGCCAGGAGCATATAGAAATCCGCTCTGGGACCTTGTTTTGATTCGCGGCACGGATCTCGAAATTGTGCGTCCTTGTTCTTACCATGCGTCTCGTTACACGCTGTTTTCAGATTTGCAAAAGTTTTGGTCTCGGTCCGGGATAGGATACTTGTGTATCAACATTGGAACTTTTGACGGTGAGTAAACTGTAATGTTTGGGCGGTAAAAAGAGTTGCAATTTGGCCGAAGTTGTGTACGGCATGCCCGCGGCCCAATCCTGCTGTGTTTTGTATCAGTTGTTAGGTTGCAGACGGCGAAAGGCACTATTGCTGTCGCGGCACGGATTATCTTGAAGCAATCCTTTTCTTCTAAACTGGTCTATCTTCTACTGCGCAGCATCCGTCTTTTGCGGTGGCCTTGGGCGTATGCTCGGATTGAACACATCGCGGGCGACGTCGTGTATCGGATCCTGTTTCGAGGGTGCAGGGCCACACGGGGAACCTAGATCTTCCCTGTAGGGGAGTTCAACGATGGGACAAGCCCAGAACAAAGAGCCATTAGAGACAGAGACCATCAGCGAGGCGCAGCACAGCAACTACGACAGCGAGATCGCAGAGGATTACTCGAGTATTAAATCAGAGCAACCTTGGTTATCGCCTCCGAAACGTCGTCGATCTAGAAGCCGGAATAACACGCAGCCTTCGTACACGAAGCCGTTGTCACCTGGTACATCTTCCACTCCGCTTATCAGCCTTGATATAGCCCCTGTAGAGCATAACGCTAGTTTTACGGTGAGGAAGCGGTGCTACATGGCTGAATAGATGTGTCAATTATTGCTCAAATCTCATCACTTTACTCTTTGAAAGAACGCAGGAAAGTCACTTTTTTCACCCGTCAGCGAGGGATCACTAGCCCGAAGTAGTCCCGGTTCTCCACACGGACTAGGATTATTCAGTTTACCATCCCACCAGCGGACGAAGCGAGCGGGCTCATTTAGCACGGATCTTCCCCTACACGGAGACGCAAAGCATAAGCCGTCCCTTGTTCACTGGACACACGTTCCTACCGTCGCATCTTCTGTTGTGGGAAAGGCGATTGTGGACAAGATAGAGGAACCGACTCCGATTGGACCAATACCGAATCTGGTAGCGAGGATGTCTTTTGAGGGACAGCTTCAGGCACCACCAGTCGACGCTGTGCCAGGCGCTGGTAAGTCACAAAAGGTAGACGTATTACGCGCTGCATAGTTTTCACCAACAATTCAAATGAATAGCGGAACCAGGATCACCTGCGGGTCCAATACAGAAAGGGACTGGGGGAATGGTGACTGACAGTTCTTCTGTTATGCCAGAGCCAGGCGCTAGTGGTGCGAAAGGAACGGACTCTAGCCTGTCCATGCAAATCAATTGTAATTTTGCATCAACAGCAGGGCCAGCCACTAGCGAAAGTGCGCAAGCGATGCCCAAGCCCGGCTTTGCTATGTATCCAGCCGCGAACGGTCTTCTGCAATCACAGCCTCCACATTTCCATGAAGTGACGGATGCCCAAGGCCGTGTAGTTCAGCATTCATGTTCGGGGTGTGCATGGTGGAGTCCGACGCCGATGGTGCAAACAAGTTCGCTCATTCCGCCTTTTGGAAATATGAATCAGCAAAAGCAGTTTACCGGAGCAGAGACGAAGGAACAGTTGACAGGTCGAATGGGGCCAAGTGGAACGGACGATACTTCCAACGTGGATATTAGGAAGCATGCATCGTCTGCGTTTTTCTCCAATAGCATTCCTAGCACGGCTTGGACTGGCAATTTCTATCAAGTTGCGTCGACGAGCGGGGAACTAGAGTCGGGAGCTGAGGGCCAGGAACTGTCTGGTCAGACGTTTCCTACCGGAGCGATGCCATTCTTTTCAACATTGGTAATGGATGGTTCCATGCAACCGAAAGGTGACTCCGACGAGCTTTCAGCCCAAGCCTTCACCTCTGGCGCAACTATGCCATTCTTTTCCGCAGCGTTTGGTAGGAATGAATGCTTATCTGTTTGTCTTCCGAGGATGGACATGCTGACATTGGAAACTTTCAGGTCCCACTGCTATGAAATCTTTTCCCACTGTATCAACGCCGCCTGCGGCGGGTATGGCCATCCCAACAGCGTTACCGCCTAACCCAGGCTACTCGCTTCCTGGACAAGGAGGAGTTGTGCCAGCCTCGAGTATTTCAAACGCGTCCCCCACAAACTCTAATCCCTTTTTCCCCCCTGCTCCTGTGACTCCACCCCGCGGCAGTATGCCTTCTGCCTTTGATTTGGCAAACTCTCCGCTCAGCCCAGGGTCGGCCAGCGGGTCGCTGTACCCGGGGATCCCCGGGGTATTCCATAAGCCGATCAAACCTTTGCCAAAGAAAAAGCTTCGACCTCCAGCATACCCGTCCGGATCCTCACCGGGCCGAACGTCGACGATTACTTCTCAGTCTGTCCCGGCGCCGACTTTGACTTGGACGGGACTGGTCGGCCAGCAGGGGCTCATGGGTGATAGCAGTTCAGAGGATGAAAGTCTTCGAAACAGCACCAACAGAACTAGTGAAGGAGTAAAGAACAAGAAACGAGCATTACCGGCTTCGTTGATGGGGAATGGAAATGGCGAGAATGAGGTGGTTAGTGCTGCAACGGTTTCAAATGGTTTTGGACGAAGTGGCTTTGATGGAGGGTTTAGATCTGTGGCAGCCAGTAATGGTTTAGGCGTTGGAATAGAGACGGGTGGGGTGAATGGGCGAGTCAAGTTTTCGATTCCTGGAGTGGATGACGGCGACCTTCCTCCGAGACCCAAAATTGTTGTTTCCCCCACAGAGATGAAATTTGAATTTGGGCAAACGGGAACCGGGGGAACATCAGCGTCTTCAACCAAGCCGTCTCCAAGTGATATTTCTGAAGCGAATGCCACGGCTGCAACGCAGGCGGAGGGAGGCTCCCCCACTTCAGTGGGTCCCAAACCTACGCCTGCACCCGCACAACCTCCCACCCCAGCCAACACACCCAGCGACGAGCTTGAGAAAGAAGAAGCCGACATTGATTATTCAGATATACAAGAGATTACAGATCTACCTGATCTACTGGACGACACAGAGTTGGAAAAGGTGTTGGCGATCGAAGCAGCGCATACCAAAGTGGTTCCCACGGGCGCGCCACCCGCAACCAAAGCTAAAAAGAAAAAGAAAAAGAAAGGGGGCGGTAACGCTGCTCAACAGCAGCAGCAACAACCACAACAGCAGCAGCAGCAGCAGCCGCAAACCACGACATCTGGTACACCCTCTGCTCCAACTGTGGGCACGACCGACAATTCCCGCGACAAACCCCCATCTCTTCCCTCCGAAACCTCCTCCGACGACAAGGACACGAACGAAACCATCCTCTCCACCTTTTCGAAACCGCTCATACCCTACCGGTACCGTCGCGCGCGCTACACGAACGCCATTCGTCAAATGGATAAACCTGGGGAATGGGTCTGTTTTTTTTGCGAGTATGAGCAGGCTTTTGGGGGCACTTTTTGGAGGAGGGGGGGTGGAGTGAGGAAGAAGAAGGAGAAGGAGGAGAAGGTGGATGTCAAGGGGTAGAAATTTGTTTTGTGTGTTGGTCGAAGACTTTAAGAGAGTCACTTTCTCCATTCAAGACTACACGTATTGCACCATAGATTGCCGTCAAAGACGCTTTTGCGGACGGAATTCTAACTTTGGATTTACCTATGCTGTTGCTAACTGCCCTGGATTTTGAGGGCAGAGCCTCTGCCTTCTCACTCCATGTATCCTCAGGAGTGGTAGCGTGATGTTCACATCTGACGCTACATGATAAGCAATTGTTTTCCGATGTCTCAGAACTTTCCAGTATCTGGAAAGTATCTTCAACCTCAATAATCGGCCCATGTTTCAGCGGCAAAAGAGCTGACCATCGCAGCTTCTCCACCCATCAGCTCGTTGGTGAAAGAGCTTTTGGTTGTCACCACAGCTGAGGACGCAATAGACCCACCTAATGAGCAGCCGTAGAAACAGCTTTGCACTGCTTTTTGGTAGCCCCCTCCAAAATATTTGAGAAGTCTTGCCGAGATCGACTACTGACGCACTCACCGTGGCGCGAATCCTTGGCTTGGGGCGAGCTTTTGGTTGATTTTGTTATTATGGTTCCTCTAAAAACTTACAAGATTTACAAATCATTTAAAACCAAAGGTTGCATCTGGAGTAGCTACTTCTAATTAACAGGTTGGGAATATTTCTCTGTCGAATTATGCTGTCTGGAAGTCTTGGCTGAGCGAGAAAATTGGTCCAAAGATTCCAATACTCTACTTGATTTCCCTCAAAGAATCTCATGTCACAACCTGACTCTAGTGAAATGGTTGAGATTGCTATCGAATCATAGCGGGTTTTCTGAGGGGAAGATGCAATTTCCTCTACGTAAACCGAATGTCCCGCTTGGCGAGCCCAGGAACAGGTCGCACAAGCTATATCTGATTCTGTGCCAATGTCGCTGACCGAGCCTACATCTCAAGTTTGCTTTGGATCGACAGAGCTGTTTATCAAAGCATTGTCGACCCTGCCGTTTCTTTTCCTTTCTTCTGTCTCTGTGTCGATTACTTTTCTTCTAGGATATTTTACGAATTCTTCTGTGGTGCATTGTTCTGACTCTGCCGTTTCTTTGCCTTCCTCTGACTATAACGTTCTTTGGCGGTGCTTGTCATACCACTGTCGGCCTACCGTTGTGGGGAAAAAGGACGGGAAAACTTCAAGGTAGTTCTGAAAAAAGGGTGATTTGTGATGATGCATGGGGAATTGGTGGTTTTACTGCATTTGTTTATCATTTCAGAGTTTGTTTTTAGCGATAGTTTAGACTAGAACGTGTACATGCCCATTATGAGTGGTCTATTGACCTATTCATACGACGAGCTGAGCCCTGGTATGAAACTGCATCTTGTATATTTTCAGGTCTTTTGTCAAGTCCGTTGAGTGCGTGGTTTCACAACTTGCTGCCTTTACCTGTAACATCTTTTATTCTTTGGCAGATTGGTCTTCAAGTGGTAGTATTGGTAAATAAAGAAAAATATATTATATGACCGTCCTTTTACAAAATGTCTTGCCATTCCCTAGATACAATAACCATCATGCATCACCCACCATCTTCATTTCTTCGTGTGCCTCCACAATCTCATTCTGCCCCCTTCTCCTCATCCAAACTCTCCACAAAAACTTGTACCCCTCCGCCGACGCAATATACACCAAGCAAGCCACAACGACCATCCCCCATTCCCATCCTATACCTTCATGCCGAAAGACGTATTGCGTGCCGGGGATATACAGCGCGGGCACGACAATGACCATACCGAATAGACAGCAGTACGCTAGGGCTTTGTTGGTTTTCCATCCGTGGAATGTGCTCTGTGTGCGGTGCCTGCATACGTAGGCATGGATAAGGATGGTCCAAGTGAGAGTGACAAAGGCTGTTGCACGCGCGCGGTAGACATCCCTACACCCTGCAATCGAATCATCGTCATCATGGTATAAATTGCATCCGTGGCCTAACCCATTTCCGAATGCGAAAATCCGGAGGATAAAGACGGCGAGAGTAAGGGATCCCATTGTGAGACCGTAGTATGTTATATCGAATATCATGTTGCGTGAAAAGAGGGTTGGTGTGTAGGCGTGGGACATCTGGGTGGGTTGTGGGGGTTCAATGCCGAGTGCCATGGCTGGAGGTGAACTAGAACATGTGTTAGAGTTGGTCTGTTGAAGCGAAAAGAAAGAAAAGCTTACCTTGTGACCATGTTGACAAAGAGGATTTGGAGGGGACTGAGTGGGTAAACACTCGTTCCACTCCCATCGACAAACGCCAATCCGATAATCAATGCAACGATTTCGGCTACATTGGTCGTCATGAGATGCAAGACGAATTTCTGGATATTACTAAAGATTCGCCGGCCTTGTGCGATGGCTGATACGATTGTTGCGAAATTGTCATCGGTGAGGACGATACTGGAGGCTTGTTTTGCTACGTCGCTTCCGGTGCCCATTGCGATACCTATTGGTGCTTTTTTGAGGGATGGGGAATCTAAACATGGTGTATGTTAATTGGAAGATTGGAGAGAGAAAGAATTGATGAAAACGAAGGAGCGTACCATTGACGCCGTCACCCGTCATGGCGGCAATCTTCTTCCGTCGGTCCAAGGCGTCAATCATACGGACTTTGGTATCTGGCGTACACCGCGCGACGACGAGAGGTAGTTCCGGTAATGCATCCACCTGGTCGCTTGTCAAGGCATCGAATTCGGGGCCCGTCCATGCACGTTTGGATTCCACTGCGTCCATACAGACGGTGGTGTGACTGCCACTCATATCGAGGATCCCCACCTGTTCTGCGATAGCTGCAGCTGTGCGGGGGTGGTCGCCAGTTAACATTCGTACTGTGATTCCCGCGCGGTGGCATGCTTGAACGGCTGAGGCCGTCTCGGGTCGCGGCGGATCATTGATACCCGCCCACCCCAACAGCATCAAATCTTTTTCCGTTGCGTCTCGGGTGGATGGTGTGGAGCCTAGACGTCGATAGGCGAGGCATAGAACGCGTAAACCTCTTGAAGCCATGTCGTTAACCTTGCCTGTGATTTCGGCACGTATGTGTTCGGTCAAAGGTGTTTCATCCCAGAGGCTTTTGCAGAGGGGTATGAGTGATTCTAACCCTCCTTTTGCGAATACGTATGCCGTGTTAGTTGGTTCGTGCATGTAGACGACGGACATGCGTTTCAAGGTCGAGTCAAAAGCATGTTCGGCGATGAGAGTCCAAGGGTGTGTTGGTGCGTCGGGTGTGCGGAGGAGGGCGGGTTTTCCGCTGGAGAGTTTGTGAGCAAAGACTTGGAGTGCGATCTGTGGAGTACGAGTGTGTGAGCATCAAGAAGCGATTATGTGATTGTTGCAGAGCTTTTGTAAGGTGTTCGCTTACCTCTGTGGGATCCCCGGTACCGTTCCATATCCCTTCCTCGTCCATGTGAATCGCGCTCGTGTTGCATAAGGCTGCACATTGGACGAATCGGGTCAGATAGTCTGGGAGCGTTTCGGTGATGATTGATGTGTGGTCCTCGCTTTGGATGGTTCCTGTCGGGTCCAGACCGGTCCCTGTGACGGTGTAAGTTTCTTTATGTGGGACGTAGAATTGTGTGAGGACCATTTTGCCTTGTGTGAGTGTCCCTGTCTGTTTGTGTATTTTGTAAGATTGGTTGGTTAACAATGCCGTTTTTATGCAGCAAAAAGTCCACGTTCAATACCTTGTCGGAACAAATATCTGTTGTCGACCCTAAGGCTTCCAAAGCCGCCAACCTCCGTACAATTGCCTTTTGCTTTGCCATCCTCCTGACCCCCAACGCCATGGTCAGCGTCACAACCGCCACCAACCCCTCCGGGATCATGGCAATAGCGACACTGATCGCATAAATGGACGCTTCTTGACTAAACACAAAGCCGTACACAGCGAATACAATGAGAGCCAGTATAATCGAAAAAACAAACAAGGCCAGCGCGAGGTGATTGAGTCGTTTTTGGAGGGGCGTGCTCGTCGGTTCGCTCGATTCCGAGAGGGATTTTGCGATGGACCCGATTTGAGTTTGCATGCCTGTTGCGACCACCACGGCTTTTGCTCTCCCTTTGACGACATTTGTACCCATATACACCATGCACAGTCGATCACCCAACGCAGTATCCATTTCAACCGCATCAACGGATTTGGATACCGGGAGGGATTCACCCGTCAGTAGCCCTTCCTCCACTTGAAGATTATAGACCTCGATCAACCGTGCATCGGCTCCAACGGCGTCCCCTTGTTCCAGAAAGAGGATATCGCCTGGTACGAGATCTTCAGACGCGATGGTCTCGGTTTGGCCGTTGCGGAGAACGCGGGAGGTGGGAGATGCGGTTTTTTGGAGGGCTTCCATGGTTTTTTCTGCACGGTATTCTTGGAGGAAGCCTACGATTGTGTTGAAGACGATAACAAAGAGGATCACGGCGGCTTCGAGCCAGTCTTGGATGGCCAGTGCGATGGACTAGCGATTTTTTGTTTATGTTAGATGGATGTTTGTACGAGGGCAAAGAAAGACGAGTTGGCGATGAAATGTACACTTACCATGGCAGCAACCAACACCACAGTCAACCCATTACATACTTGCCCGATCAACACCTTCCAAGCCCGGACACCCCCGGAGCCAACCAAGATATTGGCACCACATTCTTGTCGACGTGCGGTGATTTGGGGTGTTGTTAGGCCTTGAGAGGTGACGCCTAGAGATAAGAGGGACTGGGAGGGTGCAAGGGTGTGATGAGCGTGAGGGATGAGAGAGGTTTCCGATGTGTTTGTGCGTCGCAAATCTTTCAACATAATTCCTTGTGGGTTTTTGTTGGGGTGGGGGTTGGGGGATGAGGTGTTTATATATCCCTTGCTGATACATTTTAAGAGTAGATAAGGATATTCCGCAATCGGGTTTTTTCATGACGTTTATCTGCAGGATCGGAACTGCAAGGAAGTAAGGAATTCCTACTTTGAGGTCATGTGGCTTTAAGTTTTAAGGTTTTTGAGTTTGGAATGTTCTTTTCAGACGCCACTCGTCGAAAGACACGTGTCGTGATCCCGGATGCGGGTAAACCCAAAAAGTATCGCAGTTCTCGATAGGATATTTGATATCGGTGTTTTTATGCGTGTGTTTTGTTTGGGGTAGGAAAGCGATGATGTGGAATGTATTGCATATGACTCTATTTTGGCAATGTTTGCTTGCAGTTCGGTGCTGATGGTCGGTAGAGTTGTTTTTGTAAAGGTTTTGTAAAGGAGAACGGTGGGCGCAATTGAGGATGATTTTTGTGTGCAAAATTAGCGGACCATTCCGGAAGTTTGTTGTTATCGGTTGCCCGCAGGAACGTTTTTTTTTGTGTTTGTGAAGCATTGTGATATATCGAAATGGGAGTGGGCGATAAACAGTTTATTTTTCAACTGTACATTTGTAATGTATGCGATAACATGTATGTGATAGAGATATCCATGCAATAAACTGTAAACGGTTCTACCACAACCTCCACCACTTTTTTTCCACAACCTGCACATCGAAGACAGTCGCAGTCCGCTCACCTGTCCCCAACACTCTCTTCACAACCCGACATGCCACTGACCCCACAATAGGCCGTACATACTCATACACGGATCCAAGGATGGGAATCCCAGTCATGAGATCAATGATTGAGAAATCGTGTGTGTGGGATTGGATGCTTGTCGTGTATGCGAGTTTATGAGTCGATGGGAATCTGAGGGGAGGTAAGAGGGCGGGTTTGAGGTGAAGCGTTGTGGTTGTCTAATGAAAGAAGATTGGATCAATGCATGCAGTTGTAGAGATGACTAACGTGTGCGCCGGGGAAGGGCGAGATGCAAATGGCAAATACCAAAAACACAATACGTACATGAAAGAGAACAATAGGCACACCATTCACAACCCCCTCATAAACACCGTGAACGTCCAAATCCACACAGGTACATAGCGTCGGCAAGAGACTAAATACTTGCGCGAGATTTTTAGTCCCAGAAATGTGCAAGAGGGGCGTTGTGAATGTTGTTTGAGGGTCGTAGTGAACGAGCGCTGTGGATTGATTGGTTGGGGAGGAGGAATAGAGGGACTTGAGGGTTTGGATGAGGGCTGTGGGCGTGAGAGATGTATCGTCGGGCAGAGATGGACTGGGAGATGGAATTTTGACGGGTCCATCGGTCCATGTCCGTTGGCGGCTCCCCACTCTCAAACTCGACATGCTACGTGACATGCCATTCTTGTTTGTCATCCCACTCATTGTTGTGGCTGCAGACAAGGTTGGAGAGGAGGCTGGGGAACGCGTCAAGGCAGGCGAGACGGAGCGAACCGAGGTCTTGAAGGGAATAGAGAGCGAGCAACCTGAATCTCCATCGTCGTGTGCATTCAGACGACATCCTCCAATCCCGTATGCAGTCATGAGCAGAAAAGTAACGTATGTGTGTTATGCGTGTGTTTTTGGCAAGTGTAAAGTCAACGCGTAAAAATCACGTAATCTGATAAGCTTCTGTCCGCTCATTGTACATGTAATCACGGGCATCATCGTCCAAGTGAGTGCTTTACACACAAGAAAACACACATATATTTATTATTTCATGTACATTCTATTTACGGAAATCTTTCCTATGGGTCCCTCTGCATCCTCAAAAGAGTCGTGGGCTTGGGACCACTATAGCTGCATTACCCCCGGCGGCATGAACTCCGCCGTATCTTCCCAGGGTGAGAGACCTGAGTCTCTCTTTAGGGAAGTCCTTCAAGGCCTGCTGCGTATTGTGCACAACAAAGAGAATAAACCCATCAAGGAATCAGAGAAGCACCCCGCTGCCTCTATCAAGCGATGTGCGCTTTCGCTCAGCTCTCGACCCTACTTCCAGATGGCGCACTCCCAACCCAACCGTACGATCATTATCTGGAAGCGAAGTAGATGGCGGACTACCAGATGGCGCATTACCAACCCCAACAGTACGATCTTATCTGGAAGAACCAACATCTAGTCACCCCAAGCTATGCGCTCTGACTTGGTTTGTTGTTTGCGGTGCAGGGTGAATGAGCGGTTCCGCGGGACTTCCAGATTGCGCAATGCCAATCCCAACCGTACGATCATTCTGGAAGATCCCGCGTCATTCACCCCTTCAAGCGGTGCGCTGCCGCTTGCCAGGAGTATGTTGAGTAATTGAAGCCGGTAACGGCTCCAAGACACGATCGGATTGCCGGCGAGCACGAGACACACTCTGTTGAAGAGATGCCCAGTAGTTCACCTGCTCAACCATTCGTGCTTTCAATCTCAACATCTCCTCAACCGCATTCAACAAACGACATCTTTCATCCCAGATCGTCGGAAAATCAAACTTCAGCAGAGGAAGTATGATCGTCGCGCCTTCTGGGCTGCGGTTTGCAACGAAACCAACAACTTCAAAGGCGGACGTCTGTATACCATACACCTCTACCTTGGCAATCTTTTCCAGTTTGAGCAGATGAAAGTCATGATGCCGAATGACCTTATCCAAGGCATCTTTCATGCCCCGAATAAGCTTCACCCTATCACCTGTAACAGCTTTACGGTCCTGCCAAACTGTTACAGGTTTTGTCTCCCAAATGAGGATTTCCAAATCCATGGAATTCCTCACATGCACCGCCCCGTCCAGTTTGTGGCCAGACGGTTTGGCGTCGAGAGGGTTGCCCTCGCGCTGCATCCGCTCACTGCTACTGGATGAACAGGTTTCACCTCTCACCACTTCCCAGCGGCCCTCCCTTGCAAACAGCTTATCTATCAGCGGCACAAGGACATTGCTGGAAATCCACCCTTCCGACCTTATCTCAAGCAAAGGATTGACCTCGCTGTTGATAAAGAAGAGGAATTCACGCAGCAAGTTCTGAGCATACCGCAGCTCAGATGCATGTCCCTGCTTAATTGCCTCCTTGATAGATTTTACCAAGGGTCTTCTTGCGCGATAGAGATCATAAAGAGCATCTCTTGCCTTGGAAGACCCGGCGTGCTGTTTCTTGAGAAGGGTCCCTGGAACAGGAACAGCTTCGGATGCCGGCTCTTGGGCAACTCTCTCAGCTTCCGCTGGCGTCTCTTTGTTGAGCACGCTCTCAACATATGCTAGGACTTCTTCTGAGGTACGCGGGCTGCTAGTTTTCCTGTCACTAACGAACTCGCGCACCTGCTCTTTAGAGAGCACCGTTGGCACCAAAAGACTGCGGAAAGCACAATCCATGATACCGCTGGCCAAAAGAAGCCCTAGGGCAGCCCCGTTGCTCATGTGTGCCCTAATGCGATCACGATAAAGGGCAGGGAAGACATTAACAATGGCTTCCATTGCCCCCACGTGATCGCCGCCCTGCGCAGCAGACATAGAGTTGGACGCGCTGCCCATCTCAGCAGCGTCCTCCTCCGGATGGGCCCTCTTATTGCTAAGAGGGACGTTTGTTGTCTGCTGCTTAGCATGAGCTCTGGCAATTTTTGCCAGCGCTTCCGCAACAGGCCTTGAAGCCAGAATATTCTAAAGAGGTATAGGTTAGAAGGGGGGGGGGGCGAACAGAAGCCATCGCAGCGTTGCCTTACATACCCCCACCCGACCAAGTGTGCTCTTCGCGTTCTGCCTCACCACGAGGCTCTTGTCCTGGCTGCACACAGTAAGGGCGTCCTGTAGCTTGCTCTCCATATCCGCAATTGATTGCAGACGGAAGTACCGCGCAAACAGAACCTATAAGGTATAGAGACTGGTGTAAGCTAAACAGTGATATCAAATATAAAGCTCATTTCTTCATACCCCTTCCTCGTTACCGAGATAGCTCTTGAGCAGCCTTTCCCGCACATATTGGTGGGCGGTCTTGTTCCTAGATAAGGGGAGGAAGTTAGCATTGATTCAATCTCACGTCCCCTTATACATAGTTCTAATGGACACTGCGTCGATATATGGGCCGTGAGGTGCTGGCTACCCCGCCGCACGAAGACGCCTCAGCGGGAAACGTCCCCATGGACTGGCGTAGATACATTCTCACAGTTTTTTCATTCACAGATACGGGTCGACACGAAGTGCCGAGCTTTACGAATATGGCCAATAAACGCCCGCATCCCAACTTGAACGCCCAATATCCGCGCAGGCACCTGAGGCCCTTGTCAGCAAGACGCAGCCGAAAGGCCAAAATCAAGCTCTAGCATCGCCATGCATTTTGGGATCGATGCATCAAAAGACCGCCTGCCGCTATGTACCCTGCCGCTTGGTCAAAACCGCAGAGACCAGACGACCTAGTGATACAGATTAACCCGCGCGGGTGTTACAACAGGTGAGTGAACACGCCAATCCCTACTCAGGTCTGGTACGCAGTCCCTCCGTGTCGAGGTCACGGCTGTCCAGTGCGAGAGGATGTGCGGACCAGGCACAACGTCACACTGACCAGATTTTACGAACATGTGCACCAACATGAACGCCGCTCTCTTGAATAGCCGTCAGTCCCAACACACACGGAGGGGTCGATAAACGTCCACTTGAACCCCTCCCCAAAGTAAGCTTAACCCTCAAGCTTACCTCTTGTTGTTGGCGTCGGAGGAGCTAGAGGACCCAGCGTTGTTGTTGTTGTTGTTGTTCATGTTGTTCATATCTGTGAAAACAAAAAAAAGAAGGCTACAAAAAAAAAACACCCGGGTGAAGTCTGCAACGGAAACGAAGCGAAGAACGGAGAACTTATCAAAAAGCGAGAGGAAGCGAGAGGAAGCGAGAAGAAGCGAGAGAGCGATCCACACGAGAAGACAAGCGAGGGAAAGAGCGGGGGGGAAACGGAAACACGTCCTGCTTTTATATTCGGTCAACGCGTCGCGGGACTGCACACCATTCGGACTTACCATAAAAGGGATAATGAACTCTTAGGACATCTAATAGTATGACTGTGCCATGCAATCTTACTCCTGTTTACTTAATTAGGGTTAATCAACATTTGGCCCGTCCTGGACAACCATTACGTTATGTTTGCTCATCGTTCGTCTTCCAGATATGCCATTTCTGGCTTTATCAAAGCTGACGTAATCAGGCGATTTAGCGATAGTCTTTTTGGTTTTCAAGGTTTGTTATTTCTGGCCCTTGGTCTGAAAAAGAGTCGATGAACGAATCGTTGCCAATCGTTGCCAATGAACTTTAAGCCTACTCATCCTTGCAGAGCGGTAAAAGGAATCACACTCCCTTGAACTGAAGGTGTGCACAGACTCAGCCTACACTCAACCCTGAACCCACGTGGATTACGCCCAAGTTCCTCTCGTTTTGTTACTCATCTTCAGTCGTCTGCACTGCGGATTAAAAGATTAAAACGGAGGGCTTGGCTGCTGAAAAGAGCAATGCATGTGATGGGTTGTCCTGCGGATTGGTGTGCGTAGTAAAAGGGGGGAAAGAAAAAGTAGTAGAGCAGGGTTACCCATTGCATGCGCCAATGGCACTAAATGTCTTGTTTTTCTGCTTGTAAATAAATATTCAATCTGACCGGAGCTGTTTTGCTTCCATATTCCATTTCATGTTTGTTGAGATTCTGAAATCAGGATGGCTGGTCGATTCTTTTCATGTGCGCTACTTTTTCTGCTGGTATGTGGTGTGGGCAGCGATCACTGGATGAGTGGGGATCCAGGAACACATTGCTATACCTGTAAGTTAGCTCACACTTTCTCTAAACGGATTTGATGAGACCGCTCACACTTGAAAAAGACACAAACGATAATCCCTCGAACCCAGGAACAACTCTCCCCATCACAGGCGTCACCATCCACCTGAGCAACCTATCAGATCCCCAACCCGTCGAGACCAAACCCGTCGTCGCGAGAATGCGCGTGAGCTTTGATGCGAGATTTTATTCAGAGAATAATGGGATTGTGAGGCCTATGCCCAATTCGTCCAACTTTACGGATTTGTGTTTGAGGAGGGTTGCTCCGGGCGGACGACCGGCTTGTTCTGGGGACAGAGCTAGTATGACTGCTGGTAAGTATCCGCTTTACTGTGATCCTATTTCAGTGCAAAAGCTCATAGAGTACGCTTGTCCCATAGATAATTGGTATGTGCTTCTCAATATTTTTACAAGGCAAGCAAGATCTTACTCATAAAAGAACCGCTGTAGCTGCATCACACATCTCAACATCCATTTCTGCCGCCAAAATTATGTACGTCTTATATCCAGTCCCAACTGCCCCAAATACCTAATCCACTTGCAACATTCAGAGCGCCTGTGAACCATGGTACTACCAACCCAACGCCCATAATCTGAGCATCCCATATGTTCTCGCGACAGCGACGGAAGCGCAGGTGGGATTCCCGGAACAGGATTTTAGCGTCGGACCGATCCCGCTTGCGGCGGATACATGGACGGTGATTGGACATTTTACGGTTGGGAATATTCAGGTGCGTTCCTTGTTTGCGTATGTATTTTTGTGTTTTGCGTATTGATTTTTTTTTTTTCAAAGTGCGCTGCTGGGACTCGTTTGACCGTCCTCGCCGCTCCTCCTCCTTCCCCAGTCGCAAACGCGACAACGACAGATCCCGCGTCATCCACTAGTCTCCCCACATACGCAATCATCCTCATCACTCTCGGCGCGGTCCTTTTGGCGCTCCTACTCTGCGCGGGCATATATGCATTTACCAAACGGAATCGGAAAAAGGAAGAAAAGCGGTTTGCAATCGATGAGGAGGGGGCCAGTACGGTTGACGGCTCAGCGGGGCGGAGGGATCGCGAAATGGACTGGGATTGGTGGAGAGCGCGGATGTGGGAGGGAGACCCTGGCACGGGATATGCAGCACGTTCGGAGGGGCAGATGCCGGCAGCATTGCAGCAGCCAGTACATAGTCCGTCACCTATTCAAGCTCCCTTCCTTGCACCCATTCCACAACAATTCCATTCCGCCCAGCAACAACCACAGCAACAGCTGCAGCTGCAGCAGCAACCACAGCAACAACAACAACAGCAGCAGCTGCAGCTGCCGCAGCAAGTACAGCAACAGCCCTCGTTCTCTCAACAGCAACCCATACAGCAACAACCGCAGGTCCCTCCAACACCCCCGGGCTCACCCACACCTCCCAAACCAGAAAACTACGAAGGAGGAACATGGGCCTACATCCTCGACCCAACGCGCGGTACTCTCCCCATTTACATTCCACCCCCGCTTTCCCCAACTACGAGTTCTCAAGAACATTATTCGGCAAGCGTGTCACCCGCTGTTGAACACGCAAGTGAGCCCATAAGTGAACGAGGGAGTGAACAAGGTGATAGTAATGCTGATGGAGGTGGGTTGCGGAGTCCTCCGCCGCCAGAGTATAGGAGTATGACAGAGTATGCAAAGAGGGACCTGTGAGGAGATTGTGTGCGGTTTTTTTTTGGTTTTTCTGTTTTTCTGTGTACTATACTTGTAGGACTGGTGTCATTTGTTGAGGGAGCATTGTCCATATGTTCGATGATCTTTAATGCAGTTACCCATCACCCGATGGTTTTCATTTATACTGTCCAGTTTGTTTCATTCATAAAGTGCAACATAGTATTGTCTGGTTCAAGACACTAATAGAGGAATCTGTGTCATTAACGTGTCCCACGGTTGGCATGCGTTGATGTTGATCCAATATTGAACAATACACAAAGACTAAGTAGAGGAATCCATGTCATTAGCTCGTTCTGCTGTTGGCATTGCTCAATTTTTGGATATGTTGCATTCACTTGTTTTGTGACATCTTGAGGGAGCTTGGAGTATCCATGAAAACTTTTATCAACAGAGTAGTTTGTGATATGAACAGAATACCTGGGATGATCAGATAACGCAGTGCTCCTGTTCGAATTCTTCATCACACTAGATTTCTAGTGCATAGTGCAATCAAGACTTAACCCCAAACCGCAGGGGTCTCGATTGTAGTAAGGAAGGTTCACGGTAACAAAATAGACTTTTTGAGGAGACACGATATAAAGCTCTACGCAAAGCTACTTTGTTTATTTCGTGATCGAAATCATTTTTCAATCGATATCATGCCAAACTTCTTAGCCCAAACAGTAGCAAAAGCGGCCGCCCGACGACATCCGGGCACAGTGAACGTGCAAGGCTCTTCTACTGGAGCTGCATCGCAGCAACAGTCTGTGGAGACCGCCTTCCTCCAATACCAAAGTCCAGAGTCTTTGGGACAAGAGACAGTTATCTCAGCACAAAACTAGCGAAGATGCTCCTGCTTCGCAGCCAAAAGCGAAGGTGTCGGGGGGGTAAGTGAAGAGGCATGTTAAAGATTCAGACCTAGTTCGCAGACTAATCTGGTCACACATCCTTTGTAGCCGATGCCATGTTTGGAAAAATTACCCAAATTACTCCAGTATCGATGAACGACATGTTATTTGCTGCTCAGGAAACATGCAGCATTCTTCAAAAGTATAAGAAGCAGTTGCCCGAAAACGTAAGGAACCTTTGTCGCACCAAAGCGCTAACGAAGGAACAAGGTATGGAACTCATGCTTTTGCAAGTAAAAGGTGACTCTACTGACAATGCATCCATGGCATGTATTCGAAAACGTAGCAAACGCAATTCGTCAAAACCAAGATATTGACCCTGTCTCGCCAGCAGTCCTAAAGTTTCCAAACCGTCGGGCGGTTGCCATGTACGCAATTTTCGAGAATCTGTCCCGGAAACTTTACAAGTCGTACAATGCAAAAGGGTGGCCCGCTGGGCTCCAAAGGAGAAAGTTTAATGAGAAGCTAGTATCGAAATTCCGTTATAGCAAGCTTCTGGACACCAGGATCTGGCGGTAGGTAACGCACCTTTCAAATCCGTGTAAGCCCTAAAACTTTAACCCTAACCTATCTTAGTCAACATGTCCTCCAAAAGATGTACAAAATCGAAATCGCCGCATGGACCGTCGGTAAAAACACAACGCCTCTAAGTCGACTGGTCCAGTATGGCGAGTTTCTCGCGCGTTTGGCGGTCATCGTTGGCCCTGGTCTCCTTCTATGTAAAAACGGCAAAAACGGCTTCTCGGTTAACACCTTCCAGAGAATGAAAGAAAAGGAGAGGGTAGCCCTCTGGCAGCGGCTTACTGCCGACCCTGAGCGCACAGCATCGGCACGGCGCATCTTGGCTGACCAGGCTGTGTCACAGCAGACCTATCAACTGCGGAACTATATCTCGTTCACCGCCATACCACTTGCCAAATTGCTGGAGCGTGTGAAGCGCTTTCCTCCGCCGAAGGAATTGGATTAAGGTATTCCCTGCTCCGCAAACGTAACGAGATGGCTGACAGATTCAACAATGGTATGATGCACACTTTAAACCAACCTACATTTACACTCTCTGAATATTCGCCTTTTTGTTGTTCCCTGTGCCGCTTTGTACTCTTCAAGGGTGAGATCTCACTTGACTGGATGCATTTTTCTTGGACAAGCCTTCAGACCCAGGACGGGCGCTTCATACGAAGCTATCGTTTCGCTTTTCTTAGGACGATAAGTGCATTGAAATTGTATATCTTTTTGTAAAATTGATTGCGCCATTGCAAATACATCTTGTACATTATATCCCTACTGCTTCCTCTTGCAAACATTTGCAAAGGTTACCGCAGCTGACGCATTGGGCCAAAGCCATTGTGTATGAATCCTTTGTTAATGGGTTTTAGGAGGTTTCCCCCAGGCATCATCACACCGAATAAACAGCAGAGTCTTTGGTGTTTCTCATGTGCATCCATCCTTCATGCTTTGGGTTCCCATATGTATTTATCCATTTGCTTGTTAAGAGTATTTCAAGTACGTGGACATGCAACTCGCATGGACTGCCAGGACCTCCTTGTGTGATTATTTACAAGCACATTTGGTGGGAGCGCATCTTTATTTTTATGCATGCATTTCTGGTGACCAACAAAACGGGGATGCTCAAAGCGTCCAACCGACTTGACATTTACACGAACACCCGATAGTTTCATTTTGAACGGTCTAACTTGTTTCATTCATAAAGTCCAACATTTTATTGTCAAGAAGAGGAATCTGTCATTAGCCTCACCCAAGCTGCACTGTTTGCGTTCCTTGCACACATGTGGATATGTTGCATCCAATTTGTTGTGGGAAATCTTGAAGGAACTGGGAGTATGGTACTTTTATCTAGTAATCTGTGATATGAACACAATGACGCTCACATAACGGAGTGTTCGAATTCTTCACCACTCTAGATACCTAGATGGAGCATAGTGCATTTAGCATAGTGTATTTAGAACCTAATTCGTAGGGTCTCGACTGCAGTAACCTAGCCAAACGGGGCTCGACTGTAGTATGTAATGTCATGGGAACAAATATAGACTTTGAGAGGACTCTTATAAAGCTGCAGAGCAAAACTACTTTGTTTACTAGCGATCGAAATCAGTCTGCATCAAACACCATGCCCAAAGCCAAAACCAAATCAGCAGTCCGAAAAGCAGCAAAACCGTCGGGGCCTTCCAATGACGCTCCATCGCAGCAACCATCCGCGGAGACGGACCCGCTCCAACACGACGAGCCCACTAAAGGTGCCAGTACAGTCTCATGATAGTATCTACATTTAACTCTAACCCGTTGACTTGGCTTCCAAAGAATTCGAATGGACCAGTAGCGGCCGTGAATACTACCGAAGAATATTGAGATGGATCCCCAGCAGTCCAACCCGCGAGTCCCAGAAGCTCGCAGCGATAGACAAGAGCGCTGTGGCGGTCCTGGCCGCGTTAGCCGCTCGTGGAATCTTTGTCAAATCTGACACCTGGAACACCAATGGAGAGGGCAGTAGCAGCACAGCTGCTGACGTTTTTCATGTTGAAATCGATCGCCGCTCCGAATCTCATCCGCGCAAGTTTGACACTCTGGTTCAACTCCCTGGGTCGCCAGGTGAGTAGAGAGACATGCTTCTTGGGTCATACCTGTTCGCAGACTAATCTGGTCGCACCTCCTATGTAGCCGAAGAGATGCTAAAAGCATTCGCCAACATTACTCCAAAGTCAATGGAAAAGCCGCTGAGAGCTCTTGAGCAATATTCAGAACCGCCAGAACCGTCAGAATCGCCATCACACTGACAACGCGGCGCTCATGCCCATGTGGAAGGCACCAAATGGTAAGATGAACACTTTAACCCAACGTACATTTACACTGGTTAAATATCTTCAGACACGGATACCTCGCTTTATTGGCTGCGTTCTTTTGAAGAAGCCTAAAGACCCAGGGCGGGTGCTTCGTAAGAAGCGCATCATTTTGCAAAAAACACTCTTTGCTTTTCTGGTACAATACTTTTGCATGGCAGTATGCTCAAACTGTATATCTTTATTGTAAATCTGGGTGCGTTCAAACCCATTGCAAATAAATCTTGTGTGTATTATCTATCTACTGCCAGCTTGCTCCTTGTGTGATCATTTACAAGCACATTTGCTGGAGGTTGCAGCCGCATCGCCATGGACGCATCGCATTTCTCGTGACCAAAACCAGGGGACCTATACATGCCCCAACCATAACAGATGCTCAAAAGCATCTCCGCAAGTCGATTCGACATTAATTCTCAAAGCATCCCTCCGGTCTACAGACCAAATCATTTGGGGTGGGATTTCTATACAAGGGTGTTTGACCGTCGCCGACGCAGTCTGCCGCTGTTAGGAACTGAAAGTTTTTGGATTGGAGGTACTCAACAGACAGTTCTGCGAGGTTTTTAGGTACAGCACGAGTGGGACGAAAGTCGGCTCTGAAAAACGATGTGAAAGTATGTGACAAACTGCTCTACAAATGCATGTAATTGAGATTAGACAGTGTTTACTCACGTATTATTCACCACATCATGGTTCAAAACGATATGGGACACACTCCCTGGATTTGGCGCAGTGTTCTGCAATTCCGTCAGTCCGCCCTGTGGATCCCCATTTTCCCAATCTCTTGGATCCGCATCCCACAAGATGGGCGTAATTCCCATTCCTCCGAGAATTCTCAAATGTTTGTCTTCGAAATCGCCATATGGAAATCGAAAGCAGGTAGGAACTCGACCTAGAGCTTGTGCAAAGACGCGAGTTGTTTCTGTGATTTCGTAGGTAAAGTTGCGCTCGCTGGCGGTGATGGCATCTGTGTGCGTGAAGCCATGCATACAGAGTTGATGGCCGTCATTTGCAGCGCGCTGAACAGTGGATGCTAGAGCCAGAATACCAAAGGGAGTGTTCAGATTGCCGTTACTAAAGTATTGCTTGTAGTTTTTGCCGTTCATGAAAAAGGTTGCCTTTGCATTTTTGGATTTTAGGTAATCCAATAGGCCGTCAGTGAGGACTGCAGGGCCATCATCGTAGGTGAGAAGAAAGCCGTTCGGTTTGGAACAGGTAAAGATGGGCGTGGCGGGTGGATTATTGCAATTGCCAAATCCAGATTGGCATCCGTCTGCACAGTGATCGGACGTGTATCCGCATTCCCCGTTTGCACTGCAACATGCCCCGAATCCACAACTTCCAATCCCATTCCCGCAGGACTGATCCAGGTTCCGAATCGTAGGAGGAGTCTCGCTATCGCATACTCCAAAACCGACCTGGCACCCAATTCCACAATAGGACGCACGAACTGGATCTGCATCGAAGGGACCACAGCTACCGTATTGACTGCAGCAGAGCCCTCCACCGCATGTCGCTTTTCCCGGTCCGCAGTTTTCGTTGGCTTGAGCGATAGGTGTGGGACTCTGGCCGTAGCACGTACCGAAAGAAGGTTGACAGTTTCCGGAACAATGATCGATTGTAGAACCACACCACTACAGGTGATCAACGAAAACGTTTAGTAGCTGACAGGCAAGCCAAAAAAATCTCTAGAATGATCAAAATAAAGAAAAACCACCGTAACTCACCCCCCATTCCGAGCAACACAATCCTTCTGCGCAAGTTCCAATTCCGTTCCCGCAAGGTGCATTCCTTTCTATTCCCGTCTGCTGCCTTTTGAGTACAGCACCGTCCACATCCACCATGAACCAGATCAGGGCAAGAAGCACGATGCTTGTCCGCATGGTTTTCCGTTATGCAGGAGAGAACGATGCGACCAAGCGTGCCAGGTCCCCGCCTAAAATGCAAAATAAAAAGAAACTAGATTATAAAGCATCGCTTCCCAACTGGTGGCTTTCCGTTGGCGATCCGCTTTGAGTTTTGAAAAGTTGCAATTTTCGAGTTGATTTGATGGGGTGGTTTAGTCGCGCGTTTTTATTTGGGTTTTTTTTTATTTATTTATTTGAACACTTAAGTGTGAAAGTCGCTTGCCTCGCATGCGTTTTAGCAAGTAAGTTGCTTTTTGAAAAAGGACGCTTTTAGTAAAGAGCTTTTTGCGTTTTCTTTTATCGCTTCTCCCCGCATGGCATGGCCAAAACGAAAACGTGTTTGGAGGACGGATTTCCACGCACTGTAAAACAAACAAAACACGCGAAATGAAACTTTTTGACTTGCGGCAGTTCCAAAAACTGGTTTTTGGGGCTGAAGAAGGTTTCTTCGCGATCGGTTTGACTTCCGCGTTACGATGGGATTTCGTTTCACTCGTTGGTGCTCTTTTTCTTCAAATGTTTTCAACGTTCAAAAGGAACAAAAGGAAATAGTGACGCCGCCCCGTCCGTGGCTAAAGGTCTGCAAAAGACAAAAGGAGAAAAAAAAAACAGGCCTCGGATTTGCACAATAATCGGGTTGTCCCCAAATCCCAACTTTGTCGTCATCATTTGGTTGCTAAAGAAGAAAATCGACAGAATCAGTTCTCTTTTTTCCAAGGATCATGAATCACTCGTGAGGCAACTGTCCAAAAATCCTGTACAGGCCCATTGCTTTCTTTATCGTCTTTCGTTATACGACGAACAGTTTCACAACTTTTAAACTCTCTTGGCGGGCGGACGGATGAACGTGCCTTCGACCCAACCCCAGGTTCCTTCTCCGCTAGCCCGCGACGCGAGACGGGACCGCAGAAGGAGGCGAGATCAAGACGATGGAGTGCCCCCTGTACGAAGAAGGCGCATGGTATTGTGGCCTGAGAGTAGTGACAAGTACGGGTCTCCATACGTATTAGGTGTTGCCTCCAAAAAACAAGGACTGATGGTGGCCCTTGTCTTGCAGGTGGTATAAAGCATGGATGATCATGACAAGAATCCTGACGTTCTTCATCCCGGATTTTATTTTGCGGAGACTCATTACACGAGAAGATGCACGCATTGCATGGTGGGTAGTCCCCTCGTCTTTTTTGCCGATTTTTACACAACTCACCAAACCGTTTCGGTTCAAAAAGGCGTGAAAAGCTTGCAGTATGCGTTCTTCTCCTCCTAATTACCGTCATCGGACTGTTCATTGTCCTGTACATTCCCGTCTTTTGGTGCCCCGACCCATCCATTTACACACCAGAAATGGTGATTGCACCAAAAACCCGCGCAAAGCTTGAATTCCTACGCTCTCTGTACCCGCAGGACACGTTTTGTTATTACTACTCTTGGATCATCCTGGTCCTCTCTGGTCTTTCCGGCATCGTGCTCATCGTCATTGTCATTGCGTCGGCTTACACACAATTCAAATCCTACCCGACAAATGACAGTCTCCAAAAAGGTGTGATTCTCCATGTCCCTTGCTATTCAGAGACCAAAGACGTTTTGCAAAAAACAGTGGATTCTGTGGCGGACCTGGAGTATCCGGATGAGAAAAAGCTGTTGTTTCTGGTCATGGACGGGTTGATTGTCGGCAAGAACCAAAAAATGCCAACACCCGATATCTTGCTGCACGATGTGTTATTCTGGGAAGGGGATGAGCGCGATCCGGTTACTTACCCTTCCACTGGAGTTGGAGACCTTCGCATGAATGCTGCTCAAGTATACTCGGGATGGCATGAGACGGAACACTGCAGTGTTCCTTACATTGTGGTAGTAAAAGTTGGCCTGAACGACACGGATATTTCAAAGCTTGGGAACCGGAGCAAGAGAGATTCTCAGCTCATCATCATGAAGTTTCTTCGATCGGTCAATTTCTGGAAGAACAGGCGTGACAAGTGGTCAGCCCTCGATATTGAACTAGACCAGCATTTTAAGGATCTCGGTCTAGACCCGCTTGACTTTGAATACTTTCTTCTCACCGACGCCGATACATATGTCTTGCCAGATGGGCTATCCCGTCAAATTAACGTGATGGAGCGCGATCCAACCATTCTGGGAACGACGGGCGAAACGGCGGTTGAAAACAAATGGGAGTCAATTACGGCCGCGGCACAAGTATATGAGTATTTCATTACTCATCGGTTCCTAAAGTCATTTGAAAGCCTTTTGGGAGAAATTCTCGTGCTCTCTGGTTGCTTTGCAGTGTACCGAATCAAGCAAAAGAATCCCGATACAGGGCAGTGGGAACCCCGGCTCTGCGACGATTTTATCATTGCCATGTATAACGGAAGCAATCCATACACGGGCGAGCCATTTGAGTTGACAATGCACAGATGTAACTTGTAAGTTGATCACTACGATCATCGAACGCCGGACCATAAGATGTTGATGATTTGCTTTCTTTTAGATATAAGATCGGAGAAGACCGGTTCCTTAGTACACTCCTTCTACGCAAGTTTCATCGCATGCACACCGAGTTTATCCCAAAAGCGATTTGTATAACCAGCGTCCCTACTTCGCTTCCTATTCTCCTCAACCAACGAAGACGATGGACAAACTCTCTTATCCACAATCACATTGAGGTCTTTGCATATGATCCTCGGTCAGGCCTTCGCGGTCTGGCTCTGCGCTTTGTCGTGTTGGTCGAACTCGGGGTTTGTCTCATTACGCCAGTGTTGACTCTCCAGTTCCTTTACTTGGTCTTTTGCGCAGTTGTTGAAGCCGGATTATACCTTTTCCCGATGGTCACGTCCTTTGTTCTTTTATCGGTTGGATTGATCATCACCATTGCGACGTTGCATTTCGAGCAGTTGTTTTGGTACATACCCTTTGTGCTGTGCTTTCCAATCTTTTCAATTGTGATTCCGCTGTGGTCTTGCTGTGAGTGTGTTCTTTTGTGGTCTGGCAAAATGATGGCTTTTAAAATGAGCAAAACTATTCGTATATAGGGCGATTGGACGATTTTACGTGGGGAACAACGCGCAAAACCGCTCAAGAAGCGGATACGATTTCAATTCTCTCCTCCCGGTCCAGTTTCGCTTCGCGCTCGAGCATTGCATCTGCGGCACGAAGCAGCCGAGGAAGTTTCAGTCAGAGCGGTCCGTCACCTAGCTCCTCTCGTAGCAGTCTAGCGACTTTGAATGCCAACTCATCAAAGTCATCAATCAACTCAACTCTTATTGGTCCACCTCCCAGCTTGCCTGCTTCTCCGCATCGCAACAAGTCCTCCAGCTCCCTGTCAACGGATGACCGATACCCTTCGCCTCCAGCTACTGCTGTCCTGAGGCCACTGAAATCCATGACGGATCTACCGGGGCTTGTCGAAAACCCGTCACCGATTCATCGAACAGGTAGCGAGACAGATTTGGGCACACTGGAAAGAGCGCATATGAAGAGATCCAGGAGTTTTGCGGATAAATTTCCCAAAGAGATATAGAAATGTTGCGTAGAGCACATTGTTTGCAAGTACATATAGGAATCGTCCTGAGATGTTTTATAGGAAGCACTTGTTTAATTTTCATTGTCGCTGGGTGTCGCTGGGTGGGGCAAGGACACTTTTCATCAGAATTAGTACATACCAGACACTATTCACCAAATGAGCAGAATGCACAAATGTCTCGCACACCAGCAACCATGCATGGAAAAGCTGTGCAGCGTAAATCGAGCAGAACACCGTGTGGAATGGTCAATCGAAAAGGTACAGACAGTCACATTGGTGCTTTTGAATAACGTTCCCAAAATCGCCATCAACCCGCAATCCTACGCAGAGGCGTACTTGAGGCCAATATGCAAAACCAACTGACAACCCGCCCATGAGCCTCTTCGTAGTTCTTTTCAACACGCGGAGGCTGTTCGGAGAGCCCCAAATACCAGGAACATGGTACAATTGTTCCATATAGTCCGATCATCTGGTATCCAAAAGCCAAAAAGTCAAAACCTGAGAAGATTATCTGATCCACCTTCCATATTTGTTAAAATTTTGTTCCCCAGGAGACGGTGGGAGACAAAATCTTTTGTTTTGCTGAGGCAGACAAGACACCACTTTCTTATTTCCCGGGTAAAATATCCAAACCCTCCTTTGGAGCGAAAAAACAAAAATCGAACGACGCAAAACGACGACGAGAAGCAAGATAAAAGGCAGTTGGTGTGTTCTTCTTCCCAAAGGCTGTGTGTGTTTTTTTACAGCGAGTTTTGTTTTTGATATTATCTGCCATCAAGGCCAATCCATCTATCCAACGGAGCAAGCACCATGATGATGATGCCCGCTATCGTGCTTCTCGTTGCTCTTGGCGTCCTCTTGTCGCCAGTTGCTGCCTTGTATGTTCCTCCCGCTCGGGCCAACTGCATCTTTACTCTTGGACAGAATACGTTGAATATGTGGGGTGGCAATAAATTGTCGACTCGTAGTATGTTTCCGAGTCGTTTATAGTGTGTGCAAACGATACATTCATTGAGCGTTTCTGACCATGTTGATTCAGATGAAACGACACAGGCATATGTGGAGGATCTTGCTAGGAATACAGTAACCGTAAACTTTGGACAGTCACGATTCGACGTTTCTACGAAATACACAGCGGGCTTTATGCCTACGAGCATGTCGGCGAGTTGTGTACAACACCGATCCAGAGTTGCTTGTATCGGTGAGAAATCAGAGCTTTGAGGTGCTGTCCCAAATAACCCATCACAACTGACTATACATTTATTATCTGTAGGCGGGATGGATGTAAACTACCAAAGTCAGCCAATGGTGTTGACAGTGTTTAATCCAGACAACCCGTCGGATCAAAGCAGCACCTCTTATCCGTCAATAACTCCCCGCTGGAACATGGGTAGTGCCCTACTGGGAGACAAACTGTACATTTTTGGAGGCCAAGCGCCAGCTGCTGCCAACGTTGGTAAGACTTGAACTAGTCATTGGCCAGCGCCAGCTGGCCTCGAGTGTGCTGATATTGGAACCATTTGGAATAACCGTTGCCGTCCATTTAGAGCTTAACGCCTACCAGGACTTGTACGTCATCAACTTGGTATCAAAGACGCTTGAGAGTTCAACCATCGGTACCCCTCAAAGGCGCTCCCACATGTGCATGGCCGACATCAGTTTGACGTCCTTTGTGATGTTTGGTGGATACGCCGGTGCATATAATGACGAGACATGGATTTACGATGTCACTACCGGGTGGAAGGATATCACTGCTGAGGTGAAAGCAAAAGGTGCTTATCCCTCAGCCCGGCAAGGCGCGCGCTGCGCAAACGTGCAAGGGTCTATTTACATGTTTGGTGGAAAAAACTCGGCAACGACGGGGACCAATGACGTGTGGAGATTTGATCCTGCGAGTCATTCCTGGGAACAAATCTCTCCTTATTTTGCTGTACCTGCGAGCACCCAGCCATCGGCTCGCGGCTATTCGTCGATGCTTGCTGTTGGAAACATTTTAGCAATCGTTGGGGGACGGGACCTTACGGACACTGCGCAAGATCCAAACATGTACTTTTTCAATGTACAGGATCGGAAATGGGTCGATGACACTGCAGCTTTGGCAGCACTTCCCAAGGGAACAAATCCTCCTCCTCCTTCCAATAGTACCGAAGATCGACAAAATCCCCCCGGTGTGACCTCTGCGGAGAAGAGCACCTCTAACACTGCCGTTATTGCTGGAGCAGCGGGCGGTGGAGCCGCAGTAGTACTGGCAGCTGCAGCCTTGATTTTTTACGGGAAACGTCGTCGTCGACATCCAAAAGAGTCGGGCAACGTCACGCACTGCGTTTTGCAAGCGAACCAAACGAACAAACCCAATGATGGGAGGCCTCCGTCTGCTCATCCCAGTGAAGTGGCGACGCTTCATAGCCCCAGTCCTCACGAGGAGCTCATGATTCCTGCGGCATATCAACAAGTGCCGTTGGGTCATCAAACTTCCCAACATACAATGTCCTTTGACTCTGCTACGAGGAGCTCAGTTTATCGGCCAATAAGTTGGGACAATGGTGGCATGAGTCCTCGCTCCTCGAGCGTATACCAGGGGCATCCCGTTGCTTCCAATTCTCCTTCCCCTATACCGTCCATGCACCCAAGCCACACCTCCTTTGATAGTTCCAGTGCATCCGAGGTGCGGCCGGTATCGCCGCCTGTTCCGCAGTCTACTCCTCTTCTGGAACGTGGCTACACACAGAGTAGCCCACCTCCTTATGCTACTCTTGGTGAACGGGAATTGTCACATCCTGTGGTTATGCCTTTGAGAACAATCGTACCCGCTATGCCCGCGATGCCCGCGATGCCCGCGATGCCCGCAGTGCCCGCAGTGCCCGTAATGCCGGAAAAGCCTGCGATACCTGCAATGCAAGAGTATTCCGCACCAACTATGGCGATCACAAAAACGGGTGTAGAAATGGGCGAGTCTGCTGTTCCCATGGACGTTATCCAAAAGGCAGAAATTCAAGTCGAGGACTCAAACAATCAAGGTTTACCTCACATGGGTAAATTACGGTTCACCCCCCGAAGCAAGGCGAACACGGATGAGATGGAAGTATCTCCCGGAGATGTAATTTACGTAAAGTAAGTTGAATAAGCGCTAGTTGTTTCTGTTGCTTCGCCCGTGATTTACATGACACTTTTTAGGGAGCTTTTTAAAGATGGATGGGCCCAAGGTTACAATGCTACAAAAAACGTTGCTGGATTTTTTCCTTATAATTGTGTAGAGAGACGTGATTAGAAAAGTCTATGTAATCCAAACGAATGAAGTATATCCAAATACAATCAGTGTCATGAAATGACTGGATTTCTGACGAATTCATATGGGACAGCACTATGCCGTTGCTGTGACATGTGTCGGCATCTGCATCTGAAGGTAACTTTGAGCACAGACTGATTTTGCAGTGCAATGCCATAGTATTTAAAAAAATAATGAGGGTATCAGAAATCGCCAACTCTAAGAAACAGGTAGTATATGTGCCTAAGTTGCAGTCGCGATACGACACAGCTTTGCGATTCTTTCAATGATTCGCACTGAGCTATGACACCCAGCACCCCATGTCTCTGTCCCGCACGGCAAAACCACCACACTTCCCATTTGCCCGTCCAGCGTTGGTACGGGGTCTCCATCTAACCAGGTATTAACGTTGCCAGTCATCAACGTGTCTTTATCTGTCACCCCGAATGCTAAATATGAGCTGGCTAGCCCAGGTGCCGAAAATCCTACTGCCGGTACATTTACTGATGCTCCCGTAAGTAGCGCTAGTCCGCCACCAAGAGAATGTCCCGTAACGTACACATTAGAGTTTTCTGCAGCTACTCGTGCTACATAGTCCTCAACGGAAAAGAAGTATGTCAAGGCTGGATTGGCAGCGTATCGGTAGAGGAGTCTCACGACTTGGGCAAGGGTCTGTTGGGGCCACAATGAGAAAAATGTGCCAAAGTACGAAGAGAATCGAAGAAGTGCCGGGCTTGAGAATAGGTATATATCTTGGAAGACGTCGTCGAGCCCATGTGTGCCGCGGATAGATATAATATGCAGAGGTGAAGAGTTTCCACTTGAAGAAAGATTAAAATGAACGAAATGAACGTCACCAGTGACGGGAACACTGATCAGGGATGCGCTCATGTTGAGGCGGGAAAGCGTGGGAGCTAACATTGCCAGTGGCGAATCTTCGTAGGCTGCTTCCGCTAACGAGGCAAATGCATGTAAATCCAGTGGTTGAGCGGAAGAGTAAGGATATGCCGGGGCGCAAAATGGAGGAAGAACGCTAGAGTTCCGGAGCAGAAATGAAGGACGATTGTCACGAGGTGGTGGGACTTTTGAGTTGAGACATACTCCGACAATGGCGGATACCGCAAGTGCTGTGCAGAGCATAAATAGAAGCACCAGAGAGGTGCGATGTGCCCGTCTAATGTTTGGAAGTCGGACGGAAGAACCGGAGGTCTTGCCGTCTCGGTCCCAGTAAAATCTGGCATCCCGCAAATCGAGGGAGAGAATTGCGATCAAAAGTGTCGTACTGTAAGTGTACAGTGCGTACGAAGCTCGGAACGATATAGCGAGGGCAAGCATCGCCAACGTGACGAATACCATGAGCGGCACTCGGGCTTTATGCGAAATGAGCTTCTCGGGAAGAAGAAATAGAGCGTCCCGAAAGAAAAAAATCGCAAAAAACGTTGGAGCATACGACGCTAACACACTATTCGACACCTGTTTCACATCAACAAAGTACTTCCACCTCTCAGGAACGTCGCTTTGGATACTCATGCGTCCGATATCCAGAGCTACAAGACACCCTATTCCACAAAAGTCGTAGAGCATGCGCGCAACAAAGAGTACTAGAGCTGGCGCGGCCGATTTTCCATCGTAAGGGAGCACATTCTCAATATACTGATGCACCGAAGTGAGATTGGAATAACCAGGTAGATACCATCGACATCTCACAATCAATCCAAAAAGAAAAAAGACTCCACATAGCACTGCTATGGTACTATACACACGCATGGAGTTGAGAACGATGGATGACACGAAGACAATGATGGACCCCCAAAAGAGCCTATTGCCAATGATATTCAGCACTTGGCCTTTCGCCACGTCCTTCCCCTCGCCCTTACTTTTGCTGTCAAATCCCGCGGAAGCCACGTACATTGCACGAAGACGATCATGTTCCATTTCGTTTCGAAATAGCTCTCGCAGATACCGTCCAATTCTGTACAGGCGGGCACAGAGGTTGCTAACCGCAATGGCAAAAAGGGATGCAAAAGCGTACGATGCGCACAGATATCCAACCGCCGTCCAAAAATCAATGACTGAGAGTACCAAAGGAGGTCCAGCCAGCACCAATAGGAAGAGTAGAAAGAGGAGAAACAGTTTGAACCATTCTACACGTATAAAGAACTTTGCGTGTGGACTGTGCGGGTCGAGTTTATCAATGCTGAGGTCGCCCAGAGTCAGCGCCTTGTTCGTTCCTTGTGGTGTCCCAGCTGGAAGGTCACCCGTCAAATCATCGGGCACACTGGGCAAACACAACATATGGAGGACCCACGGCTTCCATTTCATAATCGTGTGATCCACCCACCGTCCCGGCCACATGTCCTTTGCCCCAGCGCCAAAACCGCACCGCCAGATGCTCACACCCATTCGAAGAGCCGTACGCAACAATGATCTGACTACTCGTTGCAAAGCGTGCAGATAAAATGCGAAAGCGAGGAGGTAAAGAATAGTTTCATTGGATGGCTTGCTATTGATCAGCGAAAAGGTTGTATAACCGACGTTGACTGTAACGCAGAGCGCAAACGTTAGCCAGAGGGACACGCCAGGAACAAGAAAAAAGATGAGAAGGATGCGCAGGAGGATGATAACGGCGTCAGTGTGAAAAACGATGGGTGGTGGTGGGATCGTCGTTTTCAGTGTACCCAGTTGTGCTGGTGCCGAGGTCGGCTCGGGTGTCGATTTGCCACTGTCATTTGCATGAACGATATCTACAGGTGTTGGACCGTCGATCGCCGCACTCGTGGGATCTATACTGGATTCAAGGTCATAGGCTGACGCTTCACGTCCATGTCGATGAACCAATGTATTCGGAGGTTGCAGCACGGCCCCTGGGAGCTGCGTGTCCATGAAGGGTTTGGTGTCGTGAAAGACACGTCAAACTGTCCTCCTCGTCGGCGAAAACCGCCCAACAGCAGCTACGACACAACCGTTTGCGCAGCCCCAAAAGAGTGGATGAAAGTTGAGCCCGGTAGCGTAAAAAAACGTGGTGAGGGTTTAGAATCCCAAAAGGAGATTTTTTTGTCGAACTCGGCGCTTGGAGCGAAAATCCAAAAACGTTTTCTTCGATTTGTCGTTTTCTTTTTTTATTTCTTTTAACGATATGGTGGAGATGAACAACCTTTTTAAAATAATACGGATCGTTCCCCCCCATATTGTTAACTGGAGCGATCAATGGGCTCCTCCAGTGCCCAAGCGCGTTTACTTGCATGGAATTTGTTGAATATTCAAGATATCGTGTGTCGTGCTGGTTATCCCACTTGGTGATGCGAATACAAACATTGGTTTGGTCAGCCGTTAGGGTCAGGGCAAACGACAAACCTTGGGTTATCATCCCCTGCGCTGTTACCAATGTTGGGTTTACATTATGACAACAAAAAGCACGACAATGGCTCGGGCTGTTTAGGACGCACGACATGGTACATTGCATTGCATTATATGCATGATGGTCAGCAAGACATAAACTTTTGATTTATCGTCGGAAGGCCTCTCAAGCTTGACACGCTGTGCAAGAGTACATGAAAACTGATATGGTGCACATATATCCCAACGAGGATTGGAATGTCCGATAAGCTACACAAATCTTCCGCTTTACACTTTTACCTTCAGTGGAAATGGAATGCATCATGAGGGACGGTCTTTCCGAGTCACATTTCTCGCCTCAAAGCCAAAATCCATATGACTTGATACAAACTGAAGGTGCCTTTTGGGATGACACACGCTTTGCGACGCTGACTTTGGAACTTAACGAGTATATCCACGTGGAAAGTAACTCAATGGCGCCGACAAGTATTCAGCCTTCTCGGGCATAAAGATATCGTTCGGAGGTAGGGTCCCTTCGTTTGGCTGAGAAACTGTGCTTTTCAATACTTTTGAATGCTGGCGTTCGTTTCCCCGGCTCAAACGTTAGTTGGAGTACACATGGAGTAAACAAGACAATGGGTCAGGAGTTTAGAAAAGTGCCTGGGCCTCGTGGAATGCGTGCCAAGTAGTAGGCCAAATTCCTGGATCTTCCCAACGTGCTCCAACGCTATCTGTGTGTGTGTACAATGAACCTCCTCAGCGAATTGAAGATGAGTCAAGGTCAATTGACCGATTATTTGAGAGAAGCCCGTCTCGTCAAAACTACCTTTCCCCCGTTCACTTTGGTTGCAGAATAATGGCTTCAAAACTTGAGGATTTAAAATCCCTGCTGCCAGGCACGTCCATCGTTGAGCCTTCACAAGGCGGGGCATACGACAAGGCCAGAAAGGACACTTTTAATCATGACCTTGACGCTTTTCCCTTGGCCATCGTTTACGTTCGGAATAACAAGGATGTCATTGAATGTGTCAAGTGGGCCTCGTCAAACCAAATACCCGTTACAGTTGCAGGCGGTCGGCACTCGATGCGATGCTACAAAAATGATCACTTGGCCATCGATCTAAGGCATATGGACGCCGTCATTGTTGACGCTGTGAACAGAACTGTTGCCGTGCAAGGAGGCGCGAAACTTGGCCAAGTTGATCGCGAATGCTCGCTCTTTGGCATGCATGCACCGTTTGGGACTGACCCTGACACTGGTGTTGGAGGCCTAACTTTGGGCGGCGGATGGGGTTACTTGTCTCGGCAATATGGACTCTCAATAGATGGGATCGTGTCCATGGACGTTGTCACTTCGAAAGGAGAGCTGATTACGACTTCCGCAGCTGTTCATCCAGACCTTTTCTTTGCTATGCGTGGTGCAGGAGGATATTTCGGGGTATGCACGCTGTTTCGTTTCCGTCTCTATCCGGTCCCAGCAACACTCTCTGGGATGGCCCTCTACGGTTTTAATGAACCGAAATCTCTCACCAAATCGTACGTCGCGGCCATGACAAGCGCAACTCGTCATGTTAGTGGCGCTCTTGTTCTTGGGTTCGTTCCGGATGCCGATAAGATTCGGAGACCTTCTGCAACCGTCATTCTATCCTACGTTGGCCCGTCGGTTGACAAAGGAACACTAGCCATAGAGCCGTTCAAGAACCTCGCTGGTTCCGCGCCACTGATGAGCAGCGTCCGCCAATCTACCTATGTCGAGCTTCAATCCATGCTGGGAGATATACACTCTCCAAATATCGGAATGCACGACAAGCACCTGTTCCTGGCGGACATCAACGACGAAATTATCGACACTTGCTTGGATATGCTATCCACCCTACCGCAACCGACCGGTTTTGTCGCCATCTTTCCATTTGATGGTGCGATTCAAGATGTGCCATCTGGCGATACCGCCTTTTCTCATCGCGACAGCAACTGGTGGCTTATTTACGGAATTGAGTGGACGGAAATCAGTCAGAAAGAACCATGCATCCAATGGGTCCAAGCGGGTGCCGAACGATTGAAGAGGTATTCCCAGGGAGAATATACCAACCAGTCGCATCACAAGAGCGCAGAAGCTCTCTGGGGTTCCAATTTGGATAGACTTCGGAAATGTAAAGAAATCTGGGATCATGGCAATATGTTTGGCAAGATCTAGATCGTGATATGTAGTTGGGCATGAAGATGCGCATATGCTCGTGGCTCTCTTGGGTTAGAGATGATATATCTTGGACGCCAGTCCGTACCATACATTGAATATATAATATGCCCACATCCACTCATTCTGGTGACACCAAAAAAGCCCGGTCGGCCATCACAGTTGCAAGGTAGTGCATCTGTTCTACAGACTTGATTCTATGGTGAAAATAGTCGCATGCTATTCCTAGGACAGTTCGTAACCCATCGCTCAAGTGTCATCACATAGGGACTGGTTTATGTGCACATACTGTACAAGATAATTCAGAGAACAAGCTGAGCATATAGAATAATATACTGCATTTGCAGATCTTCTGTCAAGTGCACTGCAATGCATGGGTTCATTAGTTATATATATTTCGCCGGTACTTGTCTGCCCACCCACTTGCACATATACTTTCCATCCGACCTACGCACAACCCACAACACAACCAAATATCTCATGAGTCCAACCGTCCAGGGATGTTGCCAGCGACACCGTCTACTTCTTCTTCTTGGGATTTTTCAAAGTCACCAAACTACTTCTCCGAATGGCAGTTGTGATAGACGTTTTGAACTCATGTCCTTGCGTCCCGAGCTGCTTCCACATCCAAATGAGAAGATTTCCTAAAGGTGAGAAACGCATGGGCCAATTCGGTTATGCGTTCGGAAGATTCAAAAGGAAATCGGAAGTGTGAATGATTGTCAGATGTTTTGGCGTAGTGAGATGTACAGACATGCTTTTCTCTGTAATAAAAATAATACATACGTGTATAAAATGCTCTATTCAATGGCTCTTGCTGACCTCGGTTAAGCGACATTTTACAATATGCAGAACCCACCCGCGATACGTTGGGCATTCGGCGTGAGTGCATTCAATGGGTTCCAATACTACTAGTATCGTTGGAGTATCGTTGGGGTTAGGAGACGTTCAGAGTTGCAAGTACAACATAATTTGCACATTTGAAATCGTCGTAAACACACCGACAACTATTCACTGTCTTGTGTAAAAACGAAATCCCTCACACACGATGTGCATACAGCAGATTGTAACTTGTCGTAAGGTCTTGTCTGTAAAAGAAATATCACTCGCAGCTGATTGCCGAGGGTACTGATAAAGAAAAGATGCGAGTATGCCCATCTGCTAAATATCGATTATCAATAAAACTGGAAATGGCCATCAGAGCAAGCACCCTTCCCGACACCTGGCAGGAGCTTAAACCCAAGTTCCGCGCCTTGAGCACACTGATCGACGAAGGTCGCTTTTGAATGTTGTTAAACTTACCAGGCAGGTGCAAGCGGCTATTATCCCATGGGGGGCACCACAGGCCGTAACTTTTAGTTGTCCAAAACGGCCATGCAAATAAAAGTAGTCCCGAACCTCCGATGTGGTCTAAATACGGAATTTTTCAATCGGTCTATCCCCCCTTTTGATGTCGGAATTGAATCGACCCAAACAAAGGGATCTTGTCATGTACCTTCCGGTGTCATCGCAGGAAGCGATTGTCGGGAAAACCGCTACAAATTACATATACCTTTCGCATAAAATAAATGGAGAAAAAAGTCCGAGCATATGTGTGCATTATCAACCGTTGACATTCCTCCATAAATAATAATCGTTCAAAATCCGTCGATCGCTTTGCAAAATTGAGAATTTCCTAATATGGATAAATGAGATAATAGTTAATTCCACGTGATATATGACCTCATTTCACACTTTTTGGTTTTCATCCGAATCTGCGGATTCGGTCATTCCTTCTTGTGCTTTAGGGCTTTTGCTTTTGGACTTGCATTTTTGGCTCTGGCGATATCGTTTTTTTTAGGCTTTTGGCTGTGTATTCTTGCTCTGCATAAAGCCCTTTTGCATTGTCAAGTGGTTTGGGTGTGTTTTGTGTGTGTGTGTTTTTGATAAATGAGAGGTTGGTCCAACTAGCGTTCCTTTTTGTTTTTGGATTCGTTTTCATTTGAACAACTCCTTGTTTTTTTTGGATAGGGCTATTATTTTTATCATGTCGCCTCGTCTTCCCCTCCCAACACCCATGGAGCCTTCGTTGGGCGACTCGAATCTCAACAGCGTCTCTGCCCTGCGTGTCCTTTCCGTAAGTTTTAGTATCTGGCTGTCACCTATGAGGGCGCTGATCTGAATATCCGCCCGACATTTCGATAGGACGTGGCATTGAGTGAGGCCTTGTATAAACAGAGTCCCATTCTGTCTCCTCCTCGTCCTCCTCCTCCTCCTCCTCTGGCAAGTCGATGGCCTCCGTCTCTTTCGCCTTTGATTCAACAACAACAACAAGAACGGTATCATCAGCATGATCCTCTCTGCAAATGTCGTCCCATACATCACGGACAACAGCCATGGGCATGGAGACCGCCCTACAACAATGATGCCTATCACGGGTGGCATTCTGGAACAATGGCACCGACCACACCAACAACAATAGCAAGAGTGCGGTATTTGCCCTACTCCACGGCTCATGCTCTCCCGAGCGATCGGAATGCGAGGTACATGTCGTGTCCCTGTTCAACATGTCGAGAGACGTGTGCAAACAGCGTTCGAGAAAGGTGTATGGGCGAATGTCGAGCGGGTTATAGGGATGCGCAAGCATGTCGACAAGCCGTTTTACCTACTCCCCCCATCGGTCCATCTTATGGTCCGCCTCACATGTCTCACAGTCTGCCTCACGCACCGCCTCACGGACCATCGATGACTCCCATCGGACTTGCTCATGCCCACGGTCCTCCTCTACCGCCCCTTTCTCATGGACACGGACAGACACCACAGGCGTCACCTCGTGGTCCATCTCACGGTCCATCTTCTCATGGACCAGGCCAAGGTCCGCCTCCTCCTCCTGCTCCTTCCCATAACGAACACGTCCACTCAAGTGTACCTCACCACAACGTCCCCGCAAACGGGATCAACGGGCAAAGACATCCGTATCCCTTTTACTGCCACGTATCAGGATACCCGTACTATACCCTTACACCTTCCTCCTCTTCATCCTCTTCACCATCGACAAGAACAATGACAAAATGCTCATGCGTGCGCTGCATTCTTCCATCTTGTACGGACACAACCGACCCACCACCACCTTACGATCCAAAGTCACCCACCAGTGATAGCCCGCACTCCAATCTCACTCCACAACCACAACAACAACGACAGCCAGATCAAGAAAACCCTCTTCCAACTCCCCCAATCCCAACACCTCCACCTCGTCCCCTCCGCCGGTACACTTGTCCAACCTGCAACAAACGCTTCTCACGTCCAAGCAGCCTGAAAACCCATGTGAATTCACATACAGGAGAAAAGCCTTTTGTGTGTTCTAATGGGTGTGGACGGCGGTTTAGTGTTTTGAGTAATTTGAGGAGGCATATTAAAGCTGGCGGGTGTCCATCCAAGCGGCCAGCGTGAGTGTGAAAATGTTATGGGTTTGACCCGATGGTGGTGGGATATACGGTTTTTATTATCTTTTTTTGTACATTGTGTTGCTTTATGTTTTGATAACATGGATATTTTGTATGTACAATACTATGTTTGTTATTTTTGTGAATAGTGTGAAATATTGTTTCTGTGGTCATAGGTCGTTTTCATGAGCGCACCGCAAATCACATTCACAGTGCTAGTGTATGTGTGTGTGGATTCTAGTCTTTGTGAGCCATGCTTATGGTCCTTGCATATTATGCTTTCTTTTCAGTGTATATGGACTCTTCATCGACGACAAGTTCCTCTTGATCTTGTACCCCAGGGCGACCAAAGGATTTACGCAAAAACAAGGTGACCTGCACTGCACTACACAGCAGGAACAAGATGTGCAGAGATGCTCCGATGTGCATTGCCCGTGCCCCATGAGCATCCATTACGCTTAAAAAAACAGTGGCGGTTTGATAAGAGGGAGTGATCGATGTACAAGAAATCTATGTCATGCCCTTGAAAACATGGTGCGTCTGGTCCTTCATGCCAAGATAGACATGCGAAATAATGTTATCGTGATTAACCACCAGTAACAACCAGATTGTTAATGCAAAACATGTCAAGATCACTATTCCATATCATTGTGTCAAACAACAAGAACGGTTACGGTCAATTGGGTCGGAAGGTAGGAATCCCGTTAGACTGCCACGTACTGGCAGGACGCATACTTGTAGTGCATGTGTACCCACCCAACAGACAAAACAACGTGGTGGAACGAGTAAGTTTGCACTGTAAGGACACCCTGTGTAGCAACCTGATATCCTTATACCGAAAAAAAAAAAACTGAGCTGATCACGGCAAATGCCGAATTCTTGGCAAATGCCATGTCGTTATCAAAATATTTCATGTGCCAGAGCTGTTCCAACATAACGTCAAAAATGCCATGATCTGCATGAAAACCATGTACCTTGACATAGCAAACACGACCTGATGAGCAGTAGTACCTTGGACCATAGCCAAAAACCCCAAAAGAAAAAAAACTGAGCAGATCATCCCCCTAGGATCATCCCCGCTAAATGCCGATCCCCCCCGTAATCAGGTTGCGCTGCTTGCATCCCTTTCGTGGTTATCAAGTGCGCCTGCATATGTTATGAATTTCTTTACATGTATACATAAAGCCATTGGTAAAAGTGGCAATACTCTGTAGGAGATGATAATACCATATAGCTATACTTTTAGCCTCAGTATTGATCGTGATCATTGTCTACGACGTTTTCCTAACTTTCTACCGTCTATACACAAGGCGTATGTGGTCTCAAAAGGTACAAAAGGAGGCACAAATGCACAGTGGCAGGCGCATTGCAGTTTTGCATGTAAGTGGCAGTATGCTTGTGTTTAAAGAAAGGTAAAGAAACGCGGCATAGAGCGATTTGACAAGGTCAACGCCACGGAGGCCGGCGACTGGGTGTTGCGGTCGAATGCAAGCCTTCGACACTTTACAGGATGACCACGAGATGGACCTTGATTTTGATTTTTAACACTTGCTACCTGGACATTTCCTCACGTTTCCGGTTCAGGACGACGTATCCGACAGAGAAGAGGAAGGGATATACCGATGTACACCCTTTCAAGGCACTTAAGTCAAAACAGTCACCTTGTACAATGCTCTCTGGAACACCATCGCTAGCAAAAATCCTAGAGGATATGATCCCATTCGGTGTTGGTGAAACTGGCAAACCATTTCGCTGAATGGAGGTAAGAGAAACTCATGTCTTCCCCCATTGTGTCATAGCCTGGGAATTCATGACAAATAGGTCAGTTGAAACCCCAACACCTGTGGTATGAATCAGTATATCCATTCCACCCGCTGTCATGTTCTTGTTCCTGGACACGAGTACTGGGTTCAAATGGATGGTGACATGTCGTAATGGTCAATAGTGGCAATACGCGAGAACGACGGGGCTGCATCTGCGGGGTGACGAGGGCTTGTTGGCGGAAAATGGAACGTTCTGAATTTGATGACATGGATGTTTTTCGCAGCTCACCACTGGCCGGGGTTTTATATAACGCAGAGCTACAAAGTCATCGTCCACATTAGTTTGAGGATACTCAAATTGCAGCTGCTTGTCTCTGTTTGTCTGTTCGTTTTGAATTCTCTCCGTTTGCCTCCATACGTAAAACAACATGCTGGGAGGAGACCAGACATCTAATGGCGGCTCAGTTATACGAAGCTTGGAACAAATCTTTCAGAGGTGAATATTCATTTCTTTTCGGCTTGATTCCCAGGATGTCAACTTTTCCGTTGTCCATCATTAGAAATCCTGATGATCCGTACATCTTGTACCCGGATGCTACCCGAACCGGACACTGCTCACTGGATGGACACCAAATCATCAATGCCGTACGGTATGGAGCGGAAAAGTATCAGGGAGCTGTCGGACCGGCCCGTGAAACGGATCGAGGTAAGGGATATATGCATTATGTGTGTTTCTCATATGCAGCCGCTCATCTGGAACACTGTACGCCTTACAGTTGTAGCGTACCTGTCCAGTTCCCATGTCTCCTATTTTATCAACCTCTTATCTTTGATGACCAACGATTATGTTCCGCTTCTTCTCTCGCCGCGGAATGCCACAGCCGGCATGGTGGATCTCATCCAGCGCTCCAAGGCGGTCGCTTTGGTCTACGAGCCTGGTCAATCTCATATTGTTCAGCAGCTGCGTAAGGACCTACCAGAGCTAAAAATGGTAGAGGCTATCCAGTTTGAAGAATTATTGCGTGATGAAAAGAACGAGTGGATGAAAGAGGATGGCAGTGTTGGATTTGGTATCAAACAGAGTGTTGGAGCCACGGATAACCTTGCCGACCGTGTGACTCTTGCCATGCACAGTTCCGGATCGACAGCCTTCCCAAAGTTGCGGTACTGGACTAACCGCTCAATGATGGCGAATCCCAATGATCGAGGTTTTGACGATACGTCGCGTCGACAACGAACGTTCCTCCCCGCTCCCTTGTTCCAGTATGTTTCTGTTGCACTTGCATATTTGACACGTAGTGAATAGCATTATCTTTAGTGCATTGGGCATCTGGGTCGGGCTTTCCACTCTACGCGCCTCCGGGGCCATCATCCTCGCATCCTTCCCATTTAGTCCCGCAGCGCTGCTCGACGCAGTGCAAAAAACCAACCCCACGAAAATCGTTTTGCCTCCGTCACTACTCGAAGATTTCGTAGGTTATCTAGACACCACAGCACCGGAGCGATGGAGCATCCTCTCGTCGTTGGATTCCATCCTTGTTGGAGGTGCACCCTGTCCGCAGGAGATCGGAGACCGCGTTGTCGAACGGGGTATTGGACTGAGGAGTATCTATGGGTCAACCGAAGCTGGTATGTTCTAAGTAGAAATAGTAACAGGTCATGCCATCGCTGACTTTCACAGGCGTGCTACTGGGGCCTGAACCCGGCTCAAAGGAATGGAATGTCCTGCGTCCCATTATTGATGAGCAGCATATCAAGTGGCAAGTTGTCAATAAAGAACGTGGTATATATAGGATGTTCGTCAGGACCAGCGTGGTAGGATTTGCAAAGGGCGTCACCGATGAGGAATGGTTAGTCAAGAGTATCTAATGAATTTGTCAAAATCCAAAGCTTTGACGCTAGTATGCTATTCCAGGTACGATACTAATGATTTGTTCAAACAAGTCCGGCCTGGCTTCTGGATGTATCGGGGACGCGGAGACGACATTCTCGGTAACTTCGGCTGCACCGCTTCTGCTTAGATATCTTTCTCAACATGCATCTTAGTTCACATCACCGGTGAAAAGACTAATCCGGTCCCGATGGAGCTCAGTCTCCGCACTCACCCTCTCATCCACGAAGCCGTCATCCTTGGACAAGACCGATTCCAAACCTGCGCGTTCATTCTTCTCGATAGACAGGAAATACTAAAGTATTCCCCCTTAGAGGTGATGGACCAAGTTTATCGAGCTGTCGAAGACGCCAATGAATTGGCTCCGCAGCATTCACGACTAATCAAGGAACTAGTTGAAGTGTTACCATTTGGACATGCTGATTTCCCGAGAACAGAATCAAAAGGGAACGTCATACGTCGCCGGGCGGCTGTCATGCTGAAAGAACGAGAACAAAAACTTTATGAACGATACGAGAAGGGATTGTCGGAGCAGGGACCCAAACAGGCATTGGGTGCTCAAGGAGATTTAACAGATTTCATCGTGCAAGCTGCGGCCAAGATCATGGGCCGGGACGCAACGACATTAACGGATCCGCAGGATCAACGTACCTCTCTCTTTGCATTGGGCCTCGATTCCCTGGGAGCCACGCAACTCCGTAACGAACTGGCGCGAGTTGTGAACAATGATCTACCCCGCGACATCGTCTTTAGCTACTCCTCGATCCATGACTTGGCTTCCTACTTGAGCAGTGTGCGCAACGAGCCGACGTCCCTAACGGATCTACGGCGAGCGATCAGGGACGAAGTTGCAGCCATCTTGAAAAAGACGATGGACACAAGCATGGATGATGTGTCCTTCTTTGAAATTGGATTGGACTCGCTGGGTGCCACAACGCTCAGCAATCGTCTCGCCAAGATACTGGGAAAGGACATCAAACGGGACATTATATTTGATCATTCGACTGTTTCCGGTTTGGCCAGTGCACTCAGTGGTACCACTGGAGATGACAATGTAGCTTCTACCAAACAGTTAACAAAAGCTCAAGATCTCCTCAAAAAATACATTTCCCGCATCTCTACACTTACGCCATTGCCTGCAGACACTTCCCAGCCAGACCGCCGACGCATTCTCCTAACTGGCTCTACCGGCGCCCTCGGCACCGAACTCCTCGCCTCGCTCCTCGCTCTTCCCAATGTCGACAAAATCTACTGTCTCCACCGTGGCTCCAACGATTTACAGCGGGAGAGCAAGTCATTTGCATCACGATTAGGGGACGCCTCAATTCTTGAACAAGCAGAAGCCGAGGGAAGAGTACATGGAGTGGCAGCCAACCTGGAAGAGGACCGCTTGGGAGTTGGAGACGAGACATACAAACTCTTGGAAGACGTGACGGATATTCTGCATGTCGGCTGGCCAGTTAATTGGAGTTTTCCGGTGGAGGCTTTTGATGGGACATTGAACGGTACTAGATTTTTTTTATAGTGGTACTGCTCTCCGGATGCTTAACAATGC